AGAACGACGATTAGAGGCAAGGGCAAAAAAGCTCGATTGGTTTTGCTGTCGCTGGCCTTGCGTCCTCTGCAGGCCTTCACCGCCTTCACCGCCCGTTCACTCAGTCAGCAATCCGCCCTCGTTGCCTCGCCCGCCTAGCCTCGCCCCAGGCGCCCTCCTCGCCTCGCTCCATCCGCTTGCGTTGCAGTGCGTCATCCCACCACTCGCCTCTCCCGCTCGCCCACTCTGCACCCACTGCTCCTCCATGCATTCTGCTGCTGACGGCCCATAGGTGTGCTGGCAGAGGGGTGTAGGCAGAGGGAAGCAGGCAGAGGGATGCTGGAAGGAAGAGCGGAGAGGAGGGGAACAAGTGGACGAAGCAGAGAAGGGAGGTGAGAAGGAATGCGATTAGCATGGCAGAACGGAAAAACGGCACGCATGCAAGCAAGGAAAATGGAAGGATGCAAGCAGTGAGAGTGCGTGAGTGGCGTGAGTGGCGGTGGCAATGGGTGGAAGCGGGTGGTGGCAGCTGCAGGGCGGGCACCAAGGACAATACCGTACCTTACCACACCTGACCACACCTGGGGAGGGTCCCTTGGTGCCGCCCGTGAGAGCGGCGAGAGGAGGAGGAGGGCGAGAGCGCACGCAAGCAGTGCAAGGCACGAGTGCGAGCGGGTGAGTGGTGCGTGCACAGTGCGAAATCCGTGAAATAGCTTAGCCGGATTGAAGAGGGTCGAAGGAGCATTTGTGCTCCCCTTGGATGCCCTCCCTGCGCTCCCTGCCGCGCGTTTGTGTGCCTCCTTGAGTGCGCTCTGCTCCCTGAGAGGCGAGCAGTGGTCAGCTCTGCTCCCTGAGAGGCGAGCAGTGGTCAGCAGCAGCAGTGTTGCCCGCCGTGCGTCATCCCACTGCCGCCCTCTGCTGGCTCTGCACGAGGAGCAACCAGGCACAGCGGCAGAGAGCACAAGAGCGAGTGGCAGTGAGAGCAAGAACAGGTGGCAGAGAGCAAGAGCACGAGAAACCAACGCCCGGTGGAGCGACAAGTGACGAAACCAACGAACGAAAGAACGAATGGTAAACACAGTGGAGCGACAAGTGAGTGAAGGCGCATGACGACAGTGGGCCAAGGGCACCAAAGCAGCGAGCTGAGGCAGCGAGGGGGGACTGGGGACGCGCGCATGGCATGAGTGCAATGCTATCCTAAGCCACACCCACTGGACTCCGTGGACTGGACTGGACTGGACTCTACATGAGCTCAGCTGCCATAATGCGCCCTGACCCACCGCCGCCATGCGCCTCACAGGAACACGTGTGCAACAACACAACACAACACAGTGGTGCGGAGTGGTGTAGAAACACAACAGAGTTGTGTAAGGGCTGAGGAGGGAACTTAGCCGGGTTCAGAATCTGCTCGTTGCTTGCCGATCGTCGTTTTCCGCACTCGCCGCATTTCTCCACACGTTCCGTTTCGCCATTCACCACATCAACGCCTCTCCCCGCAGTTGGCAGCGCCGCTCCCCGCACCTCGTCGCAGCTCCCACTCGGCTACCATCGCAGGCCCGCTCTGGTGTTGCGTGGCTGTTGACAGCTGATGTTGACCGCTGCTGCACGTGCTGTTGCTCTGGTGCTCTGCCACGCTCGATTCGGCCTGAGGGCAGAAGATGGGTGGAGGGAGAAGGAACAGCGAGAGGGCAGGCAGAGGCGTAGCAGAAAGCATGTCAAGGTGGGAAAGAGAGCAGAGGTGGTGGAGAGCAAGAATGAGAATGAATTGGAGTTTGCAACAGCCGAGTCTCGAGTGGTTGGGGAGGGGTGGGGGAACGGGGAAGGCGCATGGCGACAGTGGCCCACGGCACTAGAGCAGCGAGCTGAGCCAGCGAGGGGGGACTGGGGTTGAGAGGGACGCGCGCATGGCATTAAAACACTCTCTCTCCCTCTAATCTCTCCCACCACTCCCACTACACTACACTCTACATGAGCTCCACTGCCATAGCACCATGGACCACCACCAGCATGCGCCAAGCAAGGGATACGAGGTGACAATCTGGCAGCAGTAAAAACGACGGACGGGGAGAGCGAGTGAGGGGTGAAGAGGGGGGAGCGCGAGGAGACTTAGCTACAGGAGAGTGTTGAAGCTGATCATTGCAGGTCCGCTCTGGTGTTGACTGCTCAAGTTGACTGCTGCTGCACATGAGCCGATCATCCGCATCCGCACGTTGTCACTTAGTCGCGTTGCCGTCGTCGGACATCGTCGCATGCGGTAAGTCGCCATCTTCCGCACACCGTCGCACGCGGGTATTCCGAACACGATCGCACATGGGACGTCGCCAGCATCCGCGCACAGTCGCATGCAGTATGTCGCCAGCATCCGCACAACGTCGCACGCGGAAGGTCGCACGCAGTTGGTCGCCGACTTCCGCACACGAACGCGTGCGGTACGTCGCATGCCGCCATCTTCCGCACACGGACACGGACGCGCGCGGTACGTCGCATGCCGTTCGTCGCACATCGTCGCATGCATCTGAACAGCGCTGGCACACGAAACGTCACACGCGGTAAGTCGCCATCATCCGCACACAGATCGCGTGGTAAGTAGCACGGTCGCACGTTAGTCGCCATCTTCCGCACGACGCGCGATGTCGCATGCCGTTCGTCGCACACCGTTGCATGCCGTTCGTCTCACAACGTCGCACGCCGATCGTCGCACGTGGTAAGTCGCCATCATTCGCTCACCGTCACACGTGGTAAGTCGCCATCATCCGCACGCCGTCGCACGGGGAACATCGCCTGCGGTACGAAACATGCCGTTTGTCGCGTCGTATGCGCCATGTCACCCAGCATCCGCACGGCGCCGCATGCGGAACGTCGCACGCGGTAAGTCGCCATCATCCGCACACCCGTCGCACGGGGAACATCGGCCGCGGTGCCTCGCATGCCGTTTGTCGCGCATCGTCGTATGAGCCATGTCGCCCAGCATCCGCCGCGCTGCATGCGGAACGTCGCACGCGTTAAGTCGCCACCTTCCACACACGGTCAATCGCGTGAAGTCGTAATTGTCCACACACCGTCGCATAGGGAACGTCGCACGCGGTTCGTCGCCATCTTCCATACATCGTCGCAGCATCCGCACAACGTCGCTCGCGGAAGGTCGCACGCGGAAGGTCGCACGCAGTGCGTCGCCGTCTTCCGCATGGTTGCGCGTAATTTGAAATTCGCCACTTGCCGCTACACGATCGCCGCACGTTGCCAGCCGATGACTGTTCGTCGCTAGCCGTTCGCCATTCGCTGCTCGCCGTTCGCCATTCGCTGCTCGTTCGTCACTCGCTAGTCGCCAATCGCCGCTATCATTGCTCGTCCGCTCGTCTCGCCGCTCGTCCGGTTGCACCCCGAAGGTCGGAGTAGTTAACCCATTAGTTTCCGTCTCTGTGTCGTGTGTCACTGTGTCGCCGTGAGTCACCGTGACGCCGGATGCCGGTTGCCTTGAGACTGCTTCCGCCGTCCCGATGGTGCTTCTCTTGTTGCTGATGATGATACTCGTAGATCATTACGGACACCGGCGGTCGCCTTGGCACTCGAGATTCACTCGCCATTCTGACCATTACGGTGCCATTCTGACGTGAAAACCGTCGACCCTGTTGAGTACTGCCGTAACAACACTCCAGTGCTTCCAGTGCTGCCTGGAGATCCTACCAGAAGCGGCTCGTATGCCATTCCTGACACGGTGCTGCTTCACGTATCATAATGCCTTGACTTCACGTTCGGCTTTCGGCGACCATAGCAGCTATCGGCGAGTAGTTGGATGTACGACCATTTCGGAACAACGCTTAAACGGAACGGAAGCGACATACGCTTCAACTAGAGCGGTGGAAACCTTATCAGGAAACACCCGTCACGGACCATGTTGCTGAGCTGAAACTATTGGCTAAAAGTCAGTTTAACAGAATCTAGATGCTGAAACATAATAGGTGGAATTGCCTTAGCGGTTACGAAGAACAACTACCGCGGTTATAAGCTAAGAGGCGAGCTGTTATCATCAGCCTAACAGAAGCTATTTGCTGACACGGCTCTACCAGTTCTGCCACTGAAACAGGCTTGCTGTCATAAATTTCCTTAAAATATGATCTAATCGTAGTAACCTATATCTCTGAGAAATTTCGACAGGAGCCATGGCGAGCTGAGAAAGCCCTGGAAACGAGGAGGAGCTAACGCTGGCTAGGGAGAATCAGTGAAATGAATCAAGGAACTGGAATTCGGCAGAGGTGACTGGAATGGCCTTGGGAATGTCGCCTGGGGAAGCGAGGTGGGGAGGGAAGGTGGGGAGGTGATTTGCCTTCAGTATCATGGCGATGGAGCATTCGGCAAGCCCAAGGGGGGACGCCGCATGGTCATGTGCTGACTGACACGCGGGGCGGGGTGGGGCTCCAGTGTTTTCCGCCAGAAGGGGGGAAAATGGCGGAAGTGACGGAGTCAGCGGCGCGCCCGAAAGTATCGACGGAGAATAAATTGGTTTCGCCAGAAAGGATAAAGCGAACGTAGTGCTTGGCTTCTGCGAATGGTAACTGTGCTTTGTGCCGTCAAGCCCTGACAACTTTCCGACTTCAGGAGCCCAAGGCTGCGCACCTTTGAATTCGAGAGGGAGCCAATCTCCGCGACCCTTCCTGCACTTGCGCAGCGCGCTGTTTGCGCAGTTTGCGCGGGAGCACCGCACAGACACTACACCATTGCCTGGATTCGTTAACGAATTAATTGGCATAACTGTACAGACGCAACCGTCAACACAACATAACCACAATGAATTACATGACTACATTTTAGATGCATAGATGGCAAACTGGCTGGGCAGTGGCTCAAAAGAAGAGCTGGAGTAGCACTCAGATTCCAGTTTGTAAGGTTATCACAATCAGCTTTATTGCACTGAATGCCTTCAGGATTGCAACGAGGGAGGACTGCCACTACCAGCAGACTGTCTGCTCCACATGTGAGCCAGCAGTTGGTACCCCAAACTCGTCTTGTGCCTTGCAGTTATGCTACCAGGTCCCTGTGTCACCGGAGGCATGTGAGGAGGAACCACTACCAGCGGCCTGTCTGCTCCACATGTCAGCCAGCAGTTGGTAACCCGAGCTCTTATACCCGTCCCTGTGCCCCACCACCCGCGCCTTCCCTCCTGCCGTCGCACTCCTCCCAGCCCCACCCTTCGCACTCGCCCCTCCACCAACACCACCAGCACCACCAGCAGCACCAGCACTGCCGCCCCTCTCAAGCTCAAGCAGCATGTGGGAGAGGAGGTCAGCGGGGGACTCTACGAGGCGCAGCTCCTCGTCGCTGTCGTAGCCGCGGTCGAGAGCCAGACCAGAGGAGCCCGCGTGGGGCAGGTGCAGCAGCCGCACCGAGCCCAGGAGGAGTCGCACGGATGGCGAGGGGGGCGGGGTGTAGGGCGTGGCGGGGAGAGGCGCGATGTCGGTGGATGGATTGGATTTGCCTCGGCGCGACTCGCTGTGCACCTGATGGGGAAGGAGGATGGGTATGAAGTTTGATTTCAACCCCCCCCATGTCTGGTGCATTCATACCCGTAGAAATGAGGAAGCGGGTACGGCTTGAATGATTGCATGGATTAAGGAGTAGGACAAAGCATGGGACAAAGCATGAGGGGCAGAGCATGGGTATGGCATGGTGACAAATCTACTTACTAACCTCAAACATGGTACCTCTTCATTGCCTATCAGCCTCACCTCGCTGTTGAGCTGTTGCAGCAGCGTGGAGGAGACGGGGTCGGGTGCATTGGCATCTGGGGCGAAGATGAGGAGGATGCGCCTCAGCAATGCCACCGTCAACTCTCCACACACCTGCACTCGTGTGTGTGCACAGATTCATATACACATGGAGAACACATGGAGACACATGGAAATGCGCACACGCACACGCACAGACTCACATGGAACTCTTATTATTGTAAATGCGATGCATGCGACGCATTTAGAGCATATGACGCATGCGGTGCATGTAAATTCATCCCACACATTCCTCTCATCTCTTTCGGCGCCTCCTGGTCGGCCAGGAAATCTTTAGGCAGAAGCAGCAACAGCAGAAGCAACAGCAGCCCCCCACCCACCCACGCACATCCTTCCTGGTCCTCAAACCACTCCGCCCCCCACTCTCCCCCTCACCCACACCCCCACCTCGTTCCCTCACCTCTTTCCTCGCCTCCTGGTCGGCCAACAAATCCTTAGGCAGCAGCAGCACCTGCGCCATGGCTCTCAGCTTCGGAAAGCATTCCCCCGGTCCCCCTGTCACTTCCACTGCCGCCCCCGCTGCTGCCGCCGCACTGGGAGGGAAGCGAGGGGAGGCTGGGTGAGCAGCAGCGGAAGAGGCGGAGGACGAGGAGGAAGAGGAGGAGAAGAAGGAGGGGGAGGAGGAGGGGGAGGGGTCTGAGGGGTCTAAAGCCCCAGCCCAGAAGGCAGTGGTGGTGGCGAGGAGGGATGAGGAGAAAGGCGGAGGGGTGGGGAGCGGTGCGGAGGGGTTGGGCGGGTGGGAGGATGCGAGTAGGTAGTCAATCTGCGCGTGCATGTGAGCGTCGAGGTCGTGAAACATGGTGGCCCAAGCAGATGTCTGGCAGGAGGTGAGAGGGATTGGGGCAGGAGAAGACAGGAGGAAGGAAGAGAGGGTGGGTGTTATGGGGGGTTTAGTTTGTGGAAGTCACTTAGGGGCCTGGCGTGTTTGGCAGGGCGAGAGTACAGAGCAGGCGCAAAGAGAGCTGTAATGCATGTGCCATGGGACCATGTCATGCCATGTGCCATGCGATGGGATGCAATGCAACGCAGTGTGTGAGTCTTTCACGTGTGGGTGCTCCACGAATCCTACAACGTTTGAGATCAACCTTCTGAGTCAAGCTGAAAGTCAGTCAGCATGTGTCACTTTTGTGTACGGCAAATCACAATTTGGAAAAGGCGAAGGGAGGCGAGGGGAGAGGGGGAACTGACGGCGTATTTGAGGTGCATGCCGTGCGAGTAGGTGAGCTTTCCCGTTGCTGTGAACGGCAGGGCGGCAGGCTCGGTGACAGGGTCGGCAAGAGGTTCGGCGGGCAATGCGTCAGGGTTAGAGCGCAGGAGTGCGTTGAAGATTGCCGAGTCAAGACGCAGGAGACAGTGCTCTAAGACCTGGTGGGTGGGGATGGGATGGGGGATGGGGGATGGTACGGTGTAGGGACTGGGGGAGGGGATGGTAGAATCGAGATTTGAGACAGGCAGCAGTTTTTCAAGTGACTGACGGAGACAGGCAACAACCCAAGCTATACCTATCAGACAAGCTCTACCTGCCCAAGCTCACCTGCTTCTCCAGCAGGTACAGGCAGCCACAGCACCGCCCCATGGCACGCTGCGGACACAGGCTCAAGGACGCATCGTGCAGCACCGCTCTCCACCGCTCCACACCCACCAGCTTGCTCCACCACGGGGCCCTCTCAGCGTCTGATAGGAAAAGAGGGGTGGAGGGGGATGCGGTGATGAGAGACGAAGGGGCCGGAAGGGAGAAACGGGGACATGAGGGGAGGAAGGGGTGTGATGGGGAAAGGAGGGGAGAATGGAGGGGCTTGGTAAGCAGAGGCTGAACTGAACTTGCAGAAGCTTCTAAATAACTCATACAAAGCCTGCCTCCTCACTTGCCTCCTCTCACTCACCTCCCCCTCTGGCCTCCTCCCTTCACCCACCCCCTGCCCTCCCTCGCTTCCCTCCCCTCCCCCCTTCTCACCTCCCACTCCGCCTGCCACAGGCGCTGTCGGCTTCTTCTGGCCGCCCAGTCCCAGTGCGCTGCCCACGGTGCTGCCGCCCGGCCAGGGCAGGGAGGAGGCGCTGGTGGTGGCGGCAGAGGCGAGGGAGGAGAAGAGCGAGGAGGCTGCTGAGAGGGTGGACGCGGAGGAGGAGGAAGGGGGCTGGGAGGAGGGGGGGCGGCGTAGGGCGGGAAGGAATACCTGGGGGTAGGTAGTGGGGGTGGGGAAGGGAGACAAGGGAAAACCGGAAGAGAGGCGGGAAGAAGGGGAGAGGGAGAGTGAGGGGGGTCAATCTAGCATGTGATGTGACAAGGACAGACACGGATGGGCAGGGAGGAGGCGCTCATGCTGCCACTCAATAGTCATTGATTTACCTCACCTGCCCCCCCCCTTCTCCTTGCCTCACCTTGCGCCACACCAGCTGCAGGCACCGCTCGTGCTGCCACTCCTCCAGCCGCCTCAGAGCTGCCACCACCGCCCCCGGACTCCCCCACGACTCCCGCCCCCCTCCCCCCCCACCCGCCCTTTCCCCTGCTCCTCCACCTCCCCCCTTCCCTCCTCTCCCACCCCTTTTCCCAGGCCCGGTACCCCCACCAGGTTCGGAATCCGGTTCAGAACCAGAGGAGGTTCGGTCGGAGAGGGGGAAGGAGGAAGAGGAGGAATTGCCAGAGTGGGGCTCATCAGAGTAAGAGTGAGCTTCAGTGGGAGCAATGCTGGCGATGGCTTCCCTGAGCATCACAGTATTGGACCACCAGAAGAGCAGCCTAGCAGCATCATCAGCAGCAGCCTTGGACACGAGAGTCAGAGCCGTCACTGCCACTCTAGCCACGCCCCCCACCCGCTCATCCCCCTCGTGAACCCGCACGAATGCATACGCCCTCGCTATTCGCCTCGCGGGAGTGTGGACTCGTCTCACGGATCCTCCGTGTTCCGGCCGCATGGCATACACTGCCACGTCAGCCATCGCCGCGTCTCTCAAATCCCCCGGAAGCCGACCGAAATTCCGCTCCGCGCTCCTCGCCCGCTCCTCAGCCTCGGCAGCCCGAGCCAGAGCCTCGGCGACCGAAGCAGCAGCTTCGTCAAGGTGCGTTTTCTCCTCAGCCACGCGCTGCTGCTCCCACTCAAACCGCTCTCTCTCCTCCCTCACCCTCCTCTCTGCTGCCTCCGCCGCCCCTTTCATCTGCTCAGCCTCCTCCCTCTCCCGCCGTATCCTCTCCTCCTCCGCCTCCGACCAAGCAGAAAACTCAGCCATTTGGCTCTCCAACTCACTGCACCGCTTCTTATCCATCTCAATCTGCGCGTGCTCCTTCTTGAGCCGTGCGCGCTCGTTCTCAGCCCAGACTCTCAGCCGCTGCACCTCGTCCCCCAGGGCCTGCAGGGCTCGCTTCTCCTCCTCTACTAGCTTCTTCTCTGTCCGCACCTTGCGCCACTCAAACTCCAGACTCGACGCGTCCCCCCCCACCCGCTCCTCTTCTCTCTCCCCTCCCCTCTCCCCTGCCCTCTCCGCCCCCACTTTCATGCTCTTCGACTGCCCCAGCACCCCCACTCCTCCCCGTCCCCCGGCCCCACCGCCCCCCGCACTACCCGACTCCGACCCACTACCCCCGCCAGCACCACCGCCACCGCTGCTGCTGCCAGCTCGGGGCGGCGACGCGGTAACCGCATCGAGAGCGCCGCCCACATACGGCATGGGCTTCTTGAGGTTGACGGGGAAGAGGTCGCCTGCAGGGCTGGAGGGCGACGTGAGACCATACAGCAGCCCGTCAGCGAACGCACTCGTGCTACCACCACCACCACCTCCACCACCAGCGGGGTCCTTGCCGTCTAGCGACCGCTGCCGGAACCGGGGGGACTTTGGTGGAGGGGGGGGCAGCGTCTCGAATTCCTCCTCTTCCTCCTCTTGTTCCTCCTGCTGCTGCTGCTCGTCCTGCTCCTCCTCCCCACCAGCGTGCTCATCCCCATACCCGTCCCCGTATCCTTCCTCTGCGTAACCATCCTCGTACCCCCCCTGCTGGTCGCCGTACCTGTCAGCATGGCCGTAACTGCCCTGCCTCTGCTCGAACCCAAATGCCTCGTCATACTCCCCATCGCCCCCGTTCATGCCGGTGCCACCACTGCCATCATCATAGCCATCGCCGTCATCAACCCCATCACCTTCTTGCATGTATTCCCCCTCCTCCCCTTCCTCCCCCCCCTCCCCTTCCCCCACTTGCACATACTCCCCCTCTGCATCATCATACCCCCCTCGCCCCTGCCTCTTCCCTTGCCCTCGCGCTTGCCCATGCCCATGCCCATATCCCTCGTCCCCCCCATATTCCCCCTCCCCATAATCCCCCTCTCCCTGCCCGTAGCCCTCGCCCCCTGGGTACCCCCGCCCATGCCCATACCCCCCCTGCATCCCCCCCTGCATCCCCCCCTGCTCCCCCTCCTGCTCCTCGCCCCAATAATCCTCCCCGTCCGCCTGTTGCTGCTGCTGCCGCCCGCCTTTCCTTGTCCCCATCCCTCCGTCCATCCCCATGCCGCCCCCATGCGGCTGCCCCGGCCCGCCCCTCTCGTACGCCAGAGACAGGTCTTCCAGTTCCTCCTCCCTCACCTCCTCCTCCTCCTCTTCCTCCCCCCCGCCCATGCCCCTCCCCATGCCCTGGTGCCCGTACATGTCATGCATGTCGTCATGCCCATACATGTCCTCCAAACCACCATCATCCCCATCACCATGCATGTCATGGGTGCTCTGGGGGTCATGCACGTAGATGTCATGTGAATACACATCATGCATGTCTGTTGCCTCCCCCCCACCGCCCCTGCCCTTCCCCCCACCGCCCATGTTACCGCCCCCAATGTTACCAAAAGCGTCATTCAAATCCTCAAACGACCCTCCTTCCATCCCATTCTCCCCTTCCTCCCCTTCAAACCCATCATGTTCCCCCTCCTCCTCCCCCTCCTCCAGCCCTTCCCCTCGACCATCCTCCCCCTCTTCCCCCTCCTCCCCCTCCTCCCAGGCTTCCTGCGCCCATGCCTCATCCATCCCCCCATCCGCGCCCCCACCAACCGGCAGGGAAGCCATGCGACCCCCCAGCCCCGCTTCCCCCACTCCCCCCGCGCCCACCGGCGGCAATCCCCCGGCCCCCGCGCCCTGCGCCCTGGCTCCCCCCGCGGACGCCTGGAACGCGAGGCTAAGGTCCATCTCCCCCCCTGAGAACCGCCTGCGGTCTCTCCCCCTCCCCTTCTCGCCCCTGCCCGCCCCTCTCCCCTCTCTCGCGCTCCCCGGCGCGCCCTTCAAAGTCCTACTCCCCTCTCCCGCTCGCTTTGGCGAACCTGCCGCCGAACCTGCTGCCGAACCTGCCGCCGAACCTGCCGCCGAGCCTGGCGTGGAGCTCCCTTGGTCCTCGTATCCTCCCGCATGGCCTCTCCGCGGGCCACTCCCCCGTCTGACCATTTCCGCGTCGCTGCTTTGATTCTCATGCCCTCCTGACGACGCTCCACTATCCTTCCGCGTATGCTCCCTCCCTGACCCCTTCCCCCCGTGCCCCCCATGCGCGCCGTGCGCCCCGTGCGCCCCCCCTGCGCGCATGTGTTCCGAATCGCTCCCCCCATGGTCGGAGAGCGGGCAGAGGCGGCTTCCCCCGCCGCCAGTGACGGACCCAGCGGCGTCCGAGTAGCAAGTCTCGTCCCCCGACGATCCCGCCGTGTCCTCCGCGTCTTCTAGCGGCTCCAGCTTCGTCGGGTAGAACCGCGGCAGCGCGCCCGCGCCCCCCGCGCCCGCCTCCTCCGCGGCGGCTTCCTTGCTCAGCTTCTTCCCCACGCACTCCACCGTCAGGTGTAGCTCCGGGCGGCCTAGCGCTGCGCCTAGAGATTTGGAGACCTGCACGGGGAGCGCGTGCGGGAGCACGCCGGCGCAGTCCGCGAATGCGGAGAGGTCGAGCGACGCCTTCCCCAGCGCCGTTGGTTTGGGCTGCGCCGAGTCGTCCGCCTGCGCCTCGTGGATCGAAAACGCCGCCGTTTTGCGCTGGTACGGCGCGCCGGGGCCGCCGCGCTCGCGGTACAGCGTGGCGGGGACCTGCGGGGTTGCGCGCGCGAGGGAGGGGAGGCGGGGAGAGGGGTGACGGAGGGAGAAGAGGAGAGATGAGTGGTAGTTGCACTCTTAGGCTAGGATCAGGCAAGGCAGCATAGTCAAAATGCGAGCGTCGCGAGGCACTCACGCGGAATGTCTGGTCAATGACCACTTTAAACGCGTTCTCGTCCGCGCCGCCCTCATCGCGCTGCGCGCGCACCGGCTTGGAAAATCCCGTGCGCTTGTCCCCGCGCTGCCACTGGATGATCGCCGGCGCGCCCATGCGCAGCCACGGGCGCAACTGTGGGGGGAAAAGAGTGGGGAGAGGTTGGTTGAAGAGGGGGGGGGGGGAAGAGGGGGAGTTTGCGCGGAAGGGAGGGCGGAGCGATGGTGAGTCGGCATAAAGACGAGGAAATGTGAGCCTTTACGCGGGAGGGACGGCAATGCAGTCAGTGACTTACTTCGATAAGATGCACTTTGAAGTCGAAGCGGATCGCCACTAGTGACGACGCGGACTGCTTCCCGGATCGCTTCTTCATGGTTTATGTCGTTATAGGCTATTAAGTTAATATATAAATGGATAATCTTATGTCGACTATGGCCGCATGGTGTGCGGCTGTAATATACTCGTTAACGACTGCATGGCGAACTTAGAAAACAAAGTCCCGCATTGACCAGGAGCGTCGACGGTCGGACGCTGAACAATGATTTGTACGGACAATAATAAAATTAAGGCGATCGGCAATGCTGACGCTGTAGCCTCCAAACGTATAGCATTGATGACCTGGAGCCTCGCTTTCGAATTGTTACCGTCTTGAGAATGCCGAGCAAATGCAAGTACCAATCAATCACCAGCTACGAGTCACGTCTAGCCACCAACACGAGACGACGCGAGCCTAATCACAAAACAACTAGAGGTAGCTACCAACCCTGTACCATAATTGAATTGAAATACTAAAGCCGCTCCTCGCTGAGCATCTTGCGACTAAGGTAAGTAGACGTAGAGGACAAAGAACACGTAACAACGCTGCGAGGCAAAGCACAGGCGCATACGCGCATGTGTGGGTGCTGAACGAAATGGTAACTTCTAGGTGTGGCTCTGGGTATGGTTGGGACCACTCTGGTTGCGGAGGTAAATTCCTGGTTCGGATTCGGTTCGGTTCGGAACGGAAGCGCTTGCATGGATTCTCTCCCAACAACCGCTCCGAGACGGTTGGACGGTACGGCAGCACGGAACTGAACTCGAGGTGGGCTGTGGGAGGGAAGTGATGATGGCACGAGGTGAGGTGTGGGCTTGCTGCTGCTGATGTCGCGTACGGGCTGTACTGGAATTGGATTGTATTTGTCATTTTCAACCTGTGTGAGAAGCTAGTTGTAATGGTGTTAGTGTTTATGTTGGAGTTTTGAGGTTACAAGAATGGGAGGAACAATGTGCTCCAACAACCAGAATACGTGTTTTAGAATTCCACACTCGGCGCCAACCATTTTCCGAACCACAGCCAGGCTTCCCAACTACTTGCTCGTTACTGCACTGATCGGAAACATGGGGACCATACCCCTTGTATACTAGTTAAGAATGTTCTATATGATTTCCACCTCCATGGGTGTACTCCATGCATCAGAAGGCGGAGAAGCGAACCCCATCCCACCGCCTGTCAGCTGAGACCCACTGGAGTTTTCCGGAGCGGCTTGAAGCAGCCGAAGAATGCCGCTTGCCACGACATCAGGCTGCTGGTGCACGGACCGCACAGGGAGGGCCTCAGCTGTAGCGCAGGGCATGTGGCGCAGCATGTATTCCGCTACAGCCGGGGGGGTGGCGGGGTCTCCCTCTAGGAAGAGCATATGCACTGGTACCTCCACCTGAGGGGTGGTGGAGAGGAGGATGGATGGGGAAGGGGAGGGTGGAGATTGAGGGCAGAGAAAGGCAACAGTATGATCCTTTCCCCCCTGCTCACACGCACCTATGGCAGCATCAGGAATCTCTTATCGCCCTTCTTTCTTCGCATCACACCTCCGACACACACACGCAGGTCACGGGCAAGGTGGTCTTGCGGCACGAGAAGGTGATGCTAGGACCCTCTAAACCCCTCTTGCCCTCATAGCTGTCACACCCCATGCCCCCAGGGCCAATCTCATACACCCACGCGCCTACCCACACCCACCTGCGGCAGCACTTCTCGCAGGTCACCCACGCCCACCCACACCCACGCGCCCAATCTCATACACCCCCCACGCCCACCCACACCCACGCGCCCAATCTCATACACCCCCCATGCCCACCCACACCCACGCGCCCAATCTCATACACCCCCCATGCCCACCCACACCCACGCGCCCAATCTCATACACCCCCCATGCCCACCCACACCCACGCGCCCAATCTCATACACCCCCCATGCCCACCCACACCCACGCGCCCAATCTCATACACCCCCCATGCCCACCCACACCCACGCGCCCAATCTCATACACCCCCCATGCCCACCCACACCCACGCGCCCAATCTCATACACCCCCCATGCCCACCCACACCCACGCGCCCAATCTCATACACCCCCCATGCCCACCCACACCCACGCGCCCACCCACACCCACACACGCAGGTCGCAGGCGAAGGTGGTCTTGAGGCAGGAGAAGGTGACGTCAGTGTCCTCCCTCCTACCCCCACCCACACCAACTTATATGTCCCATTAATCACACCCACACACCCACCTGAGGCAGCACTTCACGCAGGTCGCAGGCGAAGGTGGTCTTGAGGCAGGAGAAGGCCACGTCAGGGCGCAGAGAGAAGAGCGGCCGCGTCACCTCCCTCACGTGCACTGCCTTCACGTCATCCGCGTTCAACACAGGCGCGCACCCCTTGGTCCACAACTGGCAGGGAGGAAGGACGTTGTGGGGGGAGGGTGTGGAGAGAGGGAGGAGGGAGACAGTTAATGGTGGCCGCGTGACCTCCCTCACGTGCACTGCCTTCACATCGTCCGCGTTCAATACAGGTGCACACCCCTAGGTCCACAGCTGTGGAAGGGGGAAGTGTTGGAGGGAGGTGCTGAGTTGAGAGAAAGAGGAGGCGTGAAGATAAGCTAGGAAGAGTGGAGGCACGTGCAGCGGCAAGGGCAACAACCCAACCTGTCCCATTCAGAATTATACATCCGTTCCCTACTGCACCCAACCTGTTCCATTGGCAGCACCTACCCGGAAGTTTCCCTGCATGATGCCAAAGACCTTGTCCAGGTCAGCCAGGCCAAAGCTGCTGCTGTAGTCGGGCGGGGCCTCCAGCAGCCTGCCATGCACATGCACACGGGTGGTGGGTGGTGAGGGGTGCAGTGCGGTGATGGATGGTACGGGAAGGAGTGGGGGTGAGGGGAGTTTCCTTGCATGATGCCAAAGACCAGGTCAGCCAGGCCAAAGCTGCTGTTGTAGTCGGGAGGAGCCTCCAGCAACCTGCCAAGGGTGATAAGGGGTGCAGTGCGGTGATGCGTGGTGAGGGCAGTTAAGGCATCTGAGTAAGCGAGGTCAGCCAGACCGAATCTGATGCGCTGATGCTGATGCGCTGATGCTGATGCTGATGCTGATGCTGATGCTGATGCGCTGATGCTGATGCTGATGCTGATGCTGATGCGCTGATGCTGATGCTGATGCAAATTGCAGATGCTGATGCTGATGGTGATGCTGATGCTGATGCTGATGCTGATGCCGATGCTGATGCTGATGCTGATGCTGATGCTGATGCTGATGCTGATGCTGATGCGCTGATGCTGATGCTGATGCTGATGCGCTGATGCTGATGCGCTGATGCTGATGCTGATGCTGATGCTGATGCGCTGATGCTGATGCTGATGCTGATGCTCATGCTGATGCTGATGCTGATGCTGATGCGCTGATGCTGATGCTGATGCTGATGCTGATGCTGATGCGCTGATGCTGATGCTGATGCAAATTGCAGATGCTGATGCTGATGGTGATGCTGATGCTGATGCTGATGCTGATGCTGATACAAATTGCTGATGCTGATGCTGATGCAAATTGCTGATGCTGATGGTGATGCTGATAGGTACAAACAAGCCACGGGACTCACCTGGGCGAGGAGGCGAGCAACACGATGCGTTTGAAGAGCTTGGGGCGCTCGATGGCTGCCAGCAGTGTAATCATGCCGCTCTGCCTGTGCCCCACCAACGTGCACTGCTGGCCCCAGTCGCCCTGTGCACACATACACGGAGAGACGGGGGGAGGAAGGAGTGAAGGAGTGAAGCAGAGCAGGGGGGGGAGAGAGGAGTAATCATGCCGCTCTGCCTGTGCCCCACCAACGTGCACACACACAGAGAGACGGAGGGGGTGAGGGAGGAGTGAAGGATAGGGGATGGACGAGAGGGGAGTAGCTGCTGTAACAACTCGAACAATTTCAACAGCTATAGCACCTGTAGCACGCACACACACACGACGCACGCACCTCGACGCCCATCTCTGTGAGCAGCTGTAGCAGGTCCTCTGCGGAGCCATGCAGCGTGCTGTAGTATGTGTAGCATGTGTGTAGCATGTGTAGCATGTGTGGCATGGGTAACGACTGTAGCAGCTTTATTGCAACCAGCTGTAGCACGCACGCACCTCGACGCCCATCTCTGTGAGCAGCTGTAGCAGGTCCTCTGCAAAGCCATGCAGCGTGCTGTAGCGCTGAAAGTCAAACGCATCGCTGTCCGACCTGCACCGGGGGGGGGGGGGCATGAGATGAGGGGGAGGGAGGGCGGGGGGAATGGAGGGGAGATATGGGGTGGGGCGGGTCGGGGCACATGGGTCGGGTCGGGGCACATGGGGTGAGTCGTGGAACGTGGGGAGGGTGGGGGAACATGGAGGGATGGGGTGAAGACTGATGGGCAGCGAGAGAGACTAGAAGTGCAGGGGCGAGGAGAGAGGGGAAAGGAGAGCGGAGGGGAGAGAGGGTCGAAAGGGCATGAGGGGCAGGGCCAGCAGAGGGAGAGGATGAAGGGTGGATGGGGCGAGAGGAGAGAGAGGGGGTAGAGTTGCATACCCTACAGCACCGGTGAGGTCGTAGAGTACAATGCGGTACAGAGCGGTGTCAAACGACTCCAGCACATGCGTCCACATCTGAAGGTAGGGGCGGGTAACGCGGAGGCCCGACGGGAGATGGTGAACGCGCATGAACGCGTGAACATGGGATCGTGGGACTGTGGGGCATGCATGTCAAGGCAACAGAAAGCATGTGCATCGGCGCGGGCATGCATGTGGCAGCAGAGAGCGGCACGCACGGACTGGTTGAAGCCAAAGCCGTGGGAGAGCACGAGCAGGTGGGCATGGCGGAAAGCCAAGAGAGCGCGGGATTGGTTGAGGCTGTAAGGGCACGCACGGATTTGCTGCAATTGCAGCTCGGGTCCCATCCCCACGATGCGTGGGAGATGCGAGTCCAGGCAAACACGTCATGTGAATGCAGCACGAGTGCGGGCACTCACAGATTGGTTGAAGCCGAAGCCATGGGAGAGCACGAGCAGCTCGGGGCCCGTCCCCACGATGCGCACGTTGTGCCTCTCCTGTGCCGTCCTCGCCGCCCTCAACTTCGCCGCCTGCGCCGCCCTGCACGCGCGCAACAGGACAAGACGTCGTTGTCATATCATGCATCCACCGACCATGCGACAACACGGTAATGAGTCGTAAGGTCAGCATGAAATGCGGATGGTATCGCATCATGCAAAACAGAGCACACGTACTCCCCCGCCCCCTCCCTTCCAACATTCCCCCGGCCCCCATATTAGCGCCAGGCAACGGAACACACAGCCCTGCTAAGCGAATCACTTACCTAAGCGCCACGCTGCTCCCGTGCCCTGAGCCGCCACCAGAGATCGCACCAGCATGCATGGACGAACTACTCATACCCACCACCACGCCGCCACTCATCGAGTCGCCCCCTCCCCCGCCGCCGCCGCCGCCGCCGCCGCCGCCGCCGCTACCGTACCCGCTGCTTCCGCCCCCGCACACGATCCCCCCGCCGCTCAGCACGCCCGCGCCGTGCATGCTCCCCGCCATGCGCGCGTACAGCGGCGGGTTCGTCGGCGTGCCGGCCGCCACCGCGCCGGCCGTCGCGGACCGACAGCTGTGGCCGCCGCGCGACGCCAGGCTCTGACGCGACCCGTCTCGCGACTCGTCCCCGATCGGAACGGCCTGGCCTGCGATGTGCGTAGGCATCACCACTGACCGCGCCTCGCCGGGATGGTGCCGCGCACCCGCCGCTGCGCCGCCCCCGCCGCCGGAGGCGCTGCGCGGGGGCGTCGGGACGGCGGTGCGGCCCGTGATCACGGACAAATCGAGCGGCTCGTTTACTTGCCACTCCGAGCTGTCGGGGGGCGATCCGGGGAGGAACCCCGATGCGCCCTCCTCGCTCCGCCGCCCCGCCCGGTCGTCCGCGCCGGGCGGCAGCTTGTCCGCGCAGACGGCGGAAGGTTGCGCCCACGCATGCTTCTGCGACAGCGGGATTTGCGCGGGCGACTCGGCGTACCGCTGTACTCCTCCGCTGGATTTTCTCTCGAGCGGCGCCGGCGGCGCCGGCGGCGGCGGAACTACATCTGATCCTAGCTTGTGGCGCGCCGCCGATTCGTGCGCACCGTTACTACGACTTCCGCCGGCGGCACGCGCGTCGTCGAAGAAGCTGTCGCCGCGGGGGACGCCTGGGGGAGAGAGGGGCGGCTTGCCCACACACCCCCCCATTAGAAGCGCGCGAAATAGCCCGGATTCTGTGCGTGAATGCGATTAGTATTTCGAGGGCGATTAGAGAAACCGGCTTCGCCGTACCGCACGGCTTCACTCGGCGGGCCGCGAAGTAGACGTGAAATAGTAACGGGTAACAACTCGAAACAACAACTCGGCGGGCAGCTCTGGAGCAGTCAAAGGCTAGAGCAACAACTTGTGCGCTTTGAGAGCAAGCAGACGTGAGCAGTCGAAACAGCAGCTCGGCGGGGAACAGCGATTCGCGACGCGTACTTGTTTGAATCCCGACTTCTCTCGGCAAGAAGAAATAAGACAGTGAAGGCGAAGGCGTGGGCCATTGATCATCCAGCCAGACACACGACAAAGCAACGCTAGCGAGGCTGCAGACGTGGTTCTAGTACAGTAACTCTCCTGTTATTTTGCTGGCTCCCCGCGTTATGCGGGCGTACAGTACAGTATTCGAACGCACTGAAGGATCTGCCAAGAAACGATGCGGTGCAGGTGCGCGTGCGGTTCTTTTTGGCACAGAGCGCAGTAGAACAACCAATCACAGAATGACGGGCAAATCCAGCGAGGCTACCACTGGCAAATTAAAGTTCTAACAAATAACCTTTTGTCCAATCACCGGGCTTCTCAGAGGACCTTTTCCGAACGAGAGTGCCAACATGGCAGTGCATTACAGCCCTTTGCCAACGCCGTTCAATGTGGTGAGCACAGAGTTGAGCTGGCTGACGCCCTCGGTGACTCTTAGCCATGAGTTAGTCACCAATCACAGCAAAACTGCCCTGGCAGCTTTTCAACCTTCGGCTGGCGTGGCAGGTCCGCTGGGCCACCCCCAACCGCCAACACAGAACTTGATTTGATGAAAGGGCGTGTCACGCATAGAGAGTTTCCAGCTCTTAAATAACTTTTTAGACTGGTTTGTAGAGGTTCAAAGCGGTGAAATATACTTGCCGCTTCAGAACGCACATCATCGTAGTCAACCGCTTTAGACCAACTTAACCAAGCATGTCAATGACTACGTTTGCATCTGAGAGTGTAACGCTTCCTACAAAAACGAAGAAACCTGGCATAAGCATACGTGCTTCTGAAGAGTGGCTGTAGAAACGCGGCCTAGCATACGTGTTTCTGAAGAGTGACTGTAATAGGAGCTGTACCAAGTGACATCGGGGTAATGCTATTCATCCCTCGTTAAAGTACGCCAGGTCCTCTACTGTACTCGCTATGTCGCATGATCGCTGGACATGACGGACCGTCAAAGGCCGGGAAACCAAAAATTGGTCAGTTTCATGTGCAGGAAACTGTCGCCAAATTCTCCTGCAGCTTCACTTGGTGAGTGCAACTCTCCCACCAATCAGAGCCCGTAAGTGCACGTGTATGCCTTGCAAGCCACGTTAGCTTTCCTCCGCCTACCCCGCCTGCGGAAAAATCCCGTCTGCCAAAATGGAAATTGGAAGGGGGGAAAGGAAATTGTGGCAGGAGCAAGTGCTGTACAGTGTCACCCTTCATGCTTCATCTTCCTCCGCTCTTCCGCTCTACTGCTCTTCTTCCATTCCGCTTTTCCGCGCTCCCCTCCCTGCTTTCGCTCTCCTCCCAGCTTTCAATCTCCCGCTGGTTTACTTTTCTTGCACGCACCTCCGCTCCCCCGTGTCCGAGCACCTTCCCGAAAACATTCCCCCAGTGTCCCGCGTAACCGAACAGCACCCCCCACCCCCACCCGCACCCCACTCCACCTCCCCGCGAAACCCTACCGCCCCCCTATGGCTCCCTCTCTCAGCCGTCCCTCCTGGTGCTGCTGCTCCTGTGAGGCTGTGACCTGCCCTGACTGCTTCACATCAATTTTCTGCCTAGCCGTTTCATTTCCCAGTCATAATTTTCAGTCCTACCTTCAGAAGCTGCTCCATAGCCGTTTCTCTAGGAAGTTCGTCTTCACAGCATAGCAGTAACCTCACTTCCACATTTAACTTTTCCGTTATCGGTTCTGCATGCTTTAGGCCGAACTGCTGTGATTTGCGGGTAGAGATTTGCGTGGGGAGGAGTAGTTCGCTTGGGGAGATCCTTCAGCTTATCTCGCAGCCATGTCGATCGCTAACTCCCTTATCAAGCCCCCCACCATCAATGGGTCCGGCGCTGTCGTTTCGCGGTTCTCTGCCTTTGAGGATTTCCTGCCTAATGATTTTATTCAGATGTACATAGGCTCATCTTCAAGTCAGGTTCCTCGCCGACTTTTGGCTGCCGATGGCATTTCATCCGTCAATCTTAAGCTGAAGGGTCTTAACCGTGGCTTTTATGCCAAGCACCAGCGCATAGTGGCCGGACCCTGTGCGTCGGAAGAGTCTGTGCACGATGGCCTGGCCTCCTCGCAACCCCAGACGATGCAGTTTGTGCTCGGCATGTCAGATCTTCTCTTCGTCTCGGTCACCACGTTCTCCGGAAAGGTACGTGTACTTCGTGATAATCAAAATTGCGACGTAGTATCCGCATATCAGCTCTTTTTTCTTCGCTTTACATTTCGTTTGTCGGATTTCGTTGTAAATGGATGTTTCACAAACATCGCCTGTTCCACAAATATCGGCTGTTCCACAAACATCGCCTGTTCAAGTATGAAGTAGCCTTATCAATTTCCTCAATGATTCGTTTCTCATTCCTTTTTGTTGTTCTTTCAGGAGTACCTGTTCTCTGTGGAGCGGGCTGCGAACCATCGAGTTCGTGACATCAAGAAGAGGATATGCGAGCGCGAACGTCCTTCGAGTTCGGAAGACGTGGAGCTTGTCCTTGCCGGCACGCCTCTGGAAGACCATTGTTTGATCAACGACTTGGACAAACATCGGGATTTCGGAGCCGTGGGGTCCTGCCATTTGCATCTTCTCGTGCGGAAGAATGCTCGTGTGCATGCCAAGTCCGGTCCCGGCCGGACAATGGAGCTTTCCGTCAATGCGACGGAGGTTGCGTCGTTGCCGTCAATACAGGAGGTTGGCGACGAAGAATGCCCTGCATCTGTTCCTCTGGCCCTTCCCTGCTCGAGAACCACTTCGAGTGAAACAATCCAGCCGACAATGCTTGGAAATCACCCTTCTCTGAAAGGGGAAGGCTTCCGGGCGATGATGAGGGATGTGGGTACCGGCCTTCTCGAAGGCCACGTTCCGCACCTGACTTCTGACGGCTCGGGTGGCACTTACCTCATGTCCGACGCTTCGGGGGCGTCGACAGTAGCTGTATTTAAACCCATGGATGAGGAGCCTCTCGCTGTCAATTGCCCCCGCGGGATGGCTCCGAGTCTTGATGGGGAAGGGTTGAAGCGTGGCACTCGAGTGGGAGAAGGTGCTTTCCGCGAAGTCGCAGCTCACCTACTGGATCATCCACTGAAGGAAGGAGACAGCGAGGGCTACGCAAGCGTTCCTCCGACCACGCTTGTCGGCTGCTCCGCCAGCTTTTTCCCTCGCTCTGACTCTCCGCGGAGTCCGCTGGATGACCTGGAAGGGAAGAAGGTCGGTTCGCTTCAGAAGTTCGTCCAGTCGTTCAGCAACTGCGAAGACATGGGACCGTCGCGGTTCCCTGCGTCGGAGGTTCACAAGATCGCGGTTCTGGACATGCGGCTTGCCAACACGGACCGGAATGGTGCCAACATTCTTGTACAGAGGGTCGACGGTCCGAGTGGGGTCAAGCTTATTCCAATTGACCATGGTTACTGCATTCCTGATAAGGTAAGCATCCAGTGCAATGCCTAACTGATTTTTTGCGAATTTTCCACGTCCTTCCCCATTTGATCCACTTTTCTGCCTTGCCCTCAATGTTTTCTCCCTCACGCATGTTGCTTTGCATTTCTGTCATGCGCGCTTCCTTTTTCCCTTGTTGCCACCTTCCTTTTTTCCTTAACTGGTCGCTATTCTGTTGTGTTCTTTGTGCCTGCAGTTCGAGGATTGCACGTTCGAGTGGCTGTATTGGCCCCAATCCAAGGTTCCCTTTGCTGAGGAAACTCTGGAGTACATATCTAAGCTCGATGCCAACAAGGATATTGAGATTCTCAAGGAGAGCGGCTGGTCACTGAATCCAGCATGCATTAAGGTACTTCAAGCTTCTACCATGCTTCTCAAGAAGGGTGCATCTGCAGGCAAGACTCCATATGAGATTGGGTCCATGATGGTCAGAGATGACCCAGATGTCCCTTCTCAGATCGAATCCCTGGTGGAGGAAGCAGAGCTGCAGGCTCAGAGGACTGGTAACCAGTCCTTTGAGGTGTGCTTTGAGGCAGCACTAGATCAGCTCCTGATGTAGGCACTCAGGGAGTTGTGAAGCTGTGAATATTATGTTGTGATTTGATATCATTTGAGGCTTCAAACCACTGTTTGAACACACCATGAACGCAAATCAGGAAGTGTGGTTATTAGTGCAGTGAGTCTCGGTTCTCTGGTTTGGAAAAGCGCGGCACATGGTTTAGCTTGCGTTTCGGTGATGGGCAGAAATGTCGGTGTTTGGGACGTTCCATCATCACAGACCATAGCCCCTGTGCCAAAACAGGAAGACGCGACGGGCCAAACCTCTGCCGAGCCTCGTCAAAATTGGCGAAGTGGCGGGCAGCTCGAATTAGTCATTGCCTAGCGTAAATCGTGCTGCTGGGATGAACTGTGAGTTTCCGTTTCGGTCAGCAGCACACGGAAGGAGAAGAATATTTATGGGCTGTGGTTGGTGGGCCCGAGTCTCCCCTGCCGGACCACCGACAAGCCTTCCAAGGTGTTTCCGCAAAACCAAACGCAGAGAGGCTCGTCTCAGTAGTGTACCGCGGGCACGCGCAAACCTAGGAGGGGCACCAGCGCGGAACGTGGCGCGCGGTGGATTTTAGGGTTGCTGCTCATCCGTAATCGTGGCGATTATCTTCGCGTAGGGACAGCAGTAATCAAGTCATCCTAAACTCGTTCTCATCGGCTCATGCATTGTGCTAGGCGCTTTCCAGCGCCTAGCTTACTGATCTTAGCTTGCTGCAACTGCTCGTTCCTTCGCCTGTCGCGTTTCTATCATTTGCGCGGCTCGAATTCCTGACCGTTTGCTACAATAGATTCGTGGCTTAAAAGTCGTTCCGTGTGCTCTCCCGTTGATGGCGCGTAGATTTGACCGTAGCGGTCTTATCGTCTTCCTGACCGCTGTTTACGTCTGCTGTAAGTCGCACTCGTCCTCCTAGTCTGGCATATCCTAATAAGTCTGATCTCAACGAGTCGCGCTTGAGAATCATCTAAAACCGGCCGAAACACTGCGCCTGGAGCGCCTCTCACGTTTCCGCCCGCTGTCTTGTGTGTGCAGCGTCGCTATCCTCCCCGTCCCGCGCCAACAGCGCCGACTACGCCAACCAAGGTGAGCCTAGTAACAGCCGCTGCTCGCTTCGCGTCGTCTGTTCGCGATTTCCCCCATGCGTGCGGTCGACTCTAAAATGAAATTTCGCAAATCCTTCCCGAATGCGTTCGCGCCACCGCTTGATTGCATTTGTTTATACCGATCGCCGTTCAGCTTTCCCCTCCCTCTTCCCTGCTCGTTCCCGCCGTCCTGCCGTTCCGACGTCCGTCCCCCTGCCTTCCCCTCCCGTTACCTTCCCCCCTAGACTCCGTGCCGCCCACCGACACGTGGAAGGAATCCAAGCCGTTGCTGCCGCTCTCGGGGCAAGCGCGCAACGCCACCGTCCCATCCGGCCTCACCGCCTTCTTCCGCGTCCCCAGCACGTGCAGCGCCGCAAGCGGCGCCGCAGGAGGCGCAGGGGCAGGGGGAGGGTCGAGCACAGGAGGGGTAGGCGGAAGCGGCGGGGACGCGCGGTGGTATGTGAATGTGGAGATATGGGGGCTGTTCGCGCCGGGAAACGACACGTCCGTGTTCTACCTGCCCATGCTCATGCTCAACAGCAATGGCGAAGTGCCCACCGTTCTGGTTACCAACACGCTGCAATATCGCCTGGACGACCACACGAGCATAGATTACCCGAGTAAGAGCGCACACTGCTTTGCCCAATGCCATAAATCAGTTTCCTTGCAAACCCTAACGCCTCTTCTCACCGCTTGCCTACCGCTTTGCCAACCTCCTTGCCCTGCTTTAGTGCCGCCCGTGCTTCCGTCCCTCTCTCCACTCTTTTCCCGCCTCTCTCCGCCCTCTTCCCGCCTCTCTCCGCCCCATCCCTTCTGCATTTTCCCTCCCGCCTTTTCCCTCCCACGTCTTCCCCCCGCGCCCCCCTCCCCCTGCGGAGCAGATTTCCGGTCAGGGCAGCCGTACCAGATAGTGAGCGTGGTGCAGGACGACCTCGTTAAGAACGGCTCCGTTAACGCGACGGAGCTGATAGTGGGCATTTTCAGCGACTCATACATTGCAGAGGGGCAGGACCTTGGCTTTTCCATCCGTGCCTTCTGCTCCCGTGAGTGCTGACCAGTGCCTGCTGCTCTGGTGTACATTCTTTTTACACAATTCAAATGACGCCTGCTGCTCCGCTGAGCGAGCATTCATACAGTTCTATCTCACACCACTTCCACTGTACATTTTCTCTGCTCGCTCTTGCCTCTCCTGCTCGTTCGCTCGCTGCTGTGTACTGTTCCCACTCCCATGGTTCAGTTTCCGCCTTCCTGCGTTCATCTTCAGTTCTAATCTTTCCCCGGTCCTCTCCCAACCTCATCCTTTTCCCCTCCACGGCTGCCTGCGCGCAGAGGGCAGGGGGTGTCCAGTCAACTGCAGTGGGCGGGGCGTGTGCGGGCAGGGGGGAGTGTGCCAGTGCCCCAAGGGGTGGGGCGGCACTGCTTGTGCTGATGGTGAGACGCGGGGAAGGGGGGTGGGATAGCGGAGATGGCAGGCGGGGATGGGCGTGGGGGTGTGCGGATGCAATTTGTGGAGGGAAGGGAATGCGGGGAGGTAGGGGCACTTGCATGCATAGCACCATCCTTTCCTTCCTTCTTCACCTCTTCCCTCAGTTCACTGTCGCTGTCCTGCTTGCTTGCATCAGATGCGTGCTTGCATTTCGCCCTCCTCTCAATCAACGGTTGTCATCTCCTGTCCCTGCCATTCGTGTTTGCCCCTCAACCCATCTCACATCTCACTCCGTCTCACCCAATTTTATTCATCACCCACTCTCACCCATCACCCCATCGCACCCCATATCACCCCATATCACCCCATCTCACCCCTTCCCACCCCTCAGTGGTGCATGACATCCAGCCGGGTCTGCAAACCCTTGCGCCGGGGCAATGGGCCTACTTCCAGATTCAGGTGGGCTTTCTATCCTATTTGAATGTCTCTCCCCTTGGTTTCCCATCCACGTGTCATGGTCCCCGTCCCTGCCATGTGGTGACTTTTGAGTCGACTCAAAAGTCACGTCTCATGGTCCCCGTCCCTGCCGTGTTTCTTCCCTCCTTGCATCCCTTTTTCCACTCCCGTCTTGCACTCTTCGCCATCCCGCTCGCCCACTCTCTCCCGCCCCACCTCCCCCCTTTCCCCCTCCCCCAGGTGACCCAGCCAAACACCAAGCTGCTCATTCAGATGGAGCGAGCAGCAGGGGATCTCGTCTTGTTCGCCAAGCGCGCGGAGCAGGGATTCCTGCCGTTTGGCATGCCCACCGTACCGTGTTTGACTTCAACGGCTTCTCCCCCCCTCCCCCTCAATTCTTCCAGGTGACCCAACCAAACACCAAGCTCCTAATCCAAATGGAGCGTGCGGCAGGCGACCTGGTGCTATTCGCCAAGCGTCAGGAGCAGGGATTTTTGCCCTTCGGCATGCCCACCGTGTTTGATTTCAACGGCTTTGCCGACATGGACTCCTTCCGCCAGCGCCCAGCCTGGCTGCACCCATACTCATGCCCGCCTCCTCTCTCTCTCCCCCGCCTCTCTACTCCCGCCCTCGCTCCCCACACACCAGGTGACCCAGCCAAACACCAAGCTCCTAATCCAAATGGAGCGAGCAGCAGGAGACCTGGTCCTATTCGCAAAACGCCAGGAGCAGGGCTTTCTGCCGTTCGGCATGCCCACGGTCTTCGATTTCAACGGCTTTGCTGACATGGACTCCTTTCGGCAGCGCCTCGACCGCCACCAGATCGTCTGGAACCGCACTGAACCGGGGATTATCCTGGTGGCCGTGCTGAACAACGACGTGGATTTGAGGGAGACAGGCGGGTTCAGGCTCGAGTATAGGCTCGCAGTGGGAAGGGAGGGCAGGGCGCTGTGCCCGTGGGACTGCGGGTGGCCCGCGGGTTTCTGCCAGGCGCTGTCGGTGGATGGAGGGGGGGATGGGGGAGCGGAGACGCAGTGTGTTTGCAACCCGGACTCTGCAGGAAGCTTCTGCCAGGGAGGTGAGTGGTGGGGACTGTGTTGTGTTGTTGTTGTGCTGGTGGCCGTGCTGAACAACGATGTGGATCTGAGGGAGACCGGGCCTCACAACGGTTTCACGCCTCTTTTACACCCCCCTTACTCCCCCGCTTCCCTCCCCTCCCCTCCCCCTCATCACAGGGCTGCAGATAGCAGAGCTAGGCAAGGCAGTGCAGGGTGTGCTGCCTCCGGCCATTCGTTTTCCATCTCTTTTCAACCTCCCCCCTCCCCCCACTCTCCACACCCCTCCACCCTTTCCATCTCGCCTCATCACAGGCCTGCAGACGGCGGAGTTGGGCAAGGCAGTGAAGGGCGTGCTGCCTCCGCCCATCCACTTTCATGCCTCATTTCATGCCCCCCACCCCCATTTCCCGCACCCCCACCGTTTCTATTTCCCCACTGAACAGGTCTCCAAACGGCAGAGCTAGGCAAGGCGGTGAAGGGCGTGCTGCCTCCGGGGCACTGGACGTACGTGCAGTTCACCTTCGACCCCTCCACCAACAAACAGATCGTCATCAGGTGAGCCCTCAGGTGAGCCCTCAGGTGGTTTCAGCAAGGCAAGGCCCCGTGCCTTCCCTATTAGAAAACGACTATTGCTTCACGGTGCGCGTGACTAGTGACACACTGGTGCCCTTCTCCTGCTGAACTCCCATCTCTCTGTGCTTCCAGTTTCACCAGAACGACTATCGGTTCACAGTGCGAGTGACCAATGACACACTGGTGTCGCTGTTGACGTGGTCAACTCGTCGCTGGAGGGGCCAGGTGACCAACGACCGACCAACGACACTCTGCTGCCCCTTCCTCTCCTGCTGCCCCCATATCCTGCGCCCCACCCTCCCCCAGCTTCACACGCAAAGGAGGGCAAGCCAGTCTAGTAGCGCGTCAAGGAGCAGTCCCTTCTCTCCTGGAGAACGACTACCGATTCACGGTGCGAGTGACCAACGACACACTGGTGTCGCTGTTTGACGTCGTCAACTCGCATCCTGTGGACCCCTCCCACCCACCCTCCCTTTCCCTGTGCCTCCAGCTTCACCCGCAAGGGGGGACAGGCGAGTCTAGTTGCGCGTCAAGGTGCCGTGCCCTCCCTGCTGGAGAACGACTACCGGTTCACGGTGCGCGTGACCAACGACACACTGGTGTCGCTGTTTGACGTCGTCAACTCGTCGCTGGAGGGGCCCTACACGTTTGGCATCTTCAACCTCAACTACTATGTGCACCAGAGCTGCGAGTTTGAACTCGAATTCAAGTATAAAGGTGCGTTGAAGGACAAAGGTGATTTTTTCTGCCGCCAACAGCCAGCAGCAATCCCCTTGCACATCATCCCGTCTTCAACCTCAACTACTATGTGCGCCAGAGCTGCGAGTTTGAACTCGAATTCAAGTACAAAGGTGGGTGGTGTGCGGTCATGTGTGGTCATGTGTGGTCATGTGTCTCTCTTGCTGGCATCTTGAACCTCAACTACTACGTTCACCAGAGATGCGAGTTCAGGTATAAAGGTGCGGTGATGTGCGGTCATGTGCGGTGATGTGCGGTCACGTGTCTCCCCTGCTGGCATCTTTAACCTCATCTACTATGTGCACCAGAGCAGCGAGTTTGAACTCGAGTTCAAGTACAAAGGTGGGTGGAATGGTCATGTGCAAGGATGGGTTCACCTGCGCTGTTTGTTCTCTGCGAAACAAGCGGCCATGCCCCCTCTTGCTTGCGTTTTTCAACCTCAACTACCACGTGCATCAGAGGGAGATGAGTGTACTGCTCAGCTCAACTCAACTCCCCATCCTACTCACTCCCCTTCCCCAACTGACTCCCCCAGCTTCTTTGACTCGCCCTACATCATAATCATCTACGCAGTGCTCGCCTTCCTGCTGCTAGTTCTCATTCCCTCCCCTTTCTCCACATGCACCTTCTCCCTCCTCCCCTCATCCTCCCACTACCCCCCACAGACTCCCCCAGCTTCTTTGACTCGCCCTACATCATAATCATCTACGCAGTGCTCGCCTTCCTGCTGCTAGTTCTCATTCCCTCCCCTTTCTCCACATGCACCTTCTCCCTCCTCCCCTCATCCTCCCACTACCCCCCACAGACTCCCCCAGCTTCTTTGACTCGCCCTACATCATAATCATCTACGCAGTGCTCGCCTTCCTGCTGCTAGTTCTCATTCCCTCCCCTTTCTCCACATGCACCTTCTCCCTCCTCCCCTCATCCTCCCACTACCCCCCACAGACTCCCCCAGCTTCTTTGACTCGCCCTTCATCATAATCATCTACGCCGTGCTCGCCTTTCTGCTGCTAGTTCTCATCGTCATCGTGCTGCGCTGTGTCATCCGCCGCCCGCCCCCCGCCGCTCCTGACGTGGAGCTCTCCGCCATCGGTGACATGGACAGGGTGAGTGCTGATGTGGGCAAGGTATGTGCTGACATGGACCAGTGGCAGGTATAGTCAGACAGGGTGTGTGGTGACCAGCAGTGTTACTCCTCCCTCGTTCGTCCTCCTCTATCTGTCCTCCATTATCATGCCCATTACCACCAGCACATCTATTCCAATGTCTTATCGTTGTGCATCTTGCGCTCAATCCCTGCCCCGGCCTTCCCCCACCAGCAAGTGGACTGACTGTGGACAGGGCGCTGGTGAAATTGTTCCCTCTGACCCACTGTGCCGCTACTCCCGTCCCCTGCCCCCTCCTCCCGTCACATCTCTCCCCTCTTATCCCCCTCTCCACTGTCATTGCCATTATCATTATCATTACCATTACCATTACTACTGCCATTATCATTACCACTATCATTACCATTACCATTACCATTACCATTACCACTACCATTACCACTACCATTACCTTTACCATTACCATTATTATTACCATTGCCACTACCACTATCATTACCATTTTCATTACCATTACCACTATCATTACCATTACAATCACCATTATCATTACCATTACCATTACCACTACCATTACCACTACCATTACCATTACCATTACCATAATTATTACCATTACCATTACCATTACCATTACCATTACAATTACCATTACCATTACCATTACCATTACCATTACCATTACCATTACCATTTCCATTACCATTACCATTACCATTACCATTACCACTGCCATTACCACTGCCATTACCAATACCATTACCATTTCCATTACCAACACCGCTACTCCCGTCCCGTTCCCTCTCCTCCCGTCACATCCCTCCCCTCTTATCCCCCTCTCCTCCATCCCCTCCCTGCCCCTTACCGCCCCCCCATCAGCACGTGGAGGCGGTGCCAACAGGGGTGGACAGGGCGCTAGTGGAGTCATTCCCGCTCACTACCCTGTCCCTAATTCCTACCCTCCCTTGCCCTTGCTCTCTCCTTCCATCGCCCCCTTGCCCTTGCCGCCCCCCATCAGCACGTGGAAGCGGTGCCAACAGGAGTAGACAGGGCGCTGGTGGAGTCATTCCCGCTGGTGAAGTTCCGAGACGACCTCTTCGAGTCCTCTGACGACGCACAGTGAGTGCCTCTCTTTGCACGCCTTAGTATCTCCTGTCTTTCCCCCTATTGCCTGGCCTCACTGTTGCAACCCCCTTCCTGCTTGTAATGAATCCTTCAATCTCCCCCTCCCCCACATCCTCCCCCTCTTCCCCCCCACGTCATCTTCCCCCCTCTCCCTTTCCCCCCTCGCAGCTGTGCGGTGTGTCTAGCGGATTACGACGAGCAGGAGAGCCTCAGGAAGCTACTGGCATGCAACCACACTCTCATCCCCCATCCCTCATGCACTCCCCTCTACCACCCCCTTCCTCTCTCCCCGCCTTTTCAGCTGTGCGGTGTGCCTCGCGGATTACGACGAGCAGGAGAGCTTGAGGAAGCTGCCAGCGTGCAGCCACTACTTCCACGTGTCGTGCATCGGCGAGTGGCTTCGCACGCGCTGCTCCTGCCCCCTCTGCCGCCGCTACGTGCTGCTGCAGCCCCAGCAACCCCAGCAACCAGAACAGCCACAGCAGGCGGGGCAGGCAGGGCAGCCCTCAGCCTTGCAAGCGGAGCAGACAGGACAGTTGATGCCGCCCACACAGGCGGAGCAGAACAACGGGAGCTGTGTGGAGGGTCAGTTGGAGCAGCTGCTGCCAACCGAGTCGGGGCGGAGCAATGGGGGGTGTGAGGAGGAGGGTTCAGAGCTTGGAGAGGAGGAGCGAGTGACAGAGCAGGTGCAAGGGATGGCGCAAGAGGGTATAGAGGGAGGTGAGGTTGTAAAGAGAGCTGGGGAGGATTGTAGTGTGCGGCACCCACAGCAGGAACGGCAAGAGGTGCAGGAGGAGCAGCATCGGCAACAACAACTACAAGAGCAGGAGGAAGGGGAGAGGGATGGGCAGTGGCTTGAAGAGGAGAGATTGATGAAGCGGGAGGGAGAAGAGGGAATGAAGCAGGAGGGGTGTGAAGGGGAGAATGACGTGATTTATAACCCGGAGCCAGCTTTAGAAGGCTTGTTGGATGGAGATGGAAGGCAGCACCGGGAGCGGCATGAAGATATTGCAGAGCGAGTTGAGCATGACATGCATTAGCAGGATGCCATAAGGCCTCACACATAGCTACGAGGCCTGTTTATAGTGAATGCTGATTGGAATGTGAATATCCCCAAATAAAATGGGGCTGAGAAATACATCTTTTGGTGTGGTGCTTTCGTATGTGACTAGATATGAATCTTTTGCTTGTGTGACGATGCATATGCCTGACTGTACTGAGAGCATTGCAGTCTTTGGCGAGCAATATGTGGCGAACTTCAACTGATTGCATTTGCAGTTGCGCGGCGATCTCAACCAGAACTGCGATATGTCTCGCATCACTCCAACGTGGGTTCAAGATATTTTCGTGAATCTAGTTTTCGCCTCACTTCCGCTTCACCTCCAAATTTCTCGAACAGCGTAGAAACGAGTGTTACGGTAACACGCAAGCTTTCGCAAATATACAACAGCGCACGTAACGGAGATATGGGGGCACAACTTCCAAGCAGACCGAGCCGCTCCAAGCCAGCAACGAATCGCGCGGACCCATCACATTCCACATTGCACATCGCCGAACGCACATTGCTCAGGAAATCCTACCCAAGCCACGCCCCTGCCCTTGGTCATTTGCGCCTCGTCTTCCCAAACCAAGGGGCGCTTGCCTGTGCTGATTTCAACGCAGACCGCTCCACCACTTCGCCGCAACTGTATAGCGACAACAGCGCAACCTAACGCTGAAGTCATCACACGACTCCGCTCATTGCCGTACTACATATTCATCTCTGCCCTTTATTTCTTCGACAGTGGTACATGGAGGCATGGATAATCGCCGCGGCCCTGTTCAAACACACGTAGGCTCCGCAATCCGTACGATATGTCATCCTACGTGGCAGGCGCTGGGGGCGGGGAGAAAGCTCCCCCCACTGTAGAGCGTCGTCGACCGAAGCGTGTCGATCCCCAAACAGTGAGACCTAGCGCAGCAAACCTACCAAAGCAGAGAGAATATAGCACAGTGCGTTCGCGCATGAGCGACGAGGCGAGCATACTGGACTAGGCAGGTAGCGAGCCTACAGGACTCGCACAGAGTCCCGCGAGTGAGCGGCAACCAGCAGCAACGACTCACCGATAACCGCCAGACGAGGCAGCCGCACTTGGTGTCGCTTTGGAGGAACATCGGTTCTAGGATAGGTTCGCGTCACGTCTTAAGACGTTGTCTGGCGACACAGTGCATTGGACAGGCGGACCCTCCTCTCGGAACGCAACCGCTCTCATCAAACTTGCTTTTCTCCTGCGGCAGGGCGAGTGGAAAAACAGCCGACGGCGCTCACTCCTCACCAGGATTGCTTGACGAAGCCGACGCGAGTGCGGTGTCAACATAGTGTTGCCGGCTTCGAGGATAGATCTGTTTCATACGCAGTTAGTCGCGTTCGTTAGAGCTCAAGAAGAATAGGGTTTCCTTCTCTCTCATCGGACTAGCCTCGGGTTCTCGCGATCGCCCTGTCGCATGGGGTCATGCGACACGCGGCCGTCTACGGGCCTGTAACCTACGTTCGACTCGTATTCGCTAACTAAAGGTCGCGAAGTTGGTGGGGGTGGCGTGCCGCGGTGGAAGATCTGGTAGGAGCGAATACACAGGGTAGAGAAGGCCGAGCACAGGCGGCTTGGCGACATGGCATGGAAGATCCAGGTTAGTTCGCACACGTCGCACGCCGTTTATCGCTGCGCCTCTACTGCGTCGCGACTGTCGGGTTGCATATCGCGACTGTGAAGAGTAATAGCATCCGTGTAGTCAGAAACGAGTGACACGTGCCTGGTCTGAGTTCGCTCACCCATAATTCATCCCTTTCCTTCTCCCCGCCTCGGATGGCTGTGCGACAGGCGATGGTGTCGCCCGCGGGCCAGTCGTCGCACAGGGTTCACCACGTCGACCCGAAGCAGCGGAAGAGGTAATCTTGCGGGTTTTGAGGCGCTTTGATCGTATCCCAGTGCACTCCGTAACAGCCTCAGGTTCGAGCACCACGTTTCACTTTTTGCACCTGCTTCGCGTTTCCGTCAGCACTTAGGAACTCATTAGAAGAGGTTCCTTTTCCCATTTCTTACTCTCTCTCTTCCCCAACCAACCAACCCTTCCGTGCCCACACCTCCTCCTCTCCCTTCCCCTCCCCTCCCTCCGCCCAAACGAACGAACATCCCATACACGTGCTACCCACGTGCTACCCACGTGCTACCCACGTGTGCAACGACCTTCCCACGTCAGCTCTGCGAAGCGGGCTCCCCGTCGCAGTCGCATGCGATTCCTCTGCGGCGTTCCCTGCATGGACGCCGTCATCGACGACGACTCGTGCGACAACGTGCGACTCGCAACACCGGACACCACCGCGGCGGTCCTCCGCAAGTCTGCGCATGCGGAAGGAACTGCGCAACACGGGGAAGCAGTCCCCCCCAGGCTGCCAGTTCCCAGGCTCGGCAGCGGAAGCCCCGCGGGACGTCGCGGGGGCAGCGGCGGAGGCCAAGCCGCGGGCGCTGCTGCGCCTTCCGCCAACGGTGCTGCAGGCGGAAGCCACGTCGCAGTTGGTCGCGCAAACCGCAGCATGCACTGCAGCGGAAGCGGCGGGGGGAGCGGGAGTAGCGGAGGCGGAACGGCGGGGGGGCTGGACGAGTGGGTGGGGGAGAGGAGCGAGCGGTGGTTGGGATCCAACGGCTCTCACGCGGGAAACGCGGCGGACTCGGCGGGGGATTCGTCAGACGATGACGACGGGAGCGACAGCGGGATCATGTTCGCGGGGGCCAAAGCCGAGCTCGCTGAGCGCATTTGGCGGCGGCAAGTGCGGGGAGCAATGAGTAAGGAAGGTGCGGGAAGGGAAGGGGGGGGGGAGGAGGGGACGGGGAAGGAAAAAGAAGCAAGAGACGAGGGGCGGGGGAACGATGCGCGCGCAGGGGAGCGGGAGCGGCGGGGGGAGGAGGCGGAGATGATTCGATTGTTGAAGGAGAGGAAAGAGCGGCAGCAGCAGCGGCAGCAGCAGCAACAGCAGCAGCAGCGGCAGAAGCGGCAAGGCCTGTATCGGGAAACGGGCGGCATGGGCACAGACTGCGACAGCTCGGCGAAACACTATATCGAGGACACGGCTGGCCGATTAGCGGAGCATGAGGAAAAGGGGGACGAGGATGGGAGGGGTAGGGAGCATGGAGATGCGGGGGATGCGGGAGGCGGGATGAGCGGCGGGCGGAACTATTGGCGGGAAGTGGTGCGCCAAGGGGCCTCTGAGCGCGGGGAACACGACGGGGCGGCGCAAAGGGAGGCGCGGAAAGAGGTGGCGGAATCTGCGCTGAGGATGGCGGAAGCGCAAGAAAGGGGACAAGCGGAGGTGGCGGCGGAACTGGCGGGAGGTGATTCAAGGGGGAAGGAGGCGGAGGGTAATGCCAGCGACAGTGCGAGAGACAGTGACGGGAGTGCTTTTAGCGAGGATAGCTGGGGAAGGAGCGGGGAAGAACGCGCGGGGGAAGAACTTCGGGGGGTGGACGCTCGGGGGGAGGGGGAGAGAGGGGGGGATGGCGCAGGAGAGGAAGCGGAAGAAGATTCAGACGCGTTAGAAGATGATTCGTCACCCGTTAAGAAGCTGTGGCAGGGGCTGATGGGTTCAACCGGTGCTGGTGACACCACAGTTAGAAATACTAGTGGTTCTAACGCTGATGGTACTATAGCCGGTGATAGTGGCGCTGCTGTGTCTGCCGCTGCCGGTGGCGGCGGCGTGTGCGGCGGGAGACAGGGGAGTATGACGCCTAGACGACGCGCGAAGATGATTCAACTGCTTGAGGAGGTGAGGGAGGAGGAGGGCGAGGGGGAGGAGGAGGGGGAGAGAGAGGAGGGGAAGAGGGAGGAGGGGAAGAGGGAGGATCGGAAGAGGGAGGGAGACAGAGCACGTGGCGGGAAGGGATTGGGGTATGAATTGATGAGCCCTGGTGAAGGGATGGGTTGGCAGGGAGGGGAGATGGAAGAACGGGGGAAGGGAGGATGGGAGGGAGGAGGAGAAAGCAGGGAGGAGAGGGAGACGGGGTTTGAAGAGAGGGAGATGGGGTTTGAGGAGTCGCTTGGTGTATGGAGGGCGAGAGAGGAGGCATCGTGGCGCGAGAGGGTGGCGGGATGGGGGGAGCGGAGAGGGGGTGAGACATGGTCGGAGGAGGTCGATGGGGACGAGGAAGAGGGGGAGGGGGAAGGTTCGGAACTTGTGAGAGAGGGACGAGAGGCGGAGCAGGAAGAGGAGCAAGGGTATTCAATCGCAAGGGGAGGAGTGGTGGAACAGAGCCTGCAGTGGTTGGGTTCGGTTCTACAAGAGGAAGGAGAGATGGAGAGAAGCAGAGGAGAGAACGACAGAGAGCAGGCAGTACAGTACGAGCTTACAGCACAACAGGAGCATTCTCTCACGTCGTCCTATGTGACGTTCGATTCACAGCCGTCGCCCACACCATCTGGTTCCGAAGCAGCCGACACAGCAACATCCGCTCTAGCACCCGCCCACTCTCTCTCCCCCTTGACCTCCTCCACTGCTCACTCCTTCTCCCCCCCAACCTCCTCGTCTGCTCCCTCCCTCTCCCCCCAAACCAACTCCACTGCTCCCTCCTCCCCTCTGCTCCCCTCTGCTTCTGTCCCTCCCGGGCCTGCGCTTACTCCCGCCACCGAGCCTCCATTGCCGAGCCTGGGCCCGGTGGAACCGAGCCTGGCGGCGGTTCGGCCGAGGCTGACGTCGAGTGTGATTCGGAACGCACATCGCAAGGTGGTGGCACAGCGAGTGGCAGCCACGGCTGAGGCCAGGGCTGCTGCTTATGCCGCCGCTCCTCACGCTCCTCATGCTCCTTATGCTCCGCATGCTGCTCCTGTTGCTCCTGCTGCTGTTGCTGCTGTTGCAGCTGCTGCTGTTGCCGAGAGTCAAACTGCTGGGGGAATCGTGAGTGCACCAGGTGCTGTTGCAGCTGCCACTGTCACAGCCATTGCACCTGCTCCAAGCACCCGTGCCTCTACCGCTGCTCCCACTGCTGCCGCCGCAGCTGCCGCTTTTGCTGGTGCTGCTTCTGGCGCTGATGGCTCTTTTCAGGAAACTCAAGCGGTGCATTCAGGTGCAGAGGTAGCCGGAGCAGTTGTCTGGTCTGCAATGGAGAGTGACAGAGTGAAAGGTGGCGAGAGGGGGAGGGGTTGTGGGGAGCAGCAGGGGCGGAGAGGCGGTGAGGAGGCAGGGCGAATGGAAGGTGATGCGGGGGTAAAGGGAAGCAAGGCGGGGAAGGGTGGGAGGAGAGAAGCGAAGAAAGGCTGTGGGGCAGTGAAGGAGAAGAAAGGGCGAGGGGTGAAGGGTGGTGGTGAGGCGTGCAGAGGGGAGGCGGAAGGTAAGGGGCGTGGCAAGGCTGGGGTAAGAGAGACACAGACAGCAGCAGCAACAGCAGCAGCAGCAGCAGCAACAGCAGCAGCAGCAGCAGCAGCAGCAGCAGCAGCAGCAGCAGCAGCAGCAGCAGCAGCAGCAGCAGCAGCAGCAGCAGCAGCAGCAGCAGCAGCAGCAGCAGCAGCAGCAGCAGCGGCAGCAGCAGCAGCAGCAGCGGCAGCGGCAGCGGCAGCTGCACCAACAGGGGAGAATGCCCCACCACCACCACAGCAACCAGCACCAACAGCCATCCCACCGTTAATAGCACCAGAGGCTACCGTCACACAGGCGGGTTACCACATCCCCTCCCGCACGTCTCCTCGCTCTCTCTCCTCGGCCTCCATTCCCCCCCATGCCTCCACAGCCACTGCTGCTGCTGCCGCTGCTGCTGTTGCCCGCTTCCTTGCAGCAGCAGACTCACAGCTGCAGCAGTCCCTCTCTCCCTTCCCCCCAACGCCTGAATCCACTGGTAACCCTGTTACACAGGAGAATGGCTATCCGTGGTACATCCCTCACCACTCCTCTCAACCGTACTTTTATGCACCATCTCCCTTCACACCCTATCCTACCACCGCTCCCAACCCAACTGCATCTTGCTTCCCACCCCGAGCCATCTCCCTCGGTGCCATCAACACTCCCTTGCACGATCCAAACCTCCACTTCCCAGGCTCGGATCCGAACCACGCGACTGCAGCAACAGCTGCTGCTGATACAGGCTCGGCAACGAGCCAAGATGCACCTGGTTCTACTCAAGATAGTGCTCGGTCCCACCCACCAGAGGCTGTTGCTCGGTCCCAACAGTTCCCTGCTCCTGCTGCTGCTGCTGCCTTTCCACCTCGAGTTCGCTCCCTCACTGCCATCGGTGCAGAAACGGAGAGAGACACCACCACCACTACCGCTGCTGCTACCACCACCAGTGGTGCAGCAGCAGCAGGGTCTGGATTGCAGTGGCCTCACTCCCTCAGCCCTTCCCACTTCGCCCATCCCACTTCCCACTTCCCTCCGCGAGTGTACTCGCTCAGTGCGCTTGCTTCCGCTTCCCAGCAGCAGCAGCAACCTTACCAGATGCATCCTTTCCCCATGCCTTACCAGCACCCATATGCCTATGTGCATGGTTACAACTACAGCCACGGCTACAGTGGTAACCAGCAGTCGACACAGGCATTACAGCAACCAATGATCATCAACGCGCCTTGTGCTGCTGGTGCTGCTGCTGCTGCTGCTGCCGCTGCAAGATCCAGTCACTTGGATCCGCAGCAGGGACCGCAGCCAGCACAGAAGCCAGCACAGCCGAAACAGCAGGAGAAAAAGGCTAAGCAGCAGCAACAGCAGCCACAGGCTCAGCCTCAGCAGCAGTCAAAGCAGCCACGCAAGTCGTGTCTCAAGAAGGGCTCAAAACAGAGCATGGCTGCCAAGGCATCACCACAGGAGGCAGGTGCAGTAGCACTGGCATCAGGCAAGCCATCAGCAGCAGGAGCCAAAGACCCAGCAGCAGCAGCACGTGGAAGTACCAGTGGCAGCAGTGAGCAGGGGGCAGGGCAGCGGCAGTACCTGGTGCTGGAGCTGCCTCCTCCTGACTGCACGAACCCTGCCGATTACGCTGTTGCTACTGCTACTGCTGCTGCTGCTGCTGCTACAACTGCTGTTTCTGCCACCAATACCACTTCCCCCGCTTTTGCTGCCGCCGCTGCTGCGGATAATGCGTATTCTGCCGATTCTAATGCCATGCCTCGTGGGTATGGCAGTGGGAGTAGCAATGAAGCAGCTGCCAACCCCCTTAGCTCTAATGCATTGCCGGCCGGTCACCCTCCCTTCCCCCTCCCTCCCTGCCACCCCTCCTCCTACCACCCCTCCGCTTACCATCCCCTCGTGGACCCATACGCTGGACTGCCCTGGGGGATGGCTCCACCAATGGGGGGGAGCCACGTGGCAGCTCCTGGTTTCAGTGACCACCTGCCCTGGATAATGCCTGCCCAGAAACAACCTGCAGATTTGTCTCCGGCACAGAGCCCTTGGGCTCCTGATGGGTGGACTGGAAACACTGAAGGGTGGGGTCTTGGTGTGGGTTTGGAAGCAGGGACTGATGCTGCGCTGCCGGCACATGCGGGCGCAGGGATGGAGGGATTTGAGGTGCACGACTCGGTGACGCTGCTTCCAGAAGACAACAGCAGCGGAGGAAATAGCAGCAGCACGCGGATGCTTTATGGGAAGGATGTTCATCCGAGCGTGGTGAGGAGGCAGAGGATCGCCACTCCACCATGTCAGTCGCACCTTCTGCACACAAAAGTTAATAATAAGTGAGAACTGTAAAGTATATACTTTGTTTGTATCTGTTATTTTTCCTTTGATGTGGTGATTAACGGGAGATTGCACACTCCTTTTGGTTGGGCCTAGGCTTATCACTTGTTCAACCACGTTGCCAACGTGAAGATGTTGCAGGAAACTTTTGCATAGGCATATTCAAATTCGTAAACCTGCGCAATGTTAGCCCACAACAGCTACGTTGAATGTACAATATGGAAACGACGCATAGGCGAAGAAGACTATGAGACTTTATGTCATTTTTCGTTGACCAAATCAATTGAATACGGCTGAAGAAGCACATATTTGTACATATATTATCCGAGTGTCCGCTATGTTAGGGCAGTAGCTTCAACAGTAACTTTATATATTATCTATACACGTTGTCGAATTGGCTTATACCTCGGAAACATTTCTGACATTTTTCGAAGCGCAGATGTGACAAATGCGAATGTTCTAAAGCACAAACCAGCAAGTTGGGTCAAGTGTCCAAGGCTATGTAGGCTTGTTCTCTCAACAAACGAACCTGGAAGGGGGAACGTGATGGCTCTATGTCAGCGCGCTTCGTGTTTGACGCTTACATTTCTGGGCCCTGTTCGGCATGCATTATGGCCATTGTGGCCATTATGGGCATTTTTAATGGGCCCCCAAAAAATGGCCCCTGTGCATTTCTAGAAACAGCCCCGAAATGGGACTGTAGCTACAGTGTACCTAGAGAAAAAATGGTTTGACTGTTCGGCTGGCATTAATTGGGTGTAGATTGATGGTAGGCAGCTTCCGTGATGGATCGCGTGATCATGTGATTGGCTGGCTTAATTGACCAGTCACTGTTTAATGCCCCCATTCACTGATACCCCGCATGGTGCGGGGCCTCGAGGCCGCATGGTGCGGCGGATGAAAAAATGGGCACTTTGCCCGAGAGACTGGGTTCGTGGAAGATTCCAGCTGGTGAAAACGCCTGCACAAAAAGGACTGTTCGGGAGGCATTCCATTATTGTCAGGTTCGGCGTAGATCCGCTTATATCGAGCCTTGATAATCATTCACGCGCTTATCAAGGAAGTTTCAAGGGTGGTCGTTTCACTGTAGCCCATCCGCCGAGGCCATTTTTTTAATGCCTGCCGAACTGGCCCCTGGTTCGGTGAACGCGATTCGCAGAATCAAAACCTTCCGTACGAATCACGCGCTTCGATTTGACTTCCGTCACTCACCTCAATCCTAATTTGCGCCCCTCCCCTGCACGAGCCCACACCAGCCCTCACACACAAGGTCCTTCCCCGTCCAGCCCAGGTGCCTCCACCCCAACCAGCCGCACAAGATTCGTCCAGGACAGCACCTCTGCCCCTTGGGCGCAACTGTCTGCTTCGCGCCTTTTCCTCTCCCCACTTCTTATCCCGCTTTCCTACTTACGAAAGAACGCTCGGATACGATGAAGCACCACCAACCACACGACCAGCCTCAGGCAACTATGAACTAAAGTAGTCAATCATCTCAGGCGCCGAGAATAGTTCACACATTAAGATGTTGCCGTCACGATCACACTCCACCTCGTCGATTCACCCCAGCAGCAACATGACAGGAAGCGCGCAAGGCGCGCTTTCGCGACTTCAGCAGCAGCAACAAGAAGAGGTAGAAGGGCAGATTTACGCAACTAGGCGACACCAGCACCAGCAGATGCAGCTGCACCCTCAGCAGCAGTACGGACAGGTCTACCCCAAAGAGAGGGAGGTGCCGCGAAAGCAGGATCACGCGTTACCTGCGAGGAAAGAAGTGGCGAAAGTGCGCGCGCACGGCTCGAGCCGCCAACGGGAATGGAAGGCAAAGAGCTTGATCCGTTCGAGTCAACGAAGTCAACGGCGCTCGCCCGCGCGGTACGAGGGAGGAAGCGACCAGCCAGATTGCTTCTTCTCCTCGTGCTGCTGCTTGATGTTTGTTCGCCGTAATCGACGGCCCAGATCATCGTGCGGCAGCGCCTCGATCCATTCCGGCCCGCTCTCTTCTGCGCGGCGGAGCCAGGAGCTTGCGCACGAAGCATTTGCGGAGGATGGCGCTGAACTGGCGGTCTCTGGGCATGGGGGAACTGGAACGGTGGGCGCGCGCAATGTCTCCGCTGTCGAGCTTCTCCGCGCTGGGTCGCGCAATGAAGGGGCGCGCGGGAGAGGGTGGGAGAGCGACGACGACGATGACGATGACGCTAACGGTGACGATGACGGCGATGACGGTGATGGCGGCAATGGCAGCGATGACGGCGATTATGACGGAGAGGAGAACGAGCAACCTGGGGAAATCGAAAGGGAGCAAGGGTCGGCTGAAAGGTCTGAAAGTTCTGGACAAGCTGACGCCTGCGGAACCCTAGAGTTCAACGTCTCTTCAGCTGCCACCAGTTTTCCCAACAATGCAACTGGCGCGCTCGCGGAAAACACGGCTGACGTGTCCGACGCCACTGACAACCGTTTTCCCTCCGCGCCTCGCCTCCCTCGCGGCGTTTCCAAGGAGACTCTCGTGTCGCTCATCCGCACGGCGGAGGAAGTCGGCGCGCTGCGCGCGACAGAATCGAAGGACGCCGCGGCTCTGCTGCTCGCAGCCTTGGAAGACATCTCCGTGCCGTCCGTCCACCGAGCCAGCAGCCTCGGGAAAATCTCTTGCGGCTCCGGCTCGGGAGCTGCCGCCGCCGCTGCGGCATCTGCAGCAGCGGCCGCCGCGGCAGCCGCCGCCGCCGCCACCGCTGTTACGGGGCGTTCGAAAAGACCGATTTTGGGAAGTGGCAAGGTGGCGTGCTTTCCCGGCGCCGGCAGCTGCGTCGTTCCGCGATCTCTCTCCGCCGACCTCCTCACCACTCGTTCCCTCGAACTAAGTCACTCACTTGAGCTCCGTCAGTTTGTGGAAGAACAGCGCGGTATCGTGGGGAATGGGCTGTTGATTCTCGACCGTTCGATGGAGATGCAGCACATGGCGGAGATGGACCCGGTCTCCATGGAGCAGGAGTATTCCCCGAAGCATGGCGGCTTTGACGGGTTAGTCGAGTTCGATAGGTCAACAGCGGTCAACGGCCGGTCAATGAAGTTCAACCGGACTTTTGAGATCAAACGGTCCTCCCAGCCGTCCGTTCTTGCCGAGCCTAACTCCAAGCCTACGGCTGCCTCGGCACGAGGCAGCAGCTCAGCTCCGACCCACCCAGCAGTACCCCGGCAAGAGCCTCTGTCGCCTCTCATGCTTCCAAGCCATCGGCATGAATCGTTTGCCCCCCCTCGTCTCTCCCTTGCGCGTGATTCGCCAGAGGAAAGTGAGGAGGGCGAGGAAACGGAGGATATTAGTGTAAGCAGGAGCAACAGCAGCAGCAACACCAGCACTGGCGGAGGCAGCTGCGAAGGGAGTGGCGCAAGGTGCAGAGCGGTAGCTGGACTCGTGGGCGTGACGCAAAGGGATGCAGGGCGGTTTGGTTCTGATTCTGGTAGAGGAGAGGAGAGTCAAAGCGAAGACGTAACAGAAGTGCAACAATTTGTCCGCAGCAGCCGGGGTGTTAACGCGGCCAGAGGTCACGAGCCGAGGGCAGCTAGTAACGGGGACAACACCAACCTGTCCCGTAACATGCGTAACATGAACAGTCCTAACAGTTTTAACAATTTTAACCGGTCTGCTCCTTTAGACTTCCCAAATCTCCCTTCCATGCCTGCCTGGCCAGCTCCGGCCAAGCCTCGAATGGCCTCGTCAGTCATAGTCAACGCTCGTCGCCGAACCTTCAGTCGCCCGCACTCTCCTGCCCGAGCCTACAGTCCCCGACCTCTTTCCCCCATAGCCTCCTCCACCCCAACAGGTTCGGGCTTGGGTGGTGCCTCCGGGTGGGCTGCAAGGAGGGGAGTGGACGCTGGGAACAGTACAGATAGAGGTGGGGAAGGGAGTGGCAGTGCAATTACTGACGAACCAAATGGCGAGGTTCGACACTCTTATGCGAGCCTGGAGAGAAGCTGGTCTGGAGATCTGGGAATGAGGGGTGGATTCAACGATAGTGGAGTTAACTTGAGGGAGAAGGCATGGGAGGTTGAGCAGGTCGGGGAGGAAGAAGATGGTTGGGAGATGAGGCAACAGCACCAAAGCCAGCAGATCCAGCAACAACCACAAGACGTTGATGAGGACTTGTATTACTACCATTTGTGGCAGCAGCAGCACAAGCAGTTTCAGAAACTGTATGAGCAAGAGGAAGATGGTGGGTTCCAGCAGCAGGAGCAGCAGGTGCAGTACCAGCAACGCCTGCAACAGGAAGCGTCTAGGGCAAGAGATGGTGTCAAACGACACTGGAGGCCCTGATCCAATGCTCTTTGAGGCGAATAGCATAGGAATGGGCATCTCGTGATGTTTTTGTTAGAATTTATCCCATTGAGTCGTACTTGTACATTTCACACAGTTATGCTGAAGTGCTTAATTTTTGTAACGAATGTTGATGATTGTGATGCCCATCTCCTGATGTATGGACTGTATCATAGAAAAGCATTGTAACGCATAGCCTGGCAAGGAGGGGGTTTGGAAGTGACAGGTTTTAGGCGGGAAATTCCTCTGATATTTGTACAGTTCATGATTGCAGTGTGATTGCAGTCCAGTCCCAGTGATGTCGATGCTTTTGCCAGTTCATCTCATCCGTCCATCCGGTCATTCCAATCACAAACGGGCAAGCCAGATGTCGTCGTTTCAATGGCTGCAAGACTCACCCTACCCGCGACCAGTTGGAAGCCGTCAGAATACAAAAATGCAGGAAAGGATAGCAAGGAGGAAAATGTTCCATTGGGTTAATTTTTTCCATCAAAATGAGTACAGTACCTAATCATCGCGCCCATTCAGCAAAAAAATGCATGTACAGTCTCCCTTGTCAGCTGGCCCTTTTTCCCTCGTGACCAAGTTGCTCTGCAAGTCTGCGGTGACAATCCCCACCACCCACGCGCAAGCACAGACCATCCAACAAATCGCGCTTCGAAGCTTGAATTTTCCCTCGTTCTCCCAGCCCGTCCAAATTCCCTTCCCTCCCAAATCGATTCTGGAGCATCTGGCTGGCCCACTCACTTCACCCGCACGGTGTTTGTTACCCCCCCGAAACAGCCAGCCAAGCAAAGCCCCTCTGCTCAATGGCCAAAACCGTTCTGCTGCTGCGAGTGCATAGGGCTGAAGCATTTGCTTTGCACGCAGACATTACAACCTCAGGTAGAGCACCCCGCTGAGCACCCACCCAACTCAACCCAAACACCAACCTCACACAGAAAACCGCGTGGGGTTGGATTCGCACCCCGAGTTACGCGCGTAAACTGTGAGGTCCCAGATCCACAGACGTGCAACCCATAGAATTTCTGGACGAGAGGGAGACTTACACGTACACATGGTTGCAATGTGGGATCTGAGTCAAAAAGACCTGGCAGCTTCTGAGCCAGGTCAAAACATTTGTTTTTATGCGTATGTCGTTGACGGAAGTAATTTTTGCGAGCAGTCCATCCTTCTGTGACCTGTCCCTCGAAGTCCAGCAGGATCAATGTTGCGTTTAGTCGTGCTCTTATCACCTTCGTGCCGCAAGCCGCCATCATCTCTGTAACTTTTAACTCTTAAACTCACGCGTAATCTCGCGCGTGAACTTCGCTATTTCCTCTTCGAGAATTCGCGATACGAGCACTCCGGGGCCTCTGAATTCTGGACTGCGAGTCGACGACGCCACGTGTCATGCAACGACTGGCGTGGAGGCCCGGAGTCCCTTGCAGAATCTGCGGTGCGGTTTTCCCAAGCCAGAGCGCATCCAGCGGCGATAGCGGTAGTAGTAGTGCCAGCGTAATTACATCATCATCCAGCCAGAGTGCTATGACTAGTACTGTAGGTGTCAGCAACGACATTAGAACGGCCACTACTAGCGCCTTGGCGTCGCCGGGGTCGCACGGCGTGCTTTGCGATAAGGGGGGGGCTGTCGCAGCGAGCAGCAGCACGTGCGGGGGCGTCGCGCCGTGCGACACCAGCACGCCTCGCAACCTCGCCAGCACGTCACGGTGTCTTCACACAGTCCGTCGCAATCACTGCGCCTTACACGCTTGCGCGGGTCTCGCGAACGACGCCACCACTAGCAATAACAGCGAGGCGCTCCCACGTGGTGAGGATAGTAGTAGCGTTGGCGGTGACGCCGCAGCGTTCTCTGCGGCGGCGGTGGACGCGCCATGTACAGTCGCGGATGTTGACGAGTCGCCCCGAGTCACTGCCGCCCCGACGCCGCCTGCTTTAATGGCGGCGAGCCCAGCGCCTCGCATAGAAGAGCCGGCAGCCCGGGCAACCCACGACACCCCGACCCGGAAGGTTGCGAGTAGCACTAGTGGACGTGCAGTGGGAGCAGCAGCTGAGTGTAGTAGCGCTGATTCTTGGAGACCTAGCAGTCCTCGTAGAGCAATTCTGGATGTGCTGCGCGGGGGCCCACTGCACGGCGAACGGGGAGCTCTAAAACGGGGATGGTCTCGCATCGTTAGCTTCGTGCGGAGAGAAAACCGGCAGGCCCGGGAGCAGAAGGAGTCCGAGTCGCGGAAGAGACAGGAGAAAAGCTCAGCCGCCGCGAAGGGCGGCGGGAAGGCTACTACTATCGCAAGCATTAAAACAGGCGGAGAGGCTCTTGCGAGCGAGAGTAGCGCCAATTCGCGGTTGACGTTCGGCGATTGGGCGTCAGGCGGAGGCGCGGCCAGCAGCAGCCCTGGCGATCCGAAGGCGCGGCTGGCGCAGGCTTCGCGGAAGGCGGAGAGCGGCGCGGGTTGCAACGGGGCGTTGCGGAAGGGCGGGGGAGCGGCGGTATGCGCGGCATTTGTCCCCACGATGATGTGCGTGATTGAAGGGACGAGGGGTGGGGAGCGTGGGGCGCGGGATTGGGAGTCAGGTGAGGAGGGGGATGGAGCGGTTGAGTCAGGTACAGGGGGCGGTAATGATGACACAGAGGCTTCTCTCAGCTTCCATGTGCGCGGGGACGGGGGCGGGGATGAGCAGGCGGAAGGGGCTGACGAAGGTCAGGCGGAGGTGGTAAGCCGCGGGGCGGAGGTGGTTAGCCGCGGCGCGGAGGGGGAGGAGTTGGGCGGGCCAGGGTGGACGCACCTAGCGAGAGCTGCTCTGGAGCCGTGGGAGGTGTGCAAGGGCGTGGGCGCCGTGGGCGCTGTAGGCGCTGTAGGCGCTGTAAGCGCTGTAGATGCCGCTGTAGACGGGTGCAGCTATAGCGGGGATGGAGTGGGAGGTGTGGGAGGTTGCGGCGATGGTGGGGAGGCTGTGCTGGTGTACGTCCCACACGTCAACCCCTGCCCACAGCCGCTGACTGCACTGCTGGCAGCGGCTCTGCCACGCAGTGCTGCTCATTGTGGGGGTTCAAGCGAACTTGCAGTAACAGCAGCAGCAGCAGCGACAGCTGGAGGAACATCAACAGCAACAGCGGCAGCGGGAGGAACAGGAACAGAATCAGGAGGCCCAGCAGCAAACGCCACAGCAAGAGCCCCGGTGACAGCACCATCGTCGCCGTCAGCGCCGGCAGTGGCAAGGCGTGCCGTACCTCGAACCTACTCGACTGGAAGTTTCAAACGCCACATGTCAGGCTATGTTGCATCGCCTCGGAGGGTGTTCAATCGTCTGCCCGAGGACATCTGGCCCAGATTGAATCGCGGTCATGAGAAGTGGAGGAGTGGGAGTGTGGGTGGAAATGAGAGGGATAATATGAGTGAGGATGGAGGAGATTGTGGTTGTTGCAATAGCGAGGATGGATGTGAACGTATGGGAGCATGGAAGGGGGCAGAGATGAGAGCAGCAGAAGAGGGCTGCATAGCAGAGAAAGGAGTGAGCAGCAGTGATAGGGATGGCAGCAATTCTGGTGCTACTGGTGTGGGCGAACAAGGGAATGCAAACGAGAAGCAGTCACAACGGATACCATCGATACCGTCGCTGCCATCGATACCAACAATGCCATCAATACCAACTATGCCAAGTCCCCGCACTGCGGCTTCTGTCATACGCAATGCTCGGCGCATAACAGCTCCTGCTCTGGCTTACGAGCGAAGCTTTCTAACAGCGGCACATGGCAAGGGGCCAATCTAGCTTGCAAGGTGTTCATTTTGGTAGGGCACGTGACAAAAATAATAAGCGGGAGGCACTTCTTGCAGGAGCCACGTAGTGTACTCGTGTCTATAGTAAGTGCATATATTAGTAGGTCCGTAGCTATTTCGTATGCTATAATATTGTAACTTATTTCCACTAACAGTTTTCCAGCTCCTATAAGTATTCTGATTTTATTTGTCCATTCACTTCATGGCTAGAATGTGAAATTGTTTTGCATACGCAATCTCAAAAACGCTGTACTATCAAAGTTCAGCTTCAATTCAGTGACATTTCTTGCAGGACGGTAGGGCATCGCCTTGCCGTGCACGGACCTCGCATCTCAAGAATGGGGGTCCGACTTTCAAACTGCAGGCATGCCGCTCTGGTGGGATAACATCTAGGTAGCACAGAAACTGTCGCTCTAGAAGGCGACACAATCTAGATGATCTGTAGTCAGGCCTGCTCATCGAATCGTGCTCATCGAATCGTGAAGCCTTGTGTTTCTGAAGCACGCCATGGCAGCGCAGTTAGCGCGGCTAGCTAGTCGGAAGCGGGTGACGTTGGAAGAGAAGGAGCAGCACCAGTGGGTGGTCGACGAGGCGACGCTTTCGTCAGTCATCGCTAATGGCGAAGATGTCGGGCCTATTATTCGGCCGGCGTTTGAAATGGGAAAGCCCGAAGCGCTTCTTCACCAGGTTAGCAACGTTTCGATGACTAGGTTTCCGACGTTGTTCGCTTTAGTTCTTGTTACTTAATACCTGAGTTCCCTTTCAGGTCGGCTGAACGTTCATCGTCAGTCTTACTATTTTAAAATACGCATTCATTTTAGCGTCCCTCTTTATCCGATGCTCGACGTCAATGGAACCTTTGAGGTAACACCGTGATGCATTTAACGTGCAAGGTTCGAGACATGAAGTCAAACAAGACCTCCATGGACTTAATAGTGGCATCGACGCTCTTGTTTTTATTTCAGAACGTTTCATGCAAGCCCGAGAGACCTGCTTGATGTCTTAAGGAGCAAGATGTTAGACATTGGGCTATGCGATATGCACAGTGGGTGAATTACTTACATCCTAACTCAACTTAACTTGTTACCCTTTTTCGCCTCCCTTCCTGGCAGCTTCGCACGTTCGTGAAGAAGAAGGAGGTGGAGATCGAGGAGCTCTGCAAGCAGCACTACGAGGAGTTCATCCACGCCGTCGACGAGCTCAGGTGCAATCTACGCCGTTGATGAGCTCAGGTTGACGAGCCCATGTGGAATCCGACGCCTGAATCTATAGGTGTTTCGTGCGGCTCAAAAAGCATAGCCTGGCAGTAAGTTTTGAAGTTTAAAATTGTCCCTTTGTTAAGTCCGAGTTGGTGGATTCTGGAACTCTGAGGTAGAAGTAGAAGAAAGTGGGAAGTGAGAAGCAGGCTGCTGGACAAACTAATTGAAGAGCGACTCGTCGCTCTTCTGATTCTTCTTCCGCCCTCTCCACTACTTGCACCCTCCCCTCCCTCCGTCCACAGATACGTCTTAGTTGACGCGGACGAGTTAAAGCATGGGCTGGCGATGCAGAACACGGAGATGCAGGAGGTGGGGAGCGGGCTGCTGCACAAGCTGGACGAGCTCATTCAGCACAACGCCATCAAGACCAACCTCGCCTCCGCCCTGCAGCTGCTCAAGAAGTGCAAGACCGTTGTTGACCTCTGTGCTAAGGTATATCATATCCGCGTGGTAGCCCAGGGCCCAGCCCAGGGGGATGGATGAAGGGAGGGAGGGCTGGATGGGTGGGGGAATTGGTGGGTGGACGGGTGCGAATGGGTGAATAAGCAGGTGAGTTGATGGGGTTTTGCAGAGGTGGGTGGGGAGCGGGCTGCTGCACAAGCTGGACGAGCTCATTCAGCACAACGCCATCAAGACCAACCTCGCCTCCGCGCTGCAGCTGCTCAAGAAGTGCAAGACCGTTGTTGACCTCTGCGCTAAGGTACGTCCACGTCCACGTGGTCTCCTGGGCCTAGGGAGATGGATGAAGGGATGGGTGGGTGACGAATGGGTGAGAGGGAGTTGAGCAGGTGAATAAGTTGGTGGTTTGATGGCGGAATGAGCAGGTGAATGAGGGTTACCGCTTCCAGTGAATTCCAAGTGACATCGAGCAACTTATCCCCTCTTTTGCTACCCTCCCCTCCCCTCCCCTCTCCTCCGTTCCCGTCCTTCCCCTCCCCTCTCCTTCTTCCTTCCTCTCCTTCCCCTTCCCCCCACCTTCCATCCCGTCCTCATCCTCGCAGGTGAACGAGGCGATAGCAGCGGACAGCTACTACCAGGCGCTGAAGACGCTGGATGCCATTGAAAGCAATCACTCCACCTGCGCACCATTCCCTCCTCTGCTTCCCCCCCCCACCCTCCCTCCCTTCCTCGTGTGCTTGCAGGTGAACGAGGCGATAGCAGCGGACAGCTACTACCAGGCTTTAAAGACGCTTGATGCCATTGAGCGCGACCACCTGCGCACCATCCCCTCCTCCGCTCTGCGCGCATGGGTGGAGAGAGGTATTCCGCGGTGCAGAGCGCACATCGAGCGCAAGGTAGGGAGGAAGGGGTGAGATTTGAAGGGATTGCAGGGCTGGGTGGGTGGATGACCTTGGGTTTGGAGAGCGTGTATGGATGAAGAGGGATTCTTGGTGGGTTGCATTGCAACGTGATGTTTTTGTCTTCCCACAGACCCCATCCCCTCCCCCTCCCCATCCTCCCCCATTCCCTCACCTAACCCACGATTTACCCCTCCAGTCGCTGTCTCTGCATTGCTAAGTTCCCGCTTTATGAATACCTTATCTCCCCTTTCTATCCCCCAACCTCCTCTCCTCTCGTCCTCCCTCGTCATCCCCTCCTCCCCCCTTCCCTTCCCCCCCTCCTCCCCCTTCCCTCCCCCCCCTCCTCCCCCTTCCCTTCCCCCCCCTCCTCCGCCTTCCCTTCCCCCCTCCTCCCCCTTCCCTTCCCCCCCTCCTCCCCCTTCCTTTCCCCCCCTCCTCCCCCTTCCCTTCCCCCCTCCGTGCTCTCTCCACAGGTGAACCAGGAGTTCAACGAGTGGATGGTGCAGATCCGGGAAACGAGTCAGGAGATCGGCCGGCAGGCGATAGGGCAGGCGTTCAGTGCAAGGCAGCGAGAGGTGGAGCTGGGGGACAGGCAGAGGCAGGCGGAGGAGCAGACGCGGTCAGGGGCGAGGGCAGTGGCGTACATGCTGGAGGTGGAGGACGCGGAGGAGGACGCGTCGATGCTCAAGTTCAACCTCACGCCCATCTACCGCGCGCACTACATCAACACGTGCCTGGGCATCCAGGACCAGTTCAGGGACTACTACTATGACAACCGCAAGCTGCAGCTTAATACTGACCTGCAGTCCACTCCAGGGCAGGTGCGTGGGGGGGGGGGGTGGGGGCGGGCAGGGGTGGGTGGGTGAGAGGGGGGGGAAAGCGGGGGTAGGGGGGGGAAGGGTGGGTTGATGGCTGGGTGGTGGGGTGGGTGGGTGGGTGGGTGTGTGCGTGGGTGGGTTTCCCGCATGTGTGTCGCATGGCGGTTGGGTGTATGTATGCTGGTGTGGGCGTGCATGTGCGTGCGAATCTTGCCGGCATTTCCCACGCCTCCTTCTTATCTTTGGCCCATTGTGGCATGTCTCCCTCCCCTCTCCCCTCCTCCCCTCACCACTGTCTGTCGCTTCCTCCTCTCCCTTCCCCCCTCCCTTCCCCCCTCCCTCCCTCCCTCTCCCTTCCTCCCTGCCCTTCCTCACCTCCGTTTCCTCCCTCCCTTCCACCCCTCCCTTTCCCACTCCCCTTCCCCCCTCCCTTCCCCCTCGCTTTCCCTGTCGCTTCCTGTCACAGTACCTTTTGAACGCCTTTGTAAGCTGCTCATCAGTTTCTCATGCCTGCCTCCGCTTCATTTTAATGTCACTCAGGCTTCCACCACCCACCCCACGCCCCCAACTCAATTGCTGCATCCAACCCTGTCGTTCAACCACGACTACTGTTTCTCACACTTTCTTCTCCCTCGCCCCCCTCACAATGCCACGTCCCCTCCCTCCCACCCCGTGCCCCCCTCCCACCCGTGTCCCCCCTACTCCCATCCCGTGCCCCCCTTCCCTCCCACCCCTGCCACCCCGTGCGCCATCGCAGTCGTTCAACGACTACTGCTCGCAGGTGGCGGGGTTCTTCATAGTGGAGGACCGCATCATGCGCACCGCTGGCGGGGTCATCAAGCCTGCTCAGGTAAGTAGAGTAGAGGCGAGGCCATGGGTGTGCAGCACTGGGTGGGGTGGGGGGTTGGGAATCTGGAGGGAGTAGAATGTGGCGGGGTTCTTCATTGTGGAGGACCGCATCATGCGCACCGCTGGCGGGGTTATCAAACCCGCTCAGGTGAACGGAGAGGAGCACTGGGGGGGAGCAGGAAGGGGGATGCAAATCGAGTAGATTTTGGCGGGGCGGGGTTCTTCATTGTGGAGGACCGGATCATGCGCACCGCTGGGGGAGTCATCAAACACGCTCAGGTGGGCAGCACTGGGGAGGTAGGGGGGTGAAGATAATTCAATGGGAGTTCTGTAGGGGAGAGGGGGGTGGATTTTTTTTTATGTGAGGACCGGATCATGCACACTGTGGAGTCGAGCGCACGGGCGTCAAAAGAGTTGTAAAAGAAGAGTGAAAAGGGGAGAGTTGGCAGAAGGCTTGATTTGATACGACCACGTTGCGCCCGTGGATCGAGGCGCGCCCCTGGACCAAGGCGCGCCCCTGGACCAAAGCGCGCCCCTGGACCAAGGCGCGCCCCTGGACCAAGGCGCGCCCCTGGACCAAGGCGCGCCCGTGGACCAAGGCGCGCCCGTGGACCAAGGCGCGCCCGTGGACCAAGGCGCGCCCCTGGACCAAGGCGCGCCCCTGGACCAAGGCGTGCCCCTGGACCAAGGCGCGACCCTGGACCAAGGCGCGCCCCTGGACCAAGGCGCGCCCCTGGACCAAGGCGCGGCCCTGGACCAAGGCGCGCCCCCGGACCAAGGCGCGCCCCCGGACCAAGGCGCGCCCCCGGACCAAGGCGCGCCCCCGGACCAAGGCGCGCCCCCGGACCAAGGCGCGCCCCCGGACCAAGGCGCGCCCGCGGACCAAGGGGCGCCTCCGGACCAAGGCGCGCCCCCGGACCAAGGCGCGCCCCCGGACCAAGGCGCGCCCCCGGACCAAGGCGCGCCCCCGGACCAAGGCGCGCCCCCGGACCAAGGCGCGCCCCCGGACCAAGGCGCGCGCTTTCGCGTGCATGCATGCACGGTGTGATGGAAAAGCTTTGACATGAGTAAGATCTTGTTGTTACCACTTTCCACCTGTCACCACCCGTCACCACCACTTTCTATTACTCGTGCAGGTGGACGCTATGTTGCACTATACGCTCAGAAATTTTTCCGTATCACGTTTATGCGTTCACGTATAAACGGAAAAACGTGATACGGGGACAATACGCGATACGCCTGGACGGGCAGCCCGTCGGAAAAAAAAAAAACCGTTGCGACCGTTCTCGCGATCTGTGATTCTCCGTAACCTAATTCTGACATTTGAAAGTCGAATGTCTTCCCCCGCACCCACCACCCCACTTCCACCGCACATAACCTCACACCACCTCCCAAATCCAACCCTTCCCTTCCAACCACACACTTCAGCTTTCACGTCGGCAGCTTCAAAAACCTATGTCTACCGCTAATGTCGCAGCTGGACGCAAGTAGGCAGAGGGGCGCAGATCTGGCATTTTGCCGCCAGATCTGCGCGATTCTAGTATTCCGCCAGCAGATCGCCGCAGATCGGCAAGAAACATTGAATATATGGACCATCACTCTCTCCCTGACACTTTTTTCCCCTGCCCGGAACTTTTTTTCCCCTTCCCGGGACAACGTATTTTGAGCGTATCGAGGGGGCGGAAATCCATCGTATGGCGTTCCTACGTTGGCGTATAGTACGAACGCGACTGGTACGCGAATCGCGTATTTTGCAACATAGGGTGGACGTGCTGTGGGAGACGGCCATAGCGCGCATGCGCAGTGTGATGGAGGAGCAGTTCGCATCCATGTCATCGGCCGACCACATGCTTATGGTCAAGGAGGATGTTTCCCTCTTCGCCGCCCGGACCAAGGCGCGCCCCCCGGACCAAGGAGGCGCGCCCCCCTGACCAAGGCGCGCCCCCGGACCAAGGCGCGCCCCCGGACCAAGGCGCGCCCCCGGACCAAGGCGCGCCCCCGGACCAAGGCGCGCCCCCGGACCAAGGCGCGCCCCCGGACCAAGGCGCGCCCCCGGACCAAGGCGCGCCCCCGGACCAAGGCGCGCCCCCGGACCAAGGCGCGCCCCCGGACCAAGGCGCGCCCCCGGACCAAGGCGCGCCCCCGGACCAAGGCGCGCCCCCGGACCAAGGCGCGCCCCCGGACCAAGGCGCGCCCCCGGACCAAGGCGCGCCCCCGGACCAAGGCGCGCCCCCGGACCAAGGCGCGCCCCCGGACCAAGGCGCGCCCCCGGACCAAGGCGCGCCCCCGGACCAAGGCGCGCCCCCGGACCAAGGCGCGCCCCCGGACCAAGGCGCGCCCCCGGACCAAGGCGCGCCCCCGGACCAAGGCGCGCCCCCGGACCAAGGCGCGCCCCCGGACCAAGGCGCGCCCCCGGACCAAGGCGCGCCCCCGGACCAAGGCGCGCGCTTTCGCGTGCATGCATGCACGGTGTGATGGAAAAGTTTTGACATGAGTAAGATCTTGTTGTTACCACTTTCCACCTGTCACCACCCGTCACCACCACTTTCTATTACTCGTGCAGGTGGACGTGCTGTGGGAGACGGCCATAGCGCGCATGCGCAGTGTGATGGAGGAGCAGTTCGCGTCCATGTCCTCTGCCGACCACATGCTCATGGTCAAGGAGGATGTTTCCCTCTTCGCCGCCGCCCTTCGCCGATACGGCTTCCAGGTGAGTTGCACTACTAGCAAGCCCTGGGGAAAGCAGGCCTCCAGGTCAGTCAGAGGGCAGTTCGCATCCATGTCCTCTGCCGACCACATGCTCATGGTTAAGGAAGACGTCTCGCTCTTCGCTGCCGCGCTCCGTCGATACGGCTTCCAGGTGAGTTGCACTACTAGCAAGCCCTGGGGAAAGCAGGCCTCCAGGTCAGTCAGAGGGCACTTCGCGTCCATGTCATGGGCCGACCACATGCTCATGGTCAAGGAAGACGTCTCTCTCTTCGCTGCCGCGCTTCGCAGATATGGCTTCCAGGTGAGTTGCACTACAAGCACGCCCTGGATAAAGGGGGCTCCAGCCTCCAGGTCAGAGAGAGGGCAGTTCTCGTCGATCCATGTCCTCTGCCGACCACATGCTCATGGTTAAGGAGGACGTCTCGCTCTTCGCCGCTGCGCTGTGCCGCTACAGCTTCCAGGTCAGTCAGCACAAACCCTGGAAAATTTTGTCTTGCGTCCACTAACATGCCTAAACGAGATGTCCTTGTGATTTTGCTTCCAGCTGGCCCCCCTTCAACATTCACTCCCTTTGCTGCTCAGTTTCCCTGAATTGGGCCTTTGTTCTTTGTACTCGTTACAGGTGTCTCCGCTACTGGACGTGCTGGCGTCCATGAGGGACAAGTACCACGAGCTGCTGCTGGAGGAGGCGCGGCGGCAGGTGAACGACTCGATTGCCAACGACAAGCTGGAGCAGATGGTGATGCGCAAGGAGTATGAGTACAGCATGAACGTGCTGGCGTTTCACATACAGGTGGGTGGGTTGGTGTGTGGGTGTGTGTGCCTGTGGTCGTGGGTGCTTGTACAGCACATTAGTTCTTCAAATGCATGGATCAGTGACAAGCTGGAGCAGATGGTGATGCGCAAGGAGTATGAGTACAGCATGAACGTGCTCGCCTTCCACATCCAGGTGTGTGTGAGTGCATGTGTTGTGCGGACTGTGTCTCTGTGTGTGCGTGTCCGCACATCCAGGAGTCAACGACAAGCTGGAGCAGATGGTGATGCGCAAGGAGTATGAGTACAGTATGAACGTGCTGGCGTTTCACATACAGGTGGGTGGGTTGGTGTGTGGGTGTGTGTGCCTGTGGTCGTGGGTGCTTGTACAGCACATTAGTTCTTCAAATGCATGGATCAGTGACAAGCTGGAGCAGATGGTGATGCGCAAGGAGTATGAGTACAGTATGATCGTGCTCGCCTTCCACATACAGGTGCGTGTTTGGTGAATGAGTGTGTGGCATGCTCCCCCCTTCCCACACTTCCCCGGGCCTCACAGACCAAGCACATCATGACTTCATCCACATCAAAACCACCCTCTTTACCTCTTCTTTTGCCTCTGCCATTTGACTCTTTTAATGTTCCTCCAACCTCCCACCCACCATTCTCCTCACCAGCAAACGGACATCATGCCAGCGTTCCCCTGGATCGCTACCTTCTCAGCGTCAGTCCCGGAGATCTGCCGCATCGTGCGCATCTTCATCGACAGCTCCGTCTCCTTCCTCAAGCACACGGGCCACATGGACCAGTACGACCTCGTGCGGCGCTACCTGGATCGTCTCCTCACCACTGTGGTGAATGAAGCATTGCTGCGGCTCATTGGCAACCCAACGTTACAAGTGTCCCATGCAATGCAGGTGAGAGCTGGCTTGTTGTGTTTCGAGTCGGCTCATAGCACACGGGCCACATGGACCAGTACGACCTCGTGCGGCGCAACCTGGATCGTCTGCTCACCACGGTAGTGAACAAGGCTCTGCTGCGGCTCATTGGGAACCCCACGCTGTAAGTGTCGCACGCCATGCAGGTGTGCAGTGCATTGCATCGCCGAGCATGTGGTTTTTCCTTCTTTCTTTAGGGCATGCATCTCATGACATGCATCTCATTCACCTGACATGCACCTCATTCACGTGTCATGCATTCTCATCAGGTTGAATGAATTCCTTCCTTTTCTCTTGGGCCTCTCCCGGCGTTCCCTGCCTCGCGACCATCAGGTAGCGGCGAACATCACAGTTATGGAGCGTGCATGTGCATTCCTCGCGAAGCACGCAGCCAAGACATGTGGCATTCCCTCCCTCCGTCTCCCTCTCCATCCCTCTCTCTCCCCTCCCTCCCACTTGCCCTCCCTCGCCACCATCAGGTAGCGGCGAACATGACAGTGATGGAGCGGGCATGTGCATTCTTCGCAGAGCATGCAGCCAAGTCGTGCGGCATTCCATCCCGCCTCGTGGATGGTGCACACGGCACGCTGGCAGCCAGAAACACCCTCAGGCAGTCACAGGCGGGGGCGTACGATGCCATGCTGCGCATCATGAATGAGAAGATCGATGAGATGATGGCGCCTGCAGAGCAGATTCCCTGGAATCCCATGGAACCACCTGGGGTATGTGTGAACATTTCTTGAGTGCCTCAATAGACGATGCCATGCTGCGCATCATGAATGAGAAGATCGATGAGATGATGGCGCCTGCAGAGCAGATCCCATGGAATCCCATGGAACCACCTGGGGTACGTATGTGTGAACGTTTGGACGAGGGTTGAGTGGACTTGCAAACACCCTCACGCAGTTGCAGGCAAGAGCGTAGTTCCTACCGTATCTTCTCACTACCTCCCTTCCCCCTCAGCTTCCCTCTCTTCCCTCCCGACACCCGTCCTTCGTTTCTCGTCTGGTTTCTCTCTTCTCCCCTGTGGGCTGTGTCGGTGCATGTGAGAGCAGCTGGTGAACGAGTATCTCACGGACCTCTGCATCTACCTGGAGACCATGATGGAGACGGCCAGGCAGCTTCTTCCCCTCGATGCCTTCCAGCGGGTAACACGCTTTTCACTTCTACACTCCTGAACTGCCTGCACTTGCTTGCTGCTGCAGATTCAGTTCGTTCCCAGTTAGCTGCCTGCGATTCCTACCCATCACCTCGGTACCAAATGCCATGCACCTTTAATTGCCCGCTGTCCACCCTGTCGCAGGTGAGCGGAGGCATGATGCGCCACATCAGCAACGTGCTCGTCAGCCTGCTGTGCGGCTCCGCCGTGCCGCGCTTCAACCTGTACGCCATCCAGGGAGTGGACAACGACCTGCGTGTGATAGAGGGCTTTGCTGACCAGGAGGACGAAAAGAGCGGCGTCATGAAGGACAACGGTGAGGCTGTTCCTCTCAAGTCGCACCTTGCGGAGGCACGACAGCTTATTAACCTCATTCTCAGTAACAACCCTGAGCATTACGCGACCAAGTCGCACCGGGAGAAGAATTACGGGGCGCTGGCGCCGACTAAAGTGCTCATCGTTTGCGATAAGTATCGGGTACGTACACTCTTGCTCATAAAAGCAAGTAAGGCTACATTCTTACCATTTTTTATCGGGTTTCTTTGAATTAAGAATGGAGGTGCACCCTTACACCCTGCTATTTTGTGTGATGACAGGATGTCGGGGAGGCTGCGGTTGGTTTGTTTGGTACTCGCAATTCCAAGCAGGTGAACAAGAAAAAGGGTCTAGATGCTCTGGCACGGAGGCTACGGGAGGATATTGCCAATTCAGCTTGAGGTATTGAAAGAATGGGTTGTGTAGTTTGCAAAACGCTTTTGGGATCAGAGTAGTGTCATTCGCGCAACTGAGTAACCCTAAACGATAGCTTGAATCCACCCACCCAAGCAAACACACATCACATGCTATGTACACATGTTCCGCCTTATTTTCAACGACGTTATCTTCAAAGCCTGGGGTAACTACCCTAGGTCAGGCGAGATCAGGAGAGTAGTTCATGTGGACTGATATCAGCGGGTGGATAGGCCCGCATACCCCACGCGAGCTAACTGCAAGCAGCAGCTTCATCATTGCCGAATCTCCCTTTCAATTGGCTCGCTAAGTGAGAGCTCCATCAGTCTGGTTTGCTTTCCGTATTTTCTAATACGGTATCCTTGCAATCTCTGGGTGTCCATCTCACTAGACAGAGAAGTACACACGATGCCCGGTTGAGCCCCCCAACCTTGCCCTACCCTCTGGGCTTATAAGCGATTCTTGCATTTCGTGGAGGTTTCGTCAATTCGCGTCGGGCAAAAAGGGCTTATAACAAAATTTTGTAACTCACTGTTGACTGTTTGACTTCGGTCACTTCAGTTTCTGTAGTTCGTATTGGTTTACGTGCTTGTAACGTGGGTTCAACTGCCCGGAAAAAAACCCAAGCGTGCGAGATTTCTGGAATGTGAAAGGCAATTTCGCGTGCAGGGGTTGGGCATCATGTGTACTCAGGGCCCCTTTTAGCACACGGTCGGGGGCTTGAAAATAAGGCGGATTAGGGTGTACAGTACACTCCCGAGTAGTCCAGGTTCAGAAGTGGGATAATGTGTAGGTTTCGTTGCAGTCGGCCATTTGAATTTCGGCGGGAAGTCTCGACCAAAAGAACTTTGGTCGCACACGACGTTACGTGCGATTGTCTACACTTCTGTTACTGTAGCACACGTTGTGTTGAGTTGTCTGGACCTTCGCAAATAGGTTCACAGTGTCACTTCAGACTGTTATACAGTACTTGATACAGTTCTGGATTTCGCTGTGTTGTTGAGAAAACCCGACAGAATGAGATTTTCTTAGGGGCTGCTGCATCAGAGCCAGTAAACTTGTCAACGGACAATGGAGAGTCTTGGGCAGGATCTTGCAGGCATTGTGAATGGGTTGTCAACGGGCAGCGGACAGTCTTGGGCAGGATCTTGCAGGCATTGTGAATGGGTGGAACGTGGGCCACAGGGGTCACTGCCTATGCCTCAAAGAAAGTGTGAATTATTCCATGGTGTTCCCCCCTCCTGTGCTCGACTACGGTAGAATACCATTCTGTACTTCGCGCGTGCATTTTTGCATCAAAACGGCTCCCATCGCTCCCTGCATTCGTTCTCCTTGTATCACTTAGCAGGGTGCCCTGAAACAAATAGTCATACGTCACGCAATCTTTGAACTTGCCAGCAAGCCCGCAGCGAAAGAAAGCCGACAACACTGTTGTCGTCCACACTGTTACACACGATTCCACCATTTGGCACTTGCCATGCCATGAGTCAAAGACCACCCACCCCACCGCCCTCCGCAACACCCCCACCCCCACCACGCCGCCGTAGCCGCCAAAGAGAGACAGATGCTCGCCAGCCTTTCGAAAATGGTTATCGGTTCCGCAAGTGGGTGCGACGAGGAGAAGTCGTGTCGTGTCAGAAACAAAGCAGAAAGCATCAACCCACCCTGCACGGCACGGAGCAGCCCGTTGCTCGGATCGCGAAGTTTTTGAAGGTTGGGCTTGGAAGGGCAGAAGCGGTTCTCGTGCGATGCCGCATAAAAACACTACCGTACACGCTCTCCTCGTATGCCCGAACAAATTGTTGCCCGGGGCTGTGTCAGGCTCCAATCGCCGTCCGCATTGGCGCCACCCCTTCACCCAATCGTCAATCCCCGTTGCGTCCCTCTTTCCCGCGCAGTGATTTCAAAAATGTGATGGAGATTCAGCAGAGATTCAACTGCTCCCCTCTTGGGATCATCAAGCAGGCAATCCCGAGACAACCTCAATTTTCTCGCCCAAGCTCACGGCACGGCCAGCCACCTTTAGCCCAGCTGGCATTTGTCCGGCGTGTCTAGTGATGATGAGTAAATTTCAGTCAGCTCAGCACCCCAGAGGTCCTCGTCTGAACCCATTTCAAGGCCACGCTTGCTTGAGATGGGCCTCATCCACTGTGCATCGTGACCGTTGCTGTGACACCTGACCATCCTCGCTGTAGATCCATAGGCCTTGCTGGTCTGTGAGCGGTAAACCTCGGCTGTTGTGAGGTCTTCGGCCTTTCCACCCCAGATTCCAGAATGGCGGTTTCGCCTGCGTAGATCCGTGCTCTCTCGCTCGCCATCCTCGTGCGGTTGACTATGCAGTTTCCTGGCCAAGCGGGGGTTTCGCATCTAATTCTAGCGTCCAACCTGTGTTGGATTTTTCCTTTCACCCGCGCGACTCAATTTAACGCTTAGTCAGGCGAAACTGGAATGGAAGCTCCGCATACCGTTGGTGCTGCGCCTAGTTTGATCCACCGATTCTTACCCCGTGATGCTCGCGTATAGCAACTATTCTCGTTGCACGCCCTTCAGAGAACAACCCGTCGTGTTATCGTTAGCTCACCATCACGGCGGAAAAGAAACACGGAGTTCCTCTCACAACACTGCGTTGGAAATAGCTGGCTGTAGGAAGACTACTTGGTGCTGAGTTTAGCGCTTTGTAAAAAAGGGGAATAAGGATCACGGCCGAATAAAGGGGCGTGATGGAAGCTCTTCAGAAGCTGCAGGTAGGACGTTCGTTTGAACTGCTGTGAAACAATTAATTGCTGTAAAATAAAAGTAGGGATCACTTTACGGACGTTCCTGATCCAATCAAATGGAAGCGGAGCAGTCGCTTTGACCGAAACTGCATGACCGTCATGACGGTGACCGCCAGAGTAATCCCAGCAACATTTAGATGCAAACTCAAGGGCCTTCGAATACTTAAGCGCAAGAGACCCGTTTCTTGCCGGTGCGTTGGCGTTACTTCACCTGTCCATGACAATAAGTTCAATCCTTTTTTTACTTGCCCTTTCTCATCCCTCGAACTCCTCTCAACAGGGTATTTTTACCCGGCGGCATCACTTTGGCGGAGAGTCATCGCACGATCGCCAGCGACGACGAAGTCTGCGACGAACGGCGAGCGATTGTCGCAGCGCTCCTAATTATTCCATTCCCCCAAGTCTCCCTAACGAGATCTCCGCTGCTGCTACTACTAACCTAGAATCCACGACGGTCACGCCTCCCCCCGCTAATAGCACGAGCACAACATTAGAGATGCTCGCTAGAGTCGCGTTGGGATCGCCGATTCGAAAAGGGTTTCGCCGGGAGCGTGTGTCTCGATCAGAGCGTGATACCCCCGTTATTCGTCCGCAATCGGCGCCGGCTTCCCCGGCGAGGGGTCGCGCCGTCACTTGCGGTGTAATAAATCACTGCGTGAAGGAGCAGCAGCAGCAGCAGCAGGAGGAGCAGCAGGATCAAACATCCCACCGTCCAGTTTCCCCGTTTTTCGGACGATCTCGCTCGTCGCGATGTTCCCAAAGCTTTCCGCCCAGCTGCGGAATCGGAAGCCCCCGCACTCCGCGCTACCGCCGATACCTGTGCGGCGTGCCGTGCGTCGATGACGTGGATTGGGACCGGGATGTCATGTTCCCGGACGATGATGACGTGGCAGATGACAGGGACGGGCGAGATCAGATGGGTAACACAGACGGTGGCGAAAGTCGCGCGCTTTTCGCGGAAGTGACTTTACAGACGCTAGGAGCCGAAAACAGCCTAGGAGAGGAAAAAGCGGCTGAGGGAGGGCGAAACGCAGTTTCCTTAGGAGCGGAAAGCGCTTTTGTGGAGCGGAACGCACAGACAAGTCCCGACGGGTCGCAGATGCCGATGCTACACAGAAACGATGCTTCTTATAGAGGAGTCGAAGCGTCCAGAGAGGCTATTCATGGTTCGCTGAGGCGGCGCGAGGGGCGGGGGACGCGGGGAGCAAGGAGGGCGCGGAGCCTTCCGCCGAACTGCAGCGGCCTTCTTGCGGAGGAGGAAGGGGACTCCGCGGAGTCCGCGCGGGCGGCGGAAATTGTCGCCGCAGGGGGATTGGCGCGAAGGGCGGAAAGCGGCGGAGCAGCCAGCGGGATTAGTCCGCGCACTTGCCGGTCGCAGAGTCCGCGTGGGAGGCGGAAAGGCGGAAGGGCTGGCGGCGGGCATGCGACGATTTTCGGCGACGAAAACGACTCTTCTGCGACGGCGGGGCGGAGCTGGTGGACCGCCGACGGTGCCCCCGCGGCGGATGCGGCGTCAATCACGGCGAGCGACGCGGACAGCGGAGTATCTTCCGTTCGTCTTCGCAATCAACTCGACGGCGCGAGATCGCCGTGGGAAGGCGGCGCGGGGCGCGCGCTGGTGGACGTGGAGCGGCGCCAATCGCGGAGTTTGGACGGCAACGGACGGCTGCGCGATGCGGCGGCCGGCAGGACGGAAGGCGGAGACGGCAACTCCAATCGCTCGACAGCATTTTCAAAACGGACGCCGGCGGCTGTAGCTGCTGTCGAAACCGAAGCGGCGGTTCAGGGAAAGGCGGCTACAACGAGAGCGGGAACGAGCGCATCTGAGGGGGGCGGCGCAAGTGCGGCAGCAAGAGATGCACGAGCGGACGCTCCGGATGACGTGGCAGCACAAGCGCAAGTGGGGCGCGCGCAAGGAGGAGGGCCGGCGGAGCAGGCGGAGAAGGCGGAAGGCGGCAAAGGGGGAGAAGGCGGTGGCGGAGAGTGCGCAGCGGAGCCCCGGAGGGGCGATGTCAGACAGGGGATAGGGGGAGGCGGAAAGCGGATAGGCGCAAGGGGGCATGGGGGGAACACGGTGGGCGGAGGAGCAGCAAGGGAGGCGAGCGATAGGGAGGTATGCAGCGTGGTTGAACTGTGGAACCCGTTTTATAGCGACGACGTTATCATTATGAAGTGTAGCAGTAGCAGCAGCGGCAGTGAGTCGAGTGAAGGTAGTGGCGATGATTATGAGAGGGAAGGCAGGGGGACGAGGAAGAAGAGGAGCAAGATGGGGAGGAGGGGGAGGAGGGTACGCAGTGGGAGCGGGGAGAAGGAGAAAGAGGAGACTTACATTGGTATGGGCGAACGGGAGGGAGGGGAGGAAGGGGAGGGCGAGGAGGGCGAGGATGGGTTGGTGAAGAGCGGGAGCAGTGGGCAGTGGCACCGGCAGTGGTGGGTCCCCACTGATGCCCTCACCAGCACCAGCACCAGCAGCACCAGCAGCAGTGGGAGCAGTGACGGTGGCGGGAGTGGTGGCACCAGCACAGGCAATACGAGCCGCCGCAGCGGCAGCAACAGCAGCGGCAGTGGCAACGCTGTTGGTGGTGGTGCTGCTGATGCTGCTGTTTCTGGTGATGATTTTGATGGAAGCAGCAGCAGCGGTGGGAGCAGCAGAGGTTGCAGCAGCGGGTGCAGTGGCAGCAGCGGGGAAAGTCGCTGCCAGCTCTCAGCACACACAGACGGCCATGACGCTCCTGAGGCTGTTGCTGCTACTGCTGCTGCCGCCGCAGACGACAGCGATGGTAGAGCAGCCGCTGCTAGTCGTGGTGTTGCCAGTGCTGCTGCTACTGCAGCAGCACCTGTTGCTGCTGCTACTGCAGCAGCAGCTGTTGCTGCGGAACAGCCCGAAGCCCAACCGCATGCGGCAGCACAGGACTTCTTCCCATTGGATGGGTTCTTCCAGCCCCGATTCGACCAGCTCTCCTCCACCGACTCGTCCTGCTCCCCTGACCTCGTCTTCTCCTTCCAAACCCCTCACACCACTGCACACTCCCTCCCCTCCTCCCCCCTCGATCCCTCCTCTTTCCTGGACTGCACGCCGTCCCTCTGTGCTCCTCCACCCTTTCTCACTCTCTCGTCCGAGAAGAGAGGGAGTGGTGGGGAGGGTGAGGTGATTGCAGGGGGTCTGACAGCTATAGAGGAAGGTAAGGAGGGCACTGAGGTGGGTGCAGCTGCAACTGCTGGTGTAGATGCTGCGGATACTTGTAACGCTGCTGTGACTCGCAGCACTCTTGTTGCTACTGCACATGACGATGAAGGCCGCTGCTGCTGCTGCTGCTGCTGCTGACGGTAGCAGCAGCGACAGCGACTCGTTTTTGAGTGACCCGTTTCACCGCGGAGTGAAGCTGGAAGACGTGCTGCGGAAGTGGGACCTGGGCGCGGCTATTCACGACGACGCCCAGAGTAATGAAAATCAAGTAATCAAGGTTGCTGCCATGTGCACAGGCACAAAGCGGGTTACTGGAACAAATCAGGACGAGCCCTTTGGGCCAGGCATGACTGCTGGCAATAGCGGTCCTTCCACCAACTCTCCTGCTCGCTTCCCCAAGTCCACCCCTCCAACTGCTATCAATACTAAGGCAAACAACCCCAGCAGCACACCGCCTGCTGCCACCACTGTCACTGCCACCACCAATGCTGCTGCCACCACCACCACTAGCATCAACCCACGGCGTCGCCTCACCTCAGCTGTGATTCGAGGAGCCAATCATAAGCACTCGCACTCGCAACTGCCCTACTCCTCCCCCACCTCCTCTGGTATTGACTCCTCCCTGTCACCTGCTGCTACCCCTCCCCGGACCATCCTCGGCCGATCCGCGTCGTTGGGCTCGGCAGGAGGTTCGGCGCGGCTGGGAGTAAGAGGAGGGGTGAGCACAGCTGACGCTGTTGCTGCGGCTGCTGCTGCTGCTGCTGCTGCAGTTGCCGCTGCATCTGCTGTGGCTGCAGTTTTGGGTGGTGCGGGCAGTGGGACGAATACCCTTGGGACCTCTGCTGCTGCTGCTGCTGCTGCTGGGATGGCTGCTGGTGATGCTACAGAGGCTTTGGGCACCAGTTGTGACACAACGGCAGCAGTGTCAGGAGAGAAGGCAGAGAATGCTGACAGTAACAGCATAAGTGGAAGCGACAGCATAGGCAGCAGTTGCAGCAGCAGCATTGGCGGGAGCAGCGTGAGCAATGGAGGCAGTATCAACGGTCTCACTGGCAGCAGAGGCATTGGCAGCAGCAGCAGCATTCTTGGGGAATTGCGGGAGTGCAGGAGCAGTGGGCTAATTCGGGTGCTGCTGGCTCAGAGTGCAACCAGGAAAGGTGGGGAAGGCATGCGTCAAATGGAAAAAAGAGGCAGTGTGTTACAGAATGTGCAGCAGGCGCAACCGCAGCAGCAGCACCTGCAGCAGAAGCAGCAGGTGAAGCAGGAGCAGCAAGAAGGGCGGCAAGGAAGGCCAGAGCAAGTAGAGGCAGTGGAGCCTGCTGTCAAGAACATGCAGAAGAAGACAGAAAAAGAGCTGTCTAGGAAACGCCGTCGAAATGGGGAGCGAGACGAAGAGGAAAAGGTGAAGGGCACGAGGAGGCGCAGGAAGGAGTTCAGGCGCTGTTTGGGAGTGAAGAGGAAGGGTGTGAGGATGGTGGTAGGGCCTCGACGGCTTGAGCTGCTAAAAAAATGGCTTTTGGAAGTCATTGCAGACGCGCAGGGGAAAAATGCAGTGATATGCTAGGAGGGGCTATGTGACGTTTTGGGGATTGTTTTGATTTATAGGTGAGGGTTTGATTAACTCCTAGTCAAACCCACTAGGGCGTTTTGCGTAACATGATGACCCGTTCCTCTTACATAATTGTAGCGTGTTTCATAAATGCTTATTGCTCAAGAGTCCGCATTGCAGGGTATGCTTTACGCTGAAAATTCGTGCGACATTCCACGACGCCAAGCGGCATTCATCTGAAGCAATTTGCCACGCGAATCGTTGAGCGAAAAGCGCAGGTACTGGCTGGCGATTTACCTTAGGTGAAGTTGGCGCTGATTCTTTTCGTCGTCCATCATTTCGAGAAGCTCGCTGACGAGTTTCACGATGTCCGTCGCGAGCAGAAGCTCGTTGTTGCTTCTTGTCTGTGCCATCGCAATTCTTGTTTCCCCAGCATCATCCGAGATTGTGCGACGGCCAATTGTGCTCGCGAGCCAATCCATCGACACTCGCTTGCTGGTCTGCGACCTCGGGAACAGCGAAACTTGGTAAGCGAAGTGCCTTTGTTGGGAATTGTGCGACCATGAAAATTTCGTACCTTTCTCCCTGTCACAACCACCCTTTTCTTTCTGCTTGCTTGAGGTTGAAATTGGTGGAATTTGAGAATTGATCAGGGAGATGTTTTTTTTGGGAAGAAGGCAGCAGCGAGCTCAAGCCATTCGCACTGACGAATTTGTCTCGTCTTCCCCATTTTCAGCTCACATAAGCGTCCGAGGAACGCGTTGCTCGATTTTTCCGGCTGCGAAAATGGCGAAACGGAATCGTCGGTCGAGGATGCGACTTCACGTTCTTCAGATAATCTTCGAAACAAGATCAGGGAAGTCGGGGACCGGATACCGCTCCGTTCTCCTGAAACTGTCCGCGCTCTTCGCGCATTGCATGTTCTCGTTCAGTTCGCCAACGAAGACTCTCAGAGTAGCAGAGAAGATATCAGGGACCGGCTGCTTAAGGACGTCCATAAAGTCGGCGGGCGAATCCTGAACTATATACCGGTCGACTCGTATCTGGTAGTGCTTCCGTGTGTTAAGGCAGCTCACGCGCTTAGTCGGCTCTCCTACGTGTCATGGATTGGCCGTCTACGAGGAGAGTCGAAGCTAGCGCCTGAATGGGGCCCGATTTTGAGGTCAGTCACTCCGTCATTCCATCATTTCTTCTACCTTCGCTCTGAGATTCAGTCGTCAAATTCATTGTCTATTGATGTTGCCTCTAGTTAGCATATGCTGTCTTTCATCGTCGCTTCGTTTGTGAAAATCTGCGGTGCTAAATCAAGCTACTTTTCGTTTCAGGCACTACAAAACCGCGGATGACATCAAAGAGGAAAGCTCTATTTATGACATGATCGATGTGGACAAAGAAGGCCGACCACTGATCACAGTCGTGTTGCCAGATCAAGACCTTGTCGGCAACTCCAAAGCATATGCTTCCTTCATCCACAGAAGCCTGTGTGAAAAGTTTGTCCACTTGCGACAACCAACGAACGGATCAGATTCAGTCCGTCTGGGGGATCCGACGGTTCCAAGCTCTGCGGTGAACCAGTCGTCAGATTTTACCCATGTTGGAGTGACACAAGATGTCCATCAGCCGAAGAATCTCAATGATCCCCGCACCCAGCTTCTGGAAGAAACATCTGACAGCTTGTATTGCTCTACCTTCAGTGTGTCACTCGAAGGGATCAGCACCACCGCCATTCATGACTCAAGTCATGAAGATATAAGCTTATCAGCAGCAGACAGCATACCCGATAGCACCACATCTGATACTACCCAAAGTCATCAGCATCACCACCATGGCGTCATCACAAGTCAAGGTCTGCTGGTGCTGGCAGCGCCAAAGCCCCTGCTGCCTGCCGTGCTGCGCTGGCTGCAGCAGCAGGGGTGGGTGCAGTGGATCGCCCCCCGACCCCGCTCCCGCCTGCAGAACCGCTGGGCCTCGGCTGTCACTCAGAGCGGCACCTCCGTTGGCTTAGACGACGACCCAGGGTTCGGGTCGCCAGGGTCAGGCAGCGAAGGAGGTGGTAGTGAGCAGCAGAGGAGTGAGTTTGGGGCGGCGCGGCCGATGTGGAGTGCGGGAATTACGGGGTTTGGGCAGATTGTGGGGATCGGCGACAGTGGCATCGACATGCAGAGGTGGGAGTGTAGCATACCATTGTCGCCTCGTTTGGCTTCGTCCTCTTGCGCCGTTCTTGCTCTATGCAAGCTGCTTCTCCCTCTTGTCGTTGCCTTTTCAGCCTCCTGGATAGCCTCAGCCTCAGCCACACTAGGAAAGGCACTTTCACTCACGCTAGCCTCCCTTCGTCTCCTGCGCCCCTCACCCCTCCAGCTGCTTCTTCCGCGATGACGCCGTACCCCTCCAGGCCCGACTCACCGCAAGGTGGTGCAGTACCGAGTGGTAAACGGCGACACAGTGGACGAGCTGGGACACGGCACCCGCATGGCCGGCTCCACTTCCACTCACGCTAGCCGTCCTTACTCTTTCTGGCCCCTCACCCTTCCAGTTGCTTCTTCCGGGATGACGCAGTCCCCTTACCAGGCCCGACGCACCGCAAGGTGGTGCAGTACCGGGTGGTGAACGGCGACACAGTGGACGAGCTTCTGAGGATCTAAAAACAATCTGCTCCCTCCTCTTGACCCCCTACCCTACCCTCCAGTTGCTTCTTCCGCGATGATGCAGTGCCCCTGCCAGGCCCGACGCACCGCAAGGTGGTGCAGTACCGGGTGGTGAACAGAGACACAGTGGACGAGCTTCAGACAATCTTGAAATTTCTTTGTTTTTTTCTTTCCTCCTATTCACCCCTTATCATGCCAGTTGCTTCTTCCGTGATGACGCTGTGCCGCTACCAGGCCCCGCGCACCGCAAGGTGGTGCAGTACCGGGTGGTGAACGGAGACACAGTGGACGAGCTGGGGCACGGCACCCACGTGGCCGGCTCCGTGGCAGGCGCTTGCTCTCAGCAACAGCAAGCACAGCAACCACAGCCGGGGCAGCAGCAGGGGCAGCAGGGGCAAGCGGGGCAAGAGCAGGGGGGGAAGGGGCCGGAGAGTGTGGGTCTGTATCCTGGCATGGCGCCTGATGCGCGCATTGCCTTCACTGACATGGGCGAGGGCGATGTGGGGTACATCATGCCGCCTGGTGACCTGGGCAGTGGGTACTACGGGTGAGTGGGACTTTGTTGAGTCCACGTGGTGCTCTGGTGCACTGGTTGATACTTGATCTTTCACCATGAAATGTGACAAGTCCTCTAGTCTAAACTGTTTTGGTCCAATTTGGCCTCACTTTGCTTGGCTTCCTGGTTGTGTGATTGTGCGTGCAGGCAGGCAATGAAGGCCGGCGCGTTGATCCACTCGGACTCGTGGGCAGCAGGAGTGTTCGCATACGACTACATGGCACAGTCAGTTGACCGATTCACATTCAACAACCCTGTGAGCACCCAGCAATATCTGTGAGATGAAATGATTCTTTAGGCGCCTAAAAATCTTCGCACCTTCAACAATTCTGTGAGCACACAGCAGTAGCTGCGCCTGTCAACATGCTGCAATCAGCAACACGCAGGCAACCCTGAAGCTAGAAACCAATCTGTAAACCATACCCCAACAAGCCACACCCACGGCTTTAATGATGCTGTTCTGTTTCCCCTGTTCCAGGCTCTCTCTTTCCCTCTTTGCCCCCTCTGTTGTCTTTCCCCCCTCTTTTCTCCTTGCCCCCTCTGTCCCGTGGCAGAACTTCCTCCCAGTAGTCGCGGCAGGCAACATGGGTTCTGTCCACCGAGACTCAGGTGCGTGGGTTCTTATTCTCGTCACACCCTCCCCACCCAACTCCGCTACCCCTGTCTCATCTCGCCACCTGCGCTCGCCAAGATCTGTCTCACCGTGGATGCGACCCTCTCTGTATCACCCTTTCGATCATGAATATCTCTTTCTTAAACCAACCCACCTCCACTCCCAACCCCTGCCTTCCCCCCTCTCCCCCAGTCTCCATCTCATCACCTGCCCTCGCCAAGAACTGTCTCACAGTGGGTGCAACCCTCGGCAGTGTCGGCTCCTCAGCTTTCCAATGATGAAAACCTTTCTTCCCAACCCACCTCTGCTTCCCCCACCCCCCCCCTCTTTCTTTCCGCCAATCCTTTACCCCCTCTCCCCCAGTCTCCATCTCATCGCCTGCCCTCGCCAAGAACTGTCTCACAGTGGGTGCAACCCTCGGCAGTGTCGGCTCCTCAGCTTTCCAATGATGAAAACCTCTCTTCCCAACCCACCTCTGCTTCCCCCCCCCCCTCTCTCTTTCCGCCAATCCTTTACCCCCTCTCCCCCAGTCTCCATCTCATCGCCTGCCCTCGCCAAGAACTGTCTCACAGTGGGTGCAACCCTCGGCAGTGTCGGCTCCTCAGCTTTCCAATGATGAAAACCTCTCTTCCCAACCCACCTCTACTCCCCCCCCCCCCTCTTTCTTTCCGCCAATCCATTACCCCCTCTCCCCCAGTCTCCATCTCATCGCCTGCCCTCGCCAAGAACTGCCTCACGGTGGGCGCAACCCTTGGCAGTGTCGGCTCCTCCCCGCCTCTCCTCGCCACGCCCTTCAACCTCTCCATCCTCGCGCCCTCCCCCTCTCTCCTTCCCTCCGACCGCGCCTGGTACCCCCTCCTCTCGCACGCCTTTGGCGCGACCTTTCAGTCTGGCCTATGGGAGGAGGGGGTGGCGTGGGGGTTGGTGAGGGGGGAGCCAAGGGATGGGTGCAGAGCGGTGCGGGGCGGTAGTGGGAGCACGGGAGGGAGTGTGGCTGGGTTGATTGTGCTGCTCGACGCGGGGAACTGCCTGTTTGCGGATAAGGTGGGTGCCAGTCTGCTGCAGTTCTTTCCTCTGCTAAGACAGTTAAGCTGTTATTCTCTTGGTTCTTCTGTGCCATGTCATGTTCTGTGACAGTTATGCTGTTTCTCCGTTTTTGTGCTGTGCTGTAGGCCAAGTTTATGTTATGCTGCTACTACTCTGAGTCAACGTCAGGTCGTTTCAGACCAGAATTACATACACCTCATCTCTTATTCACATCCAATCTACCACGATTGTATCTCCTTATAACGTGCCGCGCACACCGTTTCAGTTCAGGAACGCGCAGGCAGCAGGAGCAGCAGCAGCGGTGATTGTGGCCAACGACACTCTCGGCTACTTCCCCATGGCTGCTCCCTTTGGTGCTGACCCCAGCATCACCATCCCAGGTGCGCTCCCGCACCAGCTCTCACGCATTCTCTCACACCATCTCTCGCACCATCCAAAACTGCTTCTTCTTCCCCCTCACACTGGGCTCGACCCTAAGATGGGTCCGTACGTTTTTGGAACCACGTAATCGTAATGTTACGCGTAAACGTAAACGTACGCGTACGTACGCGTAAATTCGCGTTACATATGTCCGGGCAGGTAAAAATTTTGTCAATCGGGGCCGTCGGCTAAGGGCGCAGGACAAAAGGCAGGATCTGAGATAAACAATGTTGCAATTATGTGAGTGGGAGGAGGGGGGAAAGTGTGCTCGGGTTGGTAAACCAGCAGATGAAACCCGTCACCACAAACTATTTGGGTGGTGGTCGAAACATCGTCGCACCACCTTTTGGCTGTGCATCTACAGCCAAAAAGAGGGTACAAGATTGTTTGTTGGGCAGCCCAAAAAAAACTAACCTGCCCGAAAACGTAAACGTAATTTTGATCCGCACACGTAACGTAAAACGTACGTAAACGTAAACGTAAAACATACGTAAACGTACGCGTAAGATCCAACTTAGGCTCGACCTAGCAGCATCACACCCACTCCCCCCCTGTACGACCACTGCATTTTGCTCATATCCGCCCACCTGCAAGTTTCACTCTTTTAATCTTCTACTCCCCCGTGCATGTGCCAGGTGGCTCTGTACCGCAAGCAGTGGGCGCCATTCTAGATGCGGCTCTCAGGAGGGGCCAGCCTGTGCAGGTGCGTGAGACAAGCCTTCACTCGTGAACCTTCCCTCATCTGGCTTCCACCCCCACCATGCCTCCCTCCCTCGTTCCTACTCCCCTGCTCTCAATAGTCGTCAGCCAGGACTGTCATTGCTGTAACCGCACCTCGTCACTTCTCCCCATCTGCCCACCATCTACCCCCAGCAGGCGTCCATCTCGCCCTTGGCAGTGCCTCTCGCCTTCCGCCCTGCCAGCACAGCACGCTTTTCCTCGTGGGGTCCCTTTTGAGGCCCCTCAAGACCCATCCCTCCCGCTCACTTCCCACCTTCACACCAATTCCCCCCAGCAGGTGTCCATCTCGCCCCTGGTAGTGTCCCTTGCCTTCCGCCCAGCCAGCATGGCTCGCTTCTCCTCGTGGGGTCCCACACCTGATGGTCGCATCAAGCCCGACATCTCTGCTCCAGGTAATGCTGGCAGGACTTGATTATGTTTGTTCTGCCCTTCAACGCAAGAACACGGCTGTACTTGGGCCGCTCTTTCCTTTGCTTCTCTCACCCCTCCCATTACATTCCCCACTCCTTTCTTTGCTGATATCACCACTCCCTGTGCTAATCTGACACCTTTCCATGCTTGTGGCTCTCCTCCTTCCGTGTGTCTCTCCCCCTTCCTTACCACTACTTGTCTCCGTGACTTTCTTAATGGCAGGGGAGGGCATCTGGTCAGCAAAGAGCAACCCCAACCTTCGCCAGCCATCGTGCGCCCTCACACGTGAGTGCTGCAGCCAGCCCTTCAGGTACCCATCAGTCAGGAGTCCATCACGTGCCCATTTGATATCAAAACGTATCTGTTCGTTTTTCTCTTCCCCTTCTCCCAGAGATGCCATGCACCTCCATATCCAACCCCCACCACTGCTGCCTCTCCAGCAACACTCTATCTGTTCTTCCTCACTTCTCTTCTCTTCTCCTCTTCCCACCATCCAGAGATGTCAGGCACCTCAATGGCCACGCCTATCACTGCAGGCTCGGCTGCTGCTGCTGCTGATGCTTACACCATCTTCTCTCCTCTCCTCTCCTCGTCTCCTCCCCCCCACCATCCAGAGATGTCAGGCACCTCAATGGCCACGCCCATCACTGCAGGCTCGGCTGCTCTACTCAGGCAATACTTCATGGACGGCTTCTACCCCACTGGCCAGAGGGTAACCCCGTGTCCTGCCCTGTAAAACTGTGACAGGTTTAGGGCATGCCTGTTGAAACTTTCTGTCCCTTGCAGGCTATATGTGATGATGGCACCAGTGGTCATTTATTAGAAAACGATTCAGTTCAGTCTACTCAAAAGCCATATAACTCTTCATCTAAACTCTCATCCCCCCTTCTGTGCTCTTGCATTCTTCTAGGTTCCAGCCAATGGTTTCGTGCCAAGTGGCATGCTGCTCAAGGCCACGTTGATAAACGGAGCCATGCCTCTCACAGTTGGAAACGGTGAGTCTCACCACAAGACAAAAGAAAAGCTCTTCTCTCTCTGCTCTCTGCTCTTAGCCCTTTGCGCTCTGCTTTTTGCTATCCCCGCTGTACTGTCCCACTTTGCGTTTCCCCTGCCTCTTTCACTCTGTGCCCATGCTCCCTGGCCCTCACCAGGTGACCGCTACCCTATCGACGCGCCACCCTCCATGAACCAGGGCTTTGGTCGCGTGCACCTGGTGTGATACGGTTTAATTCGGTTTGAGACGTTTCAAATGTTGTGCTCTCCCGCCCCCACCAGGTGACCGCTACCCTATAGACGCACCACCCTCCATGAACCAGGGCTTTGGTCGCGTGCACCTGGTGTGAAACGGTTTGATTCGGTTTGAGACGTTTCAAATGTTGTGCTCTCCCCGGCCCTCACCAGGTGACCGCTACCCTATAGACGCACCTCCCTCCATGAACCAGGGCTTTGGTCGCGTGCACCTGGGCAATGCTGTGCCTGTAGCGGGTACAGCATCCTTCACTACAGTGGCAATCGAGGGTCCTGCCCTGAAGACCGGTAACGGTTACCGCATCTGCTTGCTGGTTGATCCTGAGAGGAGCGATGGCGGAACAGGGAGCGAGGATGTCAAAATCACACTCACCTGGTAAGTGTCTTGTTTAGATTTTTTTTTTTTTTGTCCTCTCTCTGAAGCACTCCATATTGCACACTCACCCTATTGCACACTCACCCAACTCAATCCCCTCTTTCTTGGTCCCACCCTGTCCAGGTACGATGCACCGGCAGCACTGGTGGCGAATCAGAACGCAGCGACACCGCTGCTGGTGAACAACCTGGACCTCTCAGTCACCTCCCCCACGGGCCACACCTTCTTTGGGAATGGGGGGCTGGCCCCTGATGCCCGCAACACTGTTGAGCAGGTACCCCAGCCCAGTCCATGTGCTTGCGCTTGATTCTAATCTTGCCATGCCTATCTTTCTCCGTCCTCAGGCCACGATGTCACCCATCTGCCCCCATAACCCCATGTCACCCATCTGCCCCCGTAACCCCATGTCACCCATCTGCCCCCGTAACCCCATGTCACCCATCTGCCCCCGTAACCCCATGTCACCCATCTGCCCCCGTAACCCCATGTCACCCATCTGCCCCCGTAACCCCATGTCACCCATCTGGCCCCATCTGGCCACATCTCGCCCATCTGCCCTCATGCCCCCATTCCTCATGTCTCCATGTGCCCGCATCTACCCCCAGGTGCTCATCACAGCGCCACAGCAAGGAGTGTACACAGTGGACGTGAGAGCAGTGCAGGTCAACATGCCCATGCCAGGCACGGGACCAAGCTCCACCTCAGACGCCTCTCCAGCCAACCCCTCAGGCAGCCCCACAGCCAGGGCCTTTAGCAGGTCCCCTGGCAATAAACCTAGCAGCCCCCCTAGCAGCAGGGACGGCGGGCAGCGTTTTGCCGTGGCTGCCAGAGGCCCCATCACTCAAGTCGACTGCCTCTGTGAGCCCTCTTCGCCCCGCCTGGCACGCACCCTTGTGCTCTCTCCCCCTCTCAACCCTCCCAGCAAGCCCTCTTTTCTCGTACCTCTCTTTATTTAGCCTCTCTCCTTGCCTTTCTCTTTCCCCCTTCCCCTCCCCCCCCCCCCCCTCCCCGGCTCCCGCACCATCCAAATCTGCAGTTGACCCTCCTACACCGCACCAGTCCAACAAATCCTCTCTGTCCCTCTCCAGTCAATTTGCCTCTCTAATCCCCCTCTTCCCATCCCCTTTTCCCCCACTTTCCCCCCCATCCAGATGTGCAAGCGGATCCCCCTCCCCCGCCCCTATCCAACAGCCCCTCCCTCTCCATTCCGCTCCTCTTCCCCGCCAGCCCTGCCACCACTGTCCTCTGCGGCCTCACTCGGGTCACCTCCATCACCAGCAGCACTACCACCAGCAGCACAACCAGCAGCAGTACTGCATCAGCAGCAGCTGCTCCCAGCACTGACGGGCTGATGGATGTTACTGCAACTGATTCGTCTGCAGCGGGGGAGGATGGATGGGGTGGCGGATGGGGGGTGGGGGGTGCAGAGGCAACGAGTGAGGAGGTAGAGGGTGGGGCGTTGGGTAGTGTGGGAGCGGGAGCAGGAGTGGCAGGAGGGGAAAGCGGATGGCTGGACCAAGGGGCAGAGGAAGGGGCGGCAGGAGAAGTCGGAGAGGAAGGAGGAGGGGTAGCAGCATTGGGAGGCGCAGGGGGAGAAGAGAGTGGTGTGGTGGTGCTGCCTTGGGGGTCGTGCACCTCGCCTGTCACCTTCCCATCCCTCGATACTGGCACCTACGTCTTTTCAGCACAGCTCCTAGACACCTCCTACACTAACACCCTCATCAGCCCTCCTTACAGAACCACCTTTGCGGTAGATCTCGATGCACCTACCACCACACTCTCCTCTTCTTATACTCCTGCCACCACCGCAACCGCTTCTTTCACCTTCTCTTCCACATCTGCTGACGTCAGCCACTTCCAATGCCAGCTCAGCGCCTCGTCGCTCTCGCCTCCCCCCACCGACCCCATCACCCCGCAGCCAATCACGTTCGGCGAAGCAACCAGCATCCCCACCGGCCTGCTCGAATGGCTGTTTCCCCCCTCTATAGTCACACAGAGCGAGCAGCTCCCAGCCACAAGCCCAGGAGGACAAACCCCTCGTTTAGATCACACCCAGGGAACCACTACTTGGGCTAATTGCAGCAGCCCAGTCTCTTACCCTGGAATCTATGACGGTAGCTATGCTTTCTCCGTGAGAGCTGTGGACCAGGCTGGGAATGCGGATCCCAACCCCCCTATAGTCACATGGGCGCTCGATACTGTCCTGCCGAAAGCCGTGATTCTAGAGGCGCCGGTGGTGTATTCGAACCAAGGGAGTGTTCGGCTCGCGTTCGTGCTTGATAGCGAAGTGCAGTCTGCACAGACGAGGGGCATGCAGATGGCATTCCAGGCGCTTCAGCCACCAATGGTTGAGTATCTGAACCAGCAAAGCGTCCCATTCGTGTTAGACTCACAGCCAGCGGACTTACAGGAATTCCAAAGCTCACAAGAGTCACAAGGGTCACAAGAGTCACAACCACTACAGTCACCAGATTCAGGGCCAGCAGAGTGGAGCTGCATGCTGCAGGCGTGGAGTGGTGCCACGTCCCCTCCTCCCCTCTTTGACTGGCGCAGCTGTAGTAGCCCCTTCCTGATGGGGCTGGACAGTAGCAGCAGCAGTGACAGCAGCAGCAGTGGCAGCAGCAGCAGTAACAGTAGTGACAGCAGTGACAACAGTGGCAGCAGCAGTGGTAACAGCAGTAGCAGTGACAGCAACGGGTGGTATCTCTCTGCACCGCTTCCAGACGGCACATACCTCTTCAGTGTGCGTGCCACGTCAGCATGGAACCGCCACGGCCTCAACAACGCATCAGCCAGAGCAGCTTTCACTGTCGACGCTACACCTCCACGCATACTGCTCCTCTCCCATCCCCCCCGCGTCCTCAGTCAACCCCAGGCGACTTTCTCCTTTCTCTCCCCCAAAATGGTCACCTTCAGCTGCCGACTCACCACCTCTCCTTCCCTTCAACCCGCTGACTCCTCCACTTCCTCTTCTCCACTTACTACCTCTTATCCCTCTTCTTTATCCTCTTCCTCATCTTCCTCCTCCCCCTCCACTTCACCCCTCTCTTCCACCATTCCCCTCTCGCCATGTGTCAGCCCCGTGCGCTACGACCTGCCAGATGGCACGTACACGTGGCAGCTGTCAGCTGTGGATTGGGCTGGGAATGAAGCTGAACCGGTGGTGCTGGAATTCATAGTCGACAGCACACCGCCAACAGTGGAAATCCTGTCTCTCTCTGTCGTACCTGACTCCACTCCTCTCAACTCCTCCAACTCTACTCCTACCAACTCATCCTCCCAGCTACCCACCCCTCTCCCCTCTGCCACCTTACTTGCTACCTTTTCTGGTTCAGACGGCCAATCAGGCTCCGGAATCTCGGGATTTCTCTGCCACGTGGCATTACTTGATTCGCCGGACCCGCCTCCACTATCTTCCGGTGCCTGGGCGCCGTGCTCCAGTCCGTTGAAAGCACCTGGGCTTTCACCTGGGCAGTACAGGCTGATGGTTGTGGCGAGAGACAGAGGGGGTATGATCAGCAGCGTACCTGGTATGAGCAGTTTCGCTTTAGAGGCACCTGTTGTGGTGACGGGTCTAAGGGAGGAAGGAGGAGGAGAGGGAAGCAGCCAAGTAGGTTCTCCTGATACCGGCACCAATGGTGGTAGACCCGTTTCACAGGCTGCTGCTGCGGCTGCTGCTGCTGCTGTTCCTGGTGTGGCATTTGTCGCTCCCCTTCCACCCGCATACAGCAACAACAGCTCAGCCACGCTCCACTTCATCACTATGCGCAGCAATGCAACGTCCTCAAACGAGGACGCACTGAATCAGCCTACAGCTCCTTCTGAATGCATCCTGCTTACCACCCCCCTCCTCCTCTCCACGCCTTATCAACCGTCCACGCCTTCCCAGTCTCCTTCCCCGCCTCCCCTCCTCGCATGGCCATGCAGCAGTCCCACCTTCCTGCACTCCCTCCCAGACGGCCGCCACCAGCTCTGGGTGCGACTGCTGGGGGAGCAGCGCAGGGAGGGGACTTGGACAGCTTTCTCCTGGACTTTCGGTGAGTGCATGCCCTTGCTCCCCCGCCAACTCCATACTCCCCTTCATCCCCTCCTCTAAGTGCTTGACCAGCTTCCTTCCTCGGTTGTTCCCCCCCTCAGCTGCTTATCGTCCTTCCTGATTCTCTGACACCATATCTCCCCATTCTTGCCTCACTCTCGAAAGCTCCTTTGTTTTTGCAACCTCATGTCTCCGCTTCTGCCATCCCTTCACACACGTCCTTCCTTCCTTCCCTCCTTCCCTCCTACCCTTTGACTCTTTCCCCCAGACACCACCCCACCCTCCACGTCCATCTCCTGGGCCAATGACAGCGTGCCAGGTGTCGCCTCCTCATTGAGCCCCACAGTGCGGGTGCTGGGGAGAGAGGAGGAAGGAGGGAGTGGGGTGGTGCGTCTTGAGTGTAAATTGGAGGCGATGATGGGAGGAGGGGGAGCAGGAGATGGAGGGGAAGGAGGTGTAGAGGGGAGAGCAGGCACCATTGGAGGCACCTCCACGTGGCAGGCTTGCATTGGCTCGTTTCCACCTGCACCCGACACGCCACCGACCAATCACAGCACAGACAGCTCCACCTCTCAACTGACAGCTGACGTCACCCTCGCCTCTCTCCTCCCCTCCCCATCCAACACTCTCCCTGACAGCGCGTGTGCATTCAGTGCTGCCCTCCCTGACGGTGTCTATGCCTTCACTGCTAGAGCTGTGGATGCAGCAGGGAATGCGGACCCAAACCCACCCTCAGTGTGGTTTGTGGTCAGTTCTTGGGCGATATCCCTGGCTGGGTTGGAAGTGGGAGACCAGGGAGGAGGTGAAGTGGGGAGCGAGGGAGTGGATGCTGCTGCCAGTGTTGGCAATGCTGTTACTGGTACCACTGCAGGCACATACTCTCCGTCCCGCCTTCTCTCCACCGCCTTCCCATCAGTTGCCATTGCATGTGACGGCCGCTGCACTGCCATGCTGCCTGCCCCATTTCTCTGTGAGCCTCCACTTCCTCAAAAAGACACAAGCCTGACTCAATCCAGCCCACCATCAACAGCACCATCCCTGTCCCCATCCGCATCCGCATCCTCGTCACCCCATTCTTCACCACCACCTGCCTGCACCACTCTAGAGTCTCTCGTTGCACCCAGCACTGCCAGCAGTGGCGGGTTCAAGGTGCTGGTTTCAAGGGGAGAGGAACTGAAGGGAGGATCCCTGGATGGGGGTGTAGCAGCAGCACCGAGTCCAGCAGCAGAAGAGGCAACCTCTGCTTCTCAAGAAGAACAGGCGCCTGTGCTATTCAACGTGCTCTCTGACGTCGTATCCTTCACCTTCCCCCCTGCTCTAACTCCCAAACACGACTCTCACCCTCCTGCTGGTGACCTGAGAGTGGGCCCTGCCTCCCAGTCCCACCCTGCCCTTGCATCGCCTCTGCTCATGATCGGATTCTCCCTGCCATACCTATGTGACCCAAGCAGCAGCGACACTCCGTGCTCTGACGTGCAGGCCTGGGGAGCGGGCTCTGCTGCCTCTGCTCCGGCAACAGGAGTAGCAACTTCGGTAACATCAGCAGCAGTAGCGGCAGCAACGGCAGGACAACCAGCAGCAGCAGCAGCAGCAGCACCAGAAGCAGCAGCAGCGGAAGCACCAGTGGCTGTGCAGGGCTTTTCACTGCAGGAGGTTCTCTCCTCTGCCATCAATGCGTCTACCCCTGCAACTCATGCCATCACCATCCTCTTCCACCCTCACACAACACCCATATCCCCATCACTACCACCGCCACCAGTACCATCAACACCACCACCATCACCGCCACCATCACCACCATCCCCATCATCATCAGCATCAGCGCGATCACTACCATCACCAGCACCATCCTCATCCCTGCACCAGCTTGGTAACCCTCCAGTGGACGGATGGCAGCTGCTGGACACGCGACTGCTCTGGCAGCAGCAGCAGCAGCAGCCCGCCGTGGCCACCTTCTCTGCCCTCCGCCCTGGGCTCTACGCTGTGGCGGTGCAAGAAACGAGTGAGTGTTCCACCCTAACGACTTCCCTTAACCATCTCAAAAGCCCTCGCTGCCCCTTGTTCTGGTCTCTATACATAATGAAACTGCCTTAATCGCTACTTTCTTTGTCCTTTCTTCCAAATGGCAAGCAATTTGAGCGGCATCCCCACTCACCCACGCCTCACATCCCTTCCCACGTGACATCCTAAATCCAATCTTTCTCCTCTCCCCCCGTTGCTGTGCCTCTGTGTGCGTCTGGCCGGCCTGTTTTGGACTGGACTGCGTGTGGCTGGTTCAGGCAATCAAGTCCCTTCCACTCTCACCAGCGCCCCACCAGCCATGAGAATGAGCTCTCCTGCTGCATCCAGCAAGGCGTGGGTGATAGCGCTAGCAGTCTCACTTGGTGTGGGTGCTCTCGTGGTCGCAGTGGGGCTTGCGGTGCTGTTTGTGCGGGTTAGAGGCCGTGCCAGGGTTTCACCGCACCTGCGCAAATGATTGGGGCCCCTGGTGCGTGCCAGGGTCGTTGGCAGTTTCAAAACAAACATAACCGGTACGCACATACTGCTGTACGTTACGCATGCTGCTGTTGCGATACATGGCTGCCTTACCCTTCAATCAGAGCAGCTGTGCCTGGTGCACTGCCATGCCATGGGATGGATGGCATAGCATGGCGTTCTTGCAAGGGCAGGAGGTGGAGCCAACTCAATAAACTCGTATCAAGAGGAGTATCAGGTGCACCTTGTGGTGGTCCCAGAGGACAGTGCCTGGTTGTGTACCTGAACATTCCCTAGGACAATAGGCATTGATACCATAGGTACTTGTTGGAATGTGAAGTTACGGTACGTATAGTTGAGTCAACTATGGATATTGCAATGAGACCTAAGCTGGTACCACAATGTGTACTACACTTAGGGGGAAAGCTTGTGTTTCATCCTAGCATGTTGTTGTAGGCAGCTCAGCATGTTCTCACTTATTCACCACCTTCGCAATCTGAACAGCAGCACCAAGAAAGCTGTCTGAGATTGAGTCATGTCTCCTCCTCCAGCCTCCCCAATACAGTGCAGCCTACTCCATCATGCTTCCTGCTGCAGGACTCCTCTTTCCTGGCCAGGCACACATGAATGACAAAGAGAGGGCTTGGATTGTGCCAGCTCCCAAGGAGGGGAAGGAAGCCGATTACATCTAGCGAGGCTGGACGATGGAAATATTGGATACCATGGAAGAGGTAAAGTGAGATATAAAGAGGGTTATATTTTTCTTACCAGTGTCTTTGCAAGCATGCTACACGTTGCTGTCGGCCCCAACCTCCACTTGTTCCCTCTCTGTTTGCTCCTCCTCTTTCCGCTTCTTCTCCTTCTTATCCTTCTTCTCCTTCTTTTCCTTCTTCCCCTTCTTCCCCTTCTTCTGATCTTCAGCCTTCTCATCCCCCTTCCCTTCCTCACTGCTATCCTTACCCACACCCACATCTCCCACACTGCCCCTCTCCCCTGCATCTTCCTTTCTAATCCCCTCCTCACTCTCTTGCTCACTTCTACCTACTCTCTCTGCCTTCCCAGTAGCTTCCTCCATCTCCTCCCTACTAACATCCACCACCCCCTCCCCCATCTCCTCCCTACTAACATCCACCACCCCCTCCCCCATCTCCTCCCTACTAACATCCACCACCCCCTCCCCCATCTCCTCCCTACTAACATCCACCAACCCCTCCCCCATCTCCTCCCCACTAGCCTCCGCCACCCCCTCCCCCAGCTCCCCCCCACTAACCTCCGCCGCCCCCTCCCCCATCTTCTCGCCGCCTCCACTCACCTTTCCCCCCTCCTCCTCCCCAACCACGAATTCCCCAGCCTCGGGCTCAGGTTCGGGAATATCCACCACCACCACCCCACCCTCTTTAACCAACTCTTCATGAATAGCCAATAGCCGCTCAGCAACCTTTTTCATAGCGGGGCGCTTCTTAGCGGGGAAAAGTTGACAGTCCAACCCAACCTGTAACACTCTCCGAATGACGTCAGCAGGGTAGGCGGTGCCGAGCCGCGGATCCACTATACTCCCTATGCCGGCGTCTCCTCCGGACCTAAGGCGCTTCGAGACCCACGTGCCTAGGTCCAGCTTCGCGGTAGCTTCGCCAGGCTCGTTCTCGATCACGGCTGGGCGGCCGGTGAAGATCTGCAGGAGGATAACTCCAAACGCGTACACGTCATTGGGCGGCAACGATTTCCTCGTGATGTTGAAACTGGGGTCGATGTAACCACTGATTGCGAGCGTCGGCGCGTGTGGTAACCCGCCCAGCATGCTCGCACCGCCAGTGATGTCTCGGGTCATCAAAACTTTCATCCGCCCGATGTTGCCCACCTTGGGAACGCCGTTCGTGTCGAAAATAATGTTTTTCGGATGCAACCCCTCGAGTAAATACGGCCTAGGGAACTCCGTGTGCAGGTACGCGACCGCCTCGGCAATATCAACGGCAATCAGCAGCCGGTGCAGGAAATCGAACGGTATTCCTTCCTCCTCGCCCTCCGCGACAACCCCGAGGTCCTTGAGCGCGCGAGCGTTTCGCGAACCTCTTCGCCACATCGTGATCTTCTCCTTCCACACGTCGGCATTCCCGAAAATCATCGACTCCAAGCTCGGACCCCCCACGAACTCGTATATAAGCACCCGCTCGCCGCACTCGAAACAGTAACCCAGCAGTTGAATCACATTCTGATGACATAGTACCGCCATAGACTTTGCGCCGAAGATAAAATCCGCTTCTAGCTCCACATAAGCCTCCGGATTTGCCGGGCGAAACGTCAGCATGGCGTCATCCCCGCTCCCGGGCCGCCAAACGGATCTCTTAACCGCCCACTGCGCTCCGTTCGGCCCCGCGCCTCGGTAAACCTCGGACGTGCTTCCTTTTCCGATAAAGTTCTGCTTACTGAAGTTCCTTGTAGCGCGAGTTACCTGTAGCAGGTCGAACTGCTGGAACGACATGCTCCGCTGCTGCGCCGCTTTCTTCCGCGCCATGTCCTTAAATCCCGGCGATCGCAGCACCTTGCGCCAAAACTTTGCGCCAGCGTGCGGGGATTTCAGTGCCAGTTGCGGAGCCCCGCCGTCTCCGCCGACGTCCGGCGGAATGGTAATCGCCGTCACGCCAGCGGCGACGTAAGGGGCGGCGGAGTTATAACCGCTGCCGTACATGACGCCGAGGCTGTTCGATGGAGTCGCCTTCGCGCCGCCATCCGCGTCGTCCGTCGCGACGACCCGTCGGTGGCGTTTCCAAGGGCAGCAGCCGCCGCAGCAGAGCACGTTGTAGCAGCAACTGTTGCAGCCTTTGGACGACTTAAAACAACGGCAGCAGATGCAGAGCAGGGCGATGAGGATTATTGCGGCGACCACACCTGCTACGACAAGTGCCCATAAGGGTATCTCTTTCCCGGCAATCTCCATCTTTCCGCGCCTTCTTGTTGACTCGCTCGGGCCGCCAACGTGTACCTTTGGTAGAAGATCAGCTTTCCCTTCACCTTCGCTATCTAATAGTACGCTGACTAGTAGTAGATGTAATGCCACTAACCGGCCAAGCTACGGAGAGCAGAACAGATTCAGTTAACTTCAGTCGAGCTGGAGACCGAGCGCACGAGGTTGAAGTGAGATACCGCGCGCTAAGGCTAATCTTAGGGCTTACAGGGAGACGGAGCGCGCCAGGAACCACACCGAAAAAAAGAAAGACGGTATGTACGGGTGCGTGGGTCAGTGAGTAACGGATCGAGTTTTCGCATTACTCATGCGCCAAATCATTTTTCCGGAACTATGCGACTCCATGATAATGGATGTGCAAACCTTGGCTGAAACGAAGCAACCGTGATCCTACTCGTTTTGTCTGGAGAGTGCAGCAGAGAGATTCAATACTGTTCGGACCACCCTCGTCCAGCAACTTAGTTCGGTCAATTTTGCCCCACTCTTGTTTGACGTGTTTGTGACGAGACGAATGACTTGAGAGTGGGGTTGGGAAGAATGCTGGCAATGCATAGCAACGAATGCTCGACGTTGTGTGAGTGATGTCAAAAGCGTGACGCACAATTATTGACGATTGTCCGACACGAATTACCGAGTCGCAAATGTCTGCTTGGAGTGCGGCTCGATGAACGTCGCTACGTCGCATTTTTTGTTGCCGAGCAGTTGACATCGAGTCCGCATAATTATTGGCGGTCTGGCAACAACAACTCCGTTACAAATTATTACCATGACGTACGATGTAAGGAATTTTCTCGAATTCCTTATCGGGGTTGACTACTGCGCGTACAACCCGATTTTCGGAGTTCGCACGATCGGGCGATTTCCACGCTGCCGAAGCTCCTCACGTCGCCTTCGGCATTTCCATCGCCAAACCTGCACCCAACCTCGCTCCCTAACACCCTAAGCAGTGGACCAAGCGACAGCCCTGCCTCCAACACACCACGGAATTCCACTGACCAGCTGACATCCTTTTTGCCCTCCGCCATGGATTCTGTCAGGAGCTAAGGAAGACCCAATGTCAACCAATTTCTTATCAGTTACTCACAATAATAACGGTTTCGGATTCTACATGGCAAGACGAACAAGGAGATACCTTTTATGTGCTCAAATGTCGAGCATTGTAACTTCAAGTTCTTTGTCAGGCACTCCGTTTTCACCGTTGGTAACTATCCAGAAACGTTTATCGAAGGCTTTCCCAAGGTTGATGACAACCTCATATGTTCCCAAGGCGTCTCCTAAGGTCCTATCGCGACTTGCTACCATCAAGGTTTTTACAACTACCAAGGACAGGAACCACATGTATCACCACCCACGGAAGAAAGCAAGGTTTTTGCGTGGTCACGTCGGTTATAAACTTTCGGTGCTCAGAGCAGTCAGATCAACCAAAGCACTTTTGTGCCTTTCATCATATCTTGGTCGCAGCTTCTCGTGCTCTCATCATCGCACCATGCCTCGAGTGGTGAAAAAGGGCTCTAAGCCGGCTGCTCAGGCTAAGGGTCCTGATGCCTTGGATCTGGCTGCGAAGGGTCATCAGTCGGAGCCGGCCACGCCGAAACCACATTTGAAGGAGGTGGAAGGCCCATTCGGGGATGGCGTTCGTGCTTCTCTGGTGAAACGGCTGTCTGCGCTGAAGTTTCCTTCATCGGACGCGCCACCTGACGGAAAGGACACCTCTACCAACGAAAAGGAAGACAGAGAGGAGGAGGTGAAATCGCCGACCGCTGCTCCCGAAGCACCTGAGGAAGGGACTGAAGACGAGGAGGAAGAGGATGATGGTTATCTCAGCGATGATCCGGAGGAGCGTTTTGACCCGGTGAAGGCGGGTGAAATCGCTGCACGCGCAGGCTTCTCCATTACTCTGCTGGTTCCGATTAAGTATGAGGAGGAAGTTCCTCGCACCATTGACACGGTCAAGGGTCTTCTCGCGATATGGAGGAAATTCATGTCTGCTCACGTTCTGGTGACGACCAAGTGCCAGGTCCTTCTACCGGCGTGGCTGTCAAAGAAGCGGTATGGGAGGCTGCAAGTTACATTTCAGCAGGCATCGGACGCGAACTACGTGTGGTGTCGCAGGATTCAGCACAAGTTGTTGAATGGGGAGAGCATTTACCTGGATTGGCAGCATCCGGAGAACCCGATTTACATCCAGGAGCGTGCGGCCAACCCGGACTCCATTGAGGTGTTGCTGAAGAGTGTTCCGGCTGCCATTACATCGGAGATGGTGTATGAGTACCTCGTGAAGACAGTGCTAGAGAAGCGGGGCCGGACGCCTTTCCTTAGCGGTGCTGCTTTCCACAGGGTGGTGGACCCGGTTACCGGAGCGGACACTGACAAGATCCGGGGTCTGGTTAAGGAGCACCCGGGGGATAAGTATCGCTGGTGGCACTTGCTGGTCGATTCTGTGCATCATAAGCAGCTTCTTGTGCATTACCCCTCGCTCACCTGCGATTTCTGTGGAGGCATGCATATGACAAGGTTCCATGATGACTTCGTTACGGAGCGCCAGGAGAACATCGGCAAGTGGAATCTGACTCTCGAGCGTCTGCACGCGATCAATGGTAAACAGTCGGGCACTAACCTCGTTTTTCAGGCTGTTGGGGCCCTGATCGAGTCTGCTGACGACTTCGTCGCCTCGTACCTGAGCAGCTGCATCCCTGCCGCTAGATGCGCAGGTGAAGAAGATCTTACGCGACCCTGCTGTGGTGCTGATCTCCACGGGGGAAAGCCGGGAGGAATGGCTTTGCGTCCAGGAGGCATGTGGCAAGGCGCATGGTTCCAGTTTTACGCAGGCGCTGGCGCATGTGAAGTCGGTGCAGCACTGCACGGCGCTCCTGCAGGGAGACGCGGCAAGCAGGAAGAGGAGAGGGAAGATGAATTTTCTTCCGATCCGCAAGGAGTTCGGGCTGTAATGGAGATAGAGTAGGGGGAGATGGTCGTCAGGAGGATTCATGACCGTGGGAGATATAAAAGCAACGGAATAAGGCGTGTACCTGGTCGTCATACGAGGATGTGTGTAGGAGGAGTCTTGCTGTACCAAGCCCGTGGATGCGAAGGGGCCCTGTCTCAGTGGATTAATGGATAACAAACACAACCTTTCCTTGTGCGAGGTCAATGTTAACGGCCTCGGGAGCAACGGCGAAAGAACTGCACACGCTAAGTGGATTAGAACGATCGCAGATGTGGTGGTGCTTACGGACACGAGAATAAAAGAAGATCATAATTTCTAGACGCAATTGAAACCATCATCAGCAGCGGTGGTGGGAAATTGCGAAAGAGCAGGTGGGGTTGCGGTGCTGTCTTTTAATGAGGAAGTGAAGTTCACAGAGGTGGTCACTCACCCATCGGGAAGGCTGGTGGGGGTCACAGTGTCGTGCTCGCAGACCTCCTTCAGGTTGATTGCGATGTACCTGCCTGCGCAGCCGTGTGCCAGAGGCGTTTTCTTCAGAAGCTGTCTCCCGGTGTTTGTTCAAGCTCAGCCGACGTGCGCACACCTGGTGAATCTGGGTGACCTGAATTTGGTGGAGGACCCCGATCTGGACAAGTCGTCGCGCTCGGGTTCGGGGAACGAGAATCAGCGGCTGCTGGGCTTCTGGAGAACGGAGGACCTCAGGGATGCCTTTCGGGTGCTTCATCCAAACCGCCCGGAGTATACCTTCAGGGACAGGGCGACTAAGGCGAGCACACGCATCGACAGGGGCCTGGTGTCTTTCTCACTGCTCGGGCTGCTGGCCGACGCGCGCCATGTTAAGATCCCAAGGGGTCTGTCGGACCATTGGTTCGGAATAAAACTTGCACTCGCGGTGGCGGCGCCGGCGGAACAGGGCCCTGGTATATGGCGGATGCAAGCAAGACAGGCGAGGGGGAGCGGGGTTAGTACGGTGTCTGCTAACATCCTTAAGAAATTCGAGAACGAGGAGGGGATGGACCTAGGGAAGAAGCTGAAGCTGCTCAGCATGGGTTTAAGAGAATACTCACGAGAAGAGCGGAAGAGGGTGAGGGCGACAGTGCAACACCTGGAGGGTGTGGTGGAGCGTTTAAGACACAAAGTGATGAGGTATCCCGAGGACAGGAGGGCGCAGAACAAGCTAATTAAAAAAGAGGCGCACCTAGAGGCGTACCTTCAGAGCTGCAAAGACCGGATGCAGGTCTTGGCGGGGATCAAGGTGGAACTCAGTGGGGAAGTCCCGTCGCCATACCTGTCAGCAAAAATTAAAGTGCGGAAAAAACGGACGGAGGTGCGGGTGATTTCTCACCGTGGTGCAATGTACCAGGGGCCAAAGGAGGTGCTAAAGGCGGCCGCGGATCACTTCAGGTCAGCCTTCAGCGAAGTGGTACCAGAGGAGGAGGTGGACTGGGGCGCTTTTTCAGAAGGCGCCAAGTTCTCAGAGGCGGATGCTGAACTCCTTGGGGCTGTTTGGACGGAGGAGGAAGTCAAGCAGGCGCTGGAGAGTCTCCCGAAGGGGAAATCCCCTGGTCAGGATGGACTGCCAGCAGAGTTTTTCATCGCGCACTGGGAGTTGCTGAAGAAGCACGTGATGGACTTCGTCGGAGAGTTTGCTGAGAAGGCAAAGATGCCAGAGAGCCTCTCGACCTCGGTGACCGTATTGCTGCACAAGAAAGGGCCAACGGATCAGCTGGGGAATTACCGCCCCATCACGCTCCTGTCAGCCATGTACAAAGTGATCACGAAGGTCATGGCTACGAGACTAAAGAAGGTGCTGGGCAAGGTCCTATCAAAGGAGCAGCATGGCTTCTTACCTGGGAAAAGCCTTGCGGATGCAGTTTCGGTGGTAGCGGATGCAGTGGAGGCGGCGAACAGCGGCGGGGAGGACTGGCTACTACTGTTGGTGGATTTTCAGAAGGCGTATGACACGGTCTCAAGATCCTTCCTCTTCAGGTTCATGAAGGAGCTGGGCATGCCCGAAAACTTCATTGGTTGGACTAGAGGACTGCACGCAGACGCAGGAACAAGGATCATCATAAACGGGTGGTTAAGCGACAGGGTGGAGATGTGCAGAGGAGTCAGGCAGGGTTGCCCCCTGGCTCCATACATTTTTCTCTGCGCACTCGAGCCGCTGTGCAGAGCCACGCAGCGTGAAGGGCTGGGTATCGGACCGGTGGGGAAAGAGCCGCTGGCGTACGTGGGGTACGCCGATGACACATCCTTTCTGCTGAGCGGGGAGGCCCAGCTGCGGAGGACGGTGGAGGTGCTGGACACCTTCGGAAAGCAGTCGGGGCTGAAGGTGAACTGCGACAAGTCGGTGGTCGTGCCGCTGGGAAGCAATAGGGGAGAGCCGGTGCCGGCGGACATCCCGTACAAATGGTCGGTGCAGGGTGAACCGGAGAGGCTTCTGGGGGTGTGGGTAACACCCAACGGAGATCCGGGTCCTTCCTGGGGGATGGCGTACGAAAGGATAAAGGAGGAGCTAAGGAAGTGGGAAGCGCAATATCTCACGACAACAGCAAGAGTGGCGGTGATTAGCTGCTACGTCCTGCCAGTCTTGATGTTCCAGGCGCAAGTATATTCGCCGCCGGATGAGATTTGGGAAAAAATCAGGAAGCTCTGTCACGCGTTCGTATCGGCCGGGGAAGCGGCGGAGGAGAAAATCTTCATTCTGTGGAGTGCCTACCTGGCATGTCTGCCGCGGAAAGACGGGGGGCTGGGCCAGCTGGACCCAAAACTATGCTTGGACGGGTTGGCGATTCGCAGGATCGGGAAGTTTCTGAAAGAGCCGGATGGCACACGCCGCTGGCTGGCGGAAAAGGCGGCGGCTCTCCCGCAAGGGCTGGCCACGCTGTACGCGCACCCGTCGGCGATGAAACACTGGCCACGTGGCAGCGAACGCTGGAAGGCGGCCGTGAAGGTGTTCTGGTCGTCACCGCTGGAGACGCTGCCGGCGCCAAAGAATAGATGGGAAGTGGAGGAGGAATTCATATGTTTTAACAGGAACATCATGCACTGGGGGGAAAGTCCTTACGGTCACCAGATAGGCACGGCGGCCCTCATCATCACGCGGGTACGGGACCTGCTCACAGACGGCCCGGGGGGACGAAGAGGGGTGAAGGAGGAAGATGAGCTTGTGATAGAGCTTGGGAGCAAGGAAGCGGCGGTCATGGCAAGGAAAGCATACGGAGCTATGCCGCCTGAGTGGAGGAAACTGATTGAAGAGCCGGCGACAGCGGAAGCTGTGGCGAAGGCGTCTGGAGTGGTGAGATATGTCCTCCGAGGCTAACTGACCAGGCCCTTATGGGCAGTGGAAGGGGGGGAAGGCACGGAGGTCTGCACGTCCAATATGTCCCTCGACGAGGACGGGAAAGTAGAAGCTCATGCGCGGGCAAGGAGAACGTGTTTCGAAGCGTGCAGGCTCCAGCCGATGGCGGTTCAGAAGGGCTATTTGGTAGGGCCAGTGGGCGACCCGAAGGTACGGCTGTTGTCCCAGACGGGACTCTTCGCTGAAGGGGAGCTGGTGCCGCTACGGAGCGTAAGAGCAGTGCTAACCAAATCGAAAGGGCGATCTTGGAGACAGGCGGAGTGGGAAGATGCGTGGGGCAAAAAGATTGACTGGCGGAGGGTTATTGAGACTCGGGACTCGATTTGTGTGCCGAACAAGGCAAGTGACGTCCTGCTTAGGATCCACAGTATGAACCTCCAGGTGGGGGAAAGGCTGGATTTCTTCAGGAACAGGATCGCTTGCGCGCACTGTGATGAGGAAGAAACCCTAACACACTGCCTCTACAGTTGCCCGATCATACAGCCGGTCATCGGTGCGCTTAAGAGGACGCTGCACATGCTGAATCCGGTCAGGTCGGTGAGCTGTCTAGGGGACCTACTGTTCGGAGAAGGGGGCACGGCGTCAGACTTTCCGGAAATGACGTTGACATCGGTGGTGATTAGGCAGATATGGCTGGCACGATGTGATGCGGTTTGGCGCGCAGCTCCTTTCGAAAGGAAAAAGGTGGGGAGACGTGCTGTGCTGGACTTCATGACGCATGCGAGGGTAGTGCTGGCGTCAAGGGGAAGGGTGGCGACAGCAGGCGAAAGGGGAAGCTTCTGGAAGACGGACAACTGGAGCCAGGTGACGGCGGATGAGAGGAAGCAGCTTCAGAGGATATGCGGGACAGATGGGCCAACAAGCTGGGCGGCCCCTTTTCTCTCTATCTGGCGCAACCCGCGCACGTTCCATCAGCCTCCGTAACTTGCCGCAGGGGGGGTAATACTGTACCCACGTGGTGTGGTTTAGACCCTCCAAGACATACAGTTACGACTGCGGATGTATCTATATTTGATAATATATTTACACCAAAAAAAAAAAAAAAAAAACCCAACCTCGCTCGTCCGAGGTTTCCTCCTAGCTAGGCTAGCCTACATTAGTTCTCGCATTCATTGTATTCTCAGATTCATTCAGTCACAGTCTCGTTATTCGTTTACCTGCGCACTCTCTTTTACAACTCATAACACCTGGTATCAGAGCTACTTTCCTAGTTCACCCCGCTTTTCAAGGGTAGTTTGGTGGCATAGGGTGTGGTTGGTTTAGTGACTACACGACGGTTGGCTGCAGAGGTTGTTAACTCAACCCTGCCCGACTCCGATAGTTCGTGTTTTCACTTGCCGGGCGGCCACGGGTACCCAACTGCCCACCAGACGTAGTGCTAGAAACATGGATCAGGAGGCTGTTAACCGACTGATGGCGCAAGTGGCAGAAATGGCGAGGGGCATGGAATCGCTGCAAGCGGAAGTGACAACACTGAAGGAGGAAAACGCCGAGCTACGCCGGACGCGAGGTGAAGCGCGTCAGACGTCGCCTGTGGACGAAGGCGAGGGCAACAGTCAAGTGATGGGCAATCCTCTGGACGAGCTCACACGTGACTTCGAAGAAGAAGATAGGCAGCGAGCGGCGGCAGCGCCAGTTGCAGTTACGACGATCAAGATCAAGCCCGTCAACCCGCCCCCGTTTAATCCTACGGACAAGACGACTACAGTGAAGGGGTGGCTGTTCGGGGTTGAAGTCTTCTTCACTGCAGCCGGAGTTAATGACGATGCCACGCGCATTAATTACGCAGTCTCACTTCTTCGAGGTGCAGCACTTGAATGGTGGCGCCGGACCTTGGAAACAGGGACGTCGACAGGTGTGACACATGCGGCAGACGGGACCTCTACAGTGGTTAATCAAGTTGCAGAACCGATCTTCGGTGTGACCAAGATACGCACATGGAAGGAGTGGGGCGCAGCCTTACGGGATCGCTTCGAGCACATATCCGCCTCGGAGCAAGCTCGCATGAAGCTGCGTGCATGGTCGCAGATGGGATCTGTCCAAGACTACACGGCGTCATTTATGGGCTTCGCCGACCAAATCGATGACATGTCGGAAGCTGAGCGGTTGGATAAATACGTGAGCGGCCTTAAGTACGAGATACAGTTCGAAGTTCGCCGCAGCCGCCCGACATCGTTCCTCGAAGCAGTACGCGTGGCAGAGTCAACGGATGCGCTGATGCAGTACGCGAGAACGGCTTCCAGGGATGGGAGAGGTTTTCGTGGCCAGACCCATCGGGCCACAATCAACGCCGTCCATACACCCGACCGCCCTCCTAAGGGTCAGTGTTTCCGGTGTGGGAAGGTGGGTCACTGGAAGAACGAATGCAAGGAGAAAATGCCGCTGACAGAGAACGACAGGAAGGAGCAGGGAAATGGGAAGAGTCAGTAAGTAGCGGGCCCTTTACTGACTGTGCTCCGTCGCCCGAACACCACCATCCCCACCGAGTCGTGGTTCCGATTCATGCAATCGATCGCACTCGGCCGAATAACGGGGATAATCATGTGGATCACCCTGTGCTGGTCGCTGGCAAGGTGGGGAAACATCATCTGAAAATGTTCGTCGATGGAGGGGCCAGCCATAGCCTCTTCAACTTGGCGAGCGCAAAAAAATGCAACATGCAACTTGACAGGTGTCTGCCCGAAATCGACGCACGACTCGTGGATGGGACGCCTCTGGCGATAACGGAAGAAACACGGATGGTGCGGATCGAGTGCGGCGAAGATTTCGGCTTCAGCATGAAGTTCCTCGCGACGACGCTGGATGGCTGCGACGTGCTGCTGGGACGTGATTGGCTGCGACGACACAACCCCGTCATCGACTGGACAACGGGATCGTGCTGCGTCAGCAAGCACGAGGGGCTAATTAAGTTGCCTGCATGGACACCTGACTACATACAAGCCCCGTGCGTCAAAGCCATCACCATCGCCCACCACTTCAACAGGGGTGCGCAGCTGTTCGCCGTCTGCTTGCGCGAGTTGGCAGTCGACACCGACGGAAAGGACATCGAAAAGCTGTGTGCAGCTGTTCCTCCGGATTTAGCGGAGCTAATTCGACGGTACCCCGACATTTTCCCGGACGATTTGCCACCTGGGCTGCCACCCGAAAGACCCGAAGACCATAAAATCCAGCTGGAACCTGGCGCGCAACCTACTGTTCGGACACAGTGGCGGTTGACCCAACCGGAACTCGAGGAGCTACGCCGACAAATTGTTGCACTGTTGGAGAAAGGCTTCATTCAGCCGAGCACCTCCTGGTTCGCGGCACCGATCCTGTTCACTCCAAAGAAGGACGGCGGGCTTCGCATGTGCATCGATTATCGCGCGTTGAACAGGGTGACCATCAAGTCTCGCTACCCAATCCCACGCACCGACGACCTCCTCGATCAACTTCGCGGCGCTCGCTACTTCTCGAAAATCGACTTACGTGGCGGTTACCACCAGATTCGGGTCTTCGCCGACGACTGTCACAAGACCGCGTTTCGTACACGCTACGGGAGTTACGAATTTACAGTGATGCCTTTCGGCCTCACGAACGCGCCTTCGACATTCCAACTGACCATGAACAGGGTTTTCCCGATCTTCTAGACCGATGTGTCATCGTCTATTTGGACGATATCCTGATTTTTAGCAAGACACGGGAGCAACACCTCCGCGACCTGGACGCAGTTTTTAAAAGGCTGCAAGAGAACCGGCTCATCACCAAGGGCTCTAAGTGCGAGTTTTTTAAGCAGGAGTTGGAGTTTTTAGGGCACGTTATCTCCCGCGACGGCATCAAAATCGACCCGGCGAAGATTAAAACCATCCAGGAGTGGAAGGCCCCGACTAATGTCACGGAGCTCCAGAGTTTTTTGGGGTTCGTGAATTACGTCCGGCGGTTTATCCCGAATATGGCGGGGATAACCGGCCCGCTGACCGACCTGCTGCACAAGGACAAGAATTTCGTGTGGGGGGAGGAAGCAGAGGTGGCTTTCCAGGAGCTCAAGAATTTTCTCGTTTCTCCTCCTGTACTGCGCATCGCCGACCCATCAAAGCCGTTCGAAGTCGTAACCGACGCCTCTGATTTCGCCATCGGAGCAGTGCTTCTCCAGGATTTCGGGAACGGGCTGCAGCCGATCGCCTACGAATCACGCAAGCTGCAAGCTGCCGAACGCAACTACCCGATCCACGACAAGGAGATGCTCGCCATAATCCACGCGTTTAAACTGTGGCGATGCTACCTGGTGGGCGCCGACGTCACTGTGCGCACGGACCACAAGTCCCTACAGTACCTGCGAGCTCAACCGAACCTCAACCCGCGACAAATTCGGTGGCTGGACTACATGGAGAGCCACTTCACCTACCGCATCACGTACAAGAAAGGGGCGAATAACATCGCCGACGCCCTGACCAGACCGACCGTACAATCCGCTGCTGTACTGATCACCCATTCGAACCCGCTACTTACAGGACTATTCACCCACGGCTACACTACGGACCCGTTCTTCACGACAGGAAATCATCAGCAGGCCACGACGCAGAAGGGAGATTATTACCTGAAAGCCAGCACCGACAGGATTGTCGGAATCAACAGACAGGAATGACTGTACTAGCACAAAGTTGGATACAAGTAGGAAACCCTAATCTAGTGTACCCCCTAAGGTGTAACCCACTACAGCCTACAATCATATAAACATATAATGTTTGACACACCCCCATAGGCGCAGTGGGAGACAACCACAGGGTCACGAGACCAGTCAAAGCAAAGTAAGCTCAGGGTGGATCTCAAGGATTCCACACAAATTCCGAGCACAAGCAAGCGGTCACAAGACCAGTCCACATGCAGGTTTATAATAGAGCAAGAGATGCAGTGATCACAACCTAGCAAGAGTGAACATGCAGGTATACACACATATATATATAGTGATCACAGTACAAGCAGGGTCAAGAAGTAAGCAAATGAGGTCCAGTAGGCACAAGGCCTAGCAGAGTGCAGAAGCGCTGATGGTCACAAGGCTGAAGCGCCTTGGTGAACACATCAGCAGTGTTGGCCTCAGTGGCCACGTGACGAATACAAAGCTGACCGCGCTGCTGCAGCTCTCGAGCAAGGAAGTACCGCAGGGCGATGTGCTTCGTTCGGTGCTCCAGTCTGTGCTCCTCACACAAGGCAATGGCAGCCTTGTTGTCGACGTACAGCACTGGAGGAGAACGAGGCCGCTCTCCCAGGTCGGTCAGCAGGTAGGTCAGCCAGCGTAGCTCCTGGGCAGCCATGGCTGTGGCGTAGATCTCAGCCTCACAACTGGAGCTGAGAACAGAAGAAGAGCGTGTAGAACGCCAAGAAACTGAGCCAGAGCCAAGACTGAAGGTGTAACCCTGAGACGACCGCTGAGTAGCCTGGTCGTCAGCCCAAGAGGCGTCTGAGTGTCCTGTGAGTACAACTCGGTCTCGCCCTCCAAGCACTAGCCCCATGCCCGACGTACTGCACAAGTAGCGCAACACCCTCTTAGCGGCATCCATGTGCTCCTTCCTGTGACGGCCAGGAGCGACATAGCGTGCAAGGATGCTAAGAGGGTATGCAAGGTCAGGTCGAGTGCAGGTCATCAGGTACATGAGACAGCCCACAAGCTCTGGATACAGGCCACTCGGCTCTACGGACTCATCCGAAGGCAGAGCTGAGAGCGAGTGACCGGTAGGCAGAGGAGTGGACTGAGGCGAGGAGTACGTGAAGCGGAAGCGCTGAAGGATCTGCTGCACCATGTGTGACTGAGTCAAGGTGATGGTGCGTCGTGCTCTGTCCCGGGTGATCCGCAAGCCAAGATAGCTCGTCAGTTCCCCCAGGTCTGTGCACGTGTGTCTCCTCTGCAGCTCCAACTTCACGTGGGCGAGTGCCGCGGTGTCAGCAGTGGCAAAGACCAGGTCGTCGACGTACACGAGGATGTAGAACGGCGGCAGTGAGGTGTCTGTGCGTAGAAACAGTGACGGGTCAGCAGTAGAGGGAGCGAACCCTAGAGCCGCAAGTGTCGTCCTCAGTGTGTCGTGCCACTCACGCGGTGCCTGGCGGAGACCGTAGACTGGCCGCTGGAGCCTCCACTGGGTACCAGGAGGAACCGACCCAGTGAAACCAGGAGGGCGACGCAGCCAGATCTCCTCGTGTAGGCTGCCCTGTAAGAAGGCAGTGCTGAAGTCAAGAGAGTGAAGCTCGTAGTCGCGCTGAGCGGCTATGTGCAGCAGCACCCGAAGAGTGGTCATCTTCGGGGTGGGGGAGAAGGTCTGAAAGAAGTCAACTCCCTCTCGCTGGCTGAAGCCTCGAGCAACGTAGCGCGCCTTGAAGACAGGAGGAGAACCCGGCGGCCGCTTCACCCTGAAAATCCACATGCCACTGACGATGTTCGCCCCAGGAGGGGGAACCTCGTCGACGTAGGTGCGTGTGGACTTCCAGGAAGCCATCTCTGCGTCCATGGCTGTCTGCCACTGAGAGGAGTAGGGACCCGCCATCACCTCAGCGTAAGTGCGCGGGGTCGGGATGTCAGGAGCATCCGGGTCTCCCTCAGGGGCAACTAGCAAGGACACGAGACGGGGCAAAACAGCAGCAAGGCACTGGAACTCCTCCTGTCTGTCCTCAAGGACGTCCGTGCCAAGAGCACACTCACCCCCGACGGACGGAGGACAGACAGACTCAGACTCAGACTCAGCGACAAGGCTAGCAGCGTAGTCTAGACGACACCGGGCAGCAAAGTCAACCAGCTCAGCGACCAGCGCAGACGCAGCAGAGGACTCAAAGGTAGGGTCGGTGACAACAGTAGCGAGGAGGCGCGTGACAGTGGGACTGGCAGCACGACGGGAGTCAGACTCCGGGTCAGGAAGAGTAGGAAGAGAGGAAGCGGGAGGAGACGGTAGCGGGACACGCTGAGGAGCAGTGGAGGGACGCAGAGTCATGTAGTGAGTGCCAGGGACAGGAGGAGGACGCTCACGTGGGACACGACGACCAGTGCGAGCAGTACGAACAGGCGACGCAGGACGAGACTCAGGCTCACGACGCTCTGTAAGACCTCCCGTGGGACCAGTGTAAGGAGAGGGAGCAGGGAGAGGCGAGGAAGGCGGTAACTGTGACTGCGGCGGGACAGGCGGAGGACACTCTACGGAGGGAGGAGGACAAGGAGGAGGAGTCTGACCAAGAACCTGCTGAAGGAGCGGTACGAAGTACGGTCGCGGCCGCGCAGCGTCTCCAGAACGAGACACCACCAGCGGCAGGGTCCGCAGCACCAGCAGCAGCTCCACCGCCCGGGTCCTCAGCACCAGCAGCAGCTCCACCGCCCGGGTCCTCAGCACCAGGAGCAGCTCCAACGCCCGGGTCCTCAGCACCAGCAGCAGCTCCACCGCCCGGGTCCTCAGCACCAGCAGCAGTGCCACCGCCCGGGTCCTCAGCACCAGCAGCAGCTCCAACGCCCGGGTCCTCAGCACCAGCAGCAGCTCCACCGCCCGGGTCCTCAGCACCAGCAGCAGCGCCACCGCCCAGGTCCTCAGCACCAGCAGCAGCTCCAACGCCCGGGTCCGCAGTACCAGCAGCAGCGCCACCCCCAGGGTCTGCAGCACCAGGAGCACCACTCCGAAGACTGCAGCGCCGCGCGTACCACTCTCGGATCTGCTGAATGGGGGGGAGCTCCTGGGTAGGAGGGGAAGTACTGGTACGAGCTCCAGCAGCACCTCTCCGGAGGCGGCAGTACTCGAGATACCTCTCCTGCAGCTGCTGGGAGGAGATGGCTCCCCCAGGTGTAGCACGCTCAGGCTCAGCACCTCCAGACTCAGCACCCCTAGACGCAGCACCCCCAGGCTCAGCACCTCCAGACTCCGCACCCCCAGGCTCCGCACCCCCAGACTCAGCACGGTCAGGCTCAGCACCCCCAGGCTCAGCACCCCCAGACGTAGCACCCCCAGACGCAGCACCTCCAGGCTCAGCACCTCCAGACTCCGCACCCCCAGGCTCAGCACCTCCAGGCTCCGCACCCCCAGGCTCAGCACCCTCAGACTCCTCACGGTCAGGCTCAGTACCCCCAGCAGGACGAGAGTCAACAGCTACCTCGACAGGCTCAACCGGGTCTACCTGGGACACACCTGAGGGAGCGGCACCCTGAGGGGGGAGGGGGTCTGGTACCTCAGCACCTGGAGCGAGGAAGAGAGGCGGGGGGGGGAGCGGGGCAGTGCGGTAGGGGAAGAGGCGGTAGTAGGGGACGGACTCGTCAAAAGTGACGTCCTGAGAGGCCAGGACACGACGCGAGGTGGCGTGGTAGAACTGCCAACCAGGCGCGTCCGGGACAAAGCCAAGGAAGACACAGGGGACAGCTCGACGGGAGAGCTTGTCCGCGGACGTATCGCGAACAAAAGCTCGAGATCCCCAGACCCGAAAACGCGACGCATCGCCAGCCTCTCCCGTCCAACGCAGTGTCGGAGAAGTCTCCGGTAAGGAGACACGGGGCCAGAGGTTGAGCTGATGCGCAGCGTATCGGACTGCAAACGGCCACAGAAAGTGGGGGGCAGCCGCATGAACCAAGGAGGTACGAGCGACCTCCATGACCAAGCCAATGCGGCGCTCAGCAACCCCATTCTGTTGTGGAGAGGCCGGAAGCGTGAACGACTGCTCAATGCCCTCCTGCTGACAGAAGGCCTCCAAGAGGCCAGAGGAAAACTCACCACCTTTGTCAGAGTGCAGACGCAGGACAGGGAAGTCGGAGCGGAAACGCTCGCTGAGCTGGAGACGAGATCTGCGGATCCAAGGGATCAAGACATCAGGGACGTCACCCTTGGTGTGCAAGGGGAAGACCGTGGTGTAGCGCGAGAAGTCGTCAACAACAATCAGGAAGTACCTCTCCTGACCCTGACCACGGACGCGGGCTGGGCCCCACACGTCCATGTGGAGCGTCTGCAAAGGAGCAGTCGTCGGGGGGAAGGAGGAGGAGTGAGGAGCGGCGCGCTGCCGCCCCTCGACACAGGGAAGACAGGGAGGCGCAGGCGAGGGTGGGAGGGGAGGGAGAACCCTGGGAAGACCAGCAACAAGGTCCCGTTTGTGCATGGCCCGAAGGCGCTGTACAGACGGGTGACCAAGGCGGTGGTGCCAGAGGACAGTCTCATGCGCCAGAGAGCGACACGAGCAGGGGGCGGACAGCTGACCTGACGCAGACGCAGACGCGGACGCAGCTACCTGAGGGGACTCAGTGGTCAGTGTGTACAGGTCCGACCCCGGCTGCCGAGTGAAGGTAGCCAGGTGACGGCCCGTCCGAGCACACGTGCAGTGGGTCACGCGCTCGTAAGCAGGGGTGAACTGGTGAACACCCCCGTCCTGGAGCGCACTACCTGCCACCAAGTTCGTAGAGAACGAGGGGAGGTAGAGGCCGGACAGTGTGCCTGACGGGACCGCAGGACAAGGAAGGACAGTGGAGGAGGTCGCAACGACCGGACCCCCTGAGGGGTCAGCGAGGGAGACAGCAACTGGCCGAGCAAGCGGCTCAAGGGCAGTGCGGTCACGAAAGAAACAGCGAGAAGCACCTGAGTCCAGTGTGAAGGTGTGTAGTGCTGCAGTCGACTCAGTACCAGGGGGGACGGACTCACGAGCACCTAGAGCGACAGCCACACCATCACCTGAGGTGGCAGACACCAGAGGACCTGCAGTGGCAGTCGCACTAGTACCTAGAGCAGTAGGCTCATCAGCAGCTGGAGTGGTAGACACGTGAGTACCGGGAGTGGAAGCCTCACCTGCACCTAGGGCAACAGACGTACTAGCACCTAGAGCGGCAGCCTGACTCACAGGACTCGGCAGCTGCACCTCTCCACTACCAGTAGCTCCCGAGCGACGCACTCCAGAGGGACTACCACTACGGCCACTCCGACAGCCCAAACTGGCGTACCACTCACGAGCCTGCTGTAGCAGAAGAGGGCACGGCTGCTGCACCTGGCCACGACCAGAGGCTCCCGAACGACGCACTCCAGAGCGACTACCACTACGGCCACCCCGACGTCCCAAACTGGCGTACCACTCACGAGCCTGCTGTAGCATAAGAGGGCACGGCTGCTGCACCTGGCCACGACCAGAGGCTCCCGAACGACGCACTCCAGAGCGACTACCACTACGGCCACCCCGACGTCCCAAACCGGCGTACCACTCACGAGCCTGCTGGAGCATAAGAGGGCACAGCTGCTGCACCTGTCCACTACCAGAGGCTCCCGAACGACACACTCCAGAGCGACTACCACTACGGCCACCCCGACTGCCCAAACCGGCGTACCACTCACGAGCCTGCTGGAGCTGCATCTGGCCACGTCAGGAGCAGCAGCAGTAGTGGTAGCAACAGCAGTGGCAGTGGGAGTAGTAAGGGCAGGTCAAAGCTCACCAGAGGTAGGCGCGGCGGGCGCAAGACGGTGGTGACAGCGGGGCCGCTGCAACTGCGGGGCGGGGCCAGGTCGCAGCAGGGAGCTCCGCGGCAGCTGCTGCAGGGTCGGCGGCGGCAGCTGCTGTAGGTCGAGCGGCGGCTGCTGCTGCAGGCTCGGCGGCTGCAGCTGCTGAAGGTCCGGCGGCGGCCTCTGCTGCAGGCTCGGCGGTGGCAGCTGCGGTAGGCTCGGCGGCGGCAGCTGCTGCAGGTCTGGCGGCGGCTGCTGCTGCAGGCTCGGTGGCGACAGCTGCTGCAGGTCGAGCGGCGGCTGCTGTTGCAGGCTAGGCGGCGGCAGCTGCTGCAGGTCCGGCAGCGACGAAGCCGCGAAGGGGCGGCTGAGGGGTCGCGACGGGCAGCTAAGGGGCCGCGACGCGCGGGGAAGGAGCCGCGGGCGGCTAAGGGGCCGCGACGGGCGGCTAAGGGGCCGCGACGGGCGGCTAAGGAGCCGAGCGGGCGACGAGCGGGCGGCAGCTGCAGCGAGCGACGAGCGGGCGGCAGCAGCAGCGGGCGACGAGCGGGCGGCAGCTGCAGCGGGCGACGAGCGGGCGGCAGCAGCAGCGAGCGACGAGCGGGCGGCAGCTGCAGCGAGCGACGAGCGGGCGGCAGCAGCAGCGGGCGACGAGCGAGCGGCAGCTGCAGCGGGCGACGAGCGGGCGGGCGCTGCAGCGGGCGGGCGGCAATGTGCAGGCCGGCGGGGCCGCTGCGGGCTGCGCTATAGCGGTGCGAGCGGCGCACGGGCAGCGAGCCGGTCGCGCTCAAAAGAAATCAGCCGCGCGCGGGCAGCTAGCGGGTCGCGCGTGGTTAAAAATAGAAAACGAGCCGCGCGCGATTGGCTGGCGGGCTGCGCGCGCGCGGTAGGTAGGAGGCGCACTGAGGCGCGTAGGCGCACGAGGGCGCACGGTAGGTAGGTAGGTAGCGGTGGGCCCTAAGAACGGTCCTAGCGAAGGACCTGCTCTGAAACCATGTCGGAATCAACAGACAGGAATGACTGTACTAGCACAAAGTTGGATACAAGTAGGAAACCCTAATCTAGTGTACCCCCTAAGGTGTAACCCACTACAGCCTACAATCATATAAACATATAATGTTTGACAAGGATTTGGGTCCCCGCTTACCGGCTGCTGCGTGAACTCCTCATCCAGGAGGTCCACGATTCGAACTACTCCGGACACTTCGGGGTTGATAAAACCCAGAAATTACTGCACCGTCAATATTACTGGCCCGATTCCTCTAACGACGTGCAGCGTTACGTGTCCTCATGCAGGGTGTGCCAAGCCATGAAATCGACACGACAGCGACCAGCTGGGCTGCTGCAACCCCTCGAGCCACCCGAACGACCGTGGCAACAGGTGACGATGGATTTCGTCACGGGGATGCCAGCTGGGCCGTCCGGCAACGACGCTGTCCTCGTCGTTGTCGATCGCTTCACGAAAATGGCGCACTTCGCACCATGCCGAACGACGATCACAGCCGAAGAAACTGCGCGCCTCTTCATCTCAACGGTCGTGCGACTACACGGCATCCCTTCGGCGATCATCACCGACCGGGACCCGAAGTTTACATCCAAGTTTTGGAAGGAAACATGGGCGCAGTACGGCACGAAGCTACAGTTCTCATCGGCCTACCACCCACAGACGGACGGACAAACCGAGCGAACCAACCAGACGATGGAGCAGCTGATACGGACAAACTGCCCCGACCCCGCACGATGGGAAGATTCCCTCGCCATGTTGGAGTTTGCCTTCAACAACGCACCATCGAGCACGACTAATCACTCCCCGTTCTTCTTGAATTACGGGATGGATCCGACGGTGCCCACGGCAACTTCGCTCGACAACCCGGTCCCGCGATCACACACTTTTGTGACGGAACTTCAGCATATACGCGAGAAAGCAGCAGACGCAATTCGCAAGGCGAATATTACTTCCCGCAAATACACCGACCTCCTACGCCGGGAACTCGTCTTGACTACTGGGCAATTAGTGCTCCTCGACACGAAGAACCTGCACCTGCCCGGTCCATCGAAACTACGGCCCCGATTTTGCGGACCGTTCAAGATTATCAAGATGGTGACACCTGTCACCGCGAAGCTGTTGCTACCAGACGACTGGCGCATTCACGACGCCTTCCACGTAAGCCTGCTTCGCAAGTTCGTGCCAGCCACGACCGACATTGCACGTCAGCAAGCTGCCCCGACAGCTCGACCTGTCCCAGAGCCGACACTCGACCCATTGAAAATTCTCGCCCATCGAGTTCGACTTGACGCAGCTGGCCGACACGTGGATTTCCTAATCCGCTGGACTGATCGCACCAGTGAGGACGACACGTGGGTGCCATCCGCCTCGCTCGACGCCTCGCCACTTGTTGGTGATTACTTGGCGCGCAAGCGTGTTTCGGATATTGACCGCCTTTCCTAAGGGGGGGGGGGGGGGGGTGGTGTAAGGAATTTTCTCGAATTCCTTATCGGGGTTGACTACTGCGCGTACAACCCGATTTTCGGAGTTCGCACGATCGGGCGATTTCCACGCTGCCGAAGCTCCTCACGTCGCCTTCGGCATTTCCATCGCCAAACCTGCACCCAACCTCGCTCGTCCGAGGTTTCCTCCTAGCTAGGCTAGCCTACATTAGTTCTCGCATTCATTGTATTCTCAGATTCATTCAGTCACAGTCTCGTTATTCGTTTACCTGCGCACTCTCTTTTACAACTCATAACATACGAACTAGATGTTGATATGATTGTGGCTGGTGTGTTATGCATTAATAGGAAATGGTGGCGTTCATCCCATAGAGCAGTTTCCAGTGCAGAAACAAACACCCTAAACTTTTATCCATTAATTCACCAGAATATAACGCCAGGTACCTACCTTCAGTCCCTCCGTAACAGCCAAGGTGGCGATGCCACCCCCATAGCTAACGCTGCTTGCTCTTGTTGCAAAACTGGTCTTTGGTCTGGGTACATATGATATGCACATCATTCCTTCAAGTCAAAATTGGTGAGCTCTTGCTCCAAAATCGCTCATCGCAGCATAAAAACATCGCACGCATCAACAGCGATCAGCACCTCCTCTCCTAATCCCGCAGGAAGGAAACTAAAAAAGCAACAATCCGCTACCATGCAGCTCCAATTCTCACCACCTTGTACAGTCACATAGTCGAGTCACACGACTCAACTTCGCCCGAATCGCACAGTGAGAACAGCGTGGTCAGAAATGGTGTAGTCTTCCGGCCACACACCCTCCTCCATGGCCCTCGGGAACAGCGATGCCTGCAGCACGTCCAGATTCAACGCACTTTGATGCTGCACGTTCCTCCCCTCCCTTCCACTGCTCCTTTGCATCGTTCCATTACCCAGCTGCTCCTTCTTCACCTCCCTCTCTGTCGCCCCTCCCACTCTCCCCTCTGTCACCCCACCTTTCCCCATTGCATGCATTTGAGAAGCAACAGCTTTGCTAAAAGAACATCCTTTACAGTCACCTCGGAGAGCTGCACACCCAGATAGGCCCATTTTTTTCCGCAACTGCTTACACTCTGCCTCTATTTGCCTCTCCTCCTGCTGCTGCTGCTGGCTCTGGTAATAGTGCTGGTCCTGCTGTTGCTGGTTTTGCTGTTGCTGCGGCTGGAACAGCTGTCTTCTTGCTGAGGCAGCGACAGCATGTGAAAAGGCAAGAGGGTCGGCCGAAGCTGTGATAGGGTCGGCAATGCCGGACCTAAAGAGTGGGAGATGGCTGAAGAGGTGCAGATGAGGAAGCTGCATGGAAGATTCCGCAGTTGGAAAGATGCGGTGGGAGTGAGTGGGTGGTGAAGAGAAGGATGTAGGAGGACTAGAGGAAGAGGAGCAAGTGAGGACAGGGAGGGAGTGAGTGCGAGTGTGAGGGAGCGAGTGGAGGAAGGGGGAGGGGGAGAGGAGTGAGGTGGGAGATGCACAGAAGAGTGCTGCTGATGAGAATGGAGAGAAATGGGAAGATGGGGACAAGGGCTGTGATGGTTGAGGGGAGGAGTGGAACTGGAGAGGACCAGAGGCGGGGCTGCTGCTGATGTCACTCGAGGAACTGCTGACGTCAGCTGATGCAATGCTGATGTTAGTGGAGGCACTGCTGACGTCAGAGGCGGTTCTGTGAACGTCAGCAGCACCAGCAGGGGTTGATTCAGCAGGTGGTGGAAGTGGGTTGACAGAACATGACGTGGCAAGAGAGTGTCTGAGAGCTGCCACTGTGTCATCCCACGTGGGCTGGTCAAAGAGAGCCTGGTGGGAATCAAAAGGAGGGGACAGGGAAAGTGAGGCAAGGGGGGATAATCATAGGGGATGAGTAAGGGCGGATGAGAAAGTAGGAATGGAGATTGCTTGGGTGTAAGAAGCATGACTGAGTCTGCACAGGCAGATGACCCACTATGAACAGGAGCGCATGAAAGTCAATGCAAGTCAATGAGAGTGATCAGCAGTGACCAAGAAGAGAACACACAGGGATCAATTAGTCTACCTTGAAGTCTTCAAAGTCAACGCAGCCCTTCCCCTGGCAGTCAGCGGATCGCATCAGCTCCTCCACCTCAAAACGCGTCAGTCCGATGGAGTCAACGCCAGTCAACCCCAGTCGGTCCAAACCCCTCTGGAAATCACCCATGCTGAACGCAGCAGGCCCACACTCCCTCCGCCTCTCACAACCACTCTCAGCTACCTCTGCACGCGCCTCTGCAGCCGCCCATCCCTCCACCACACCTTCCTCTGCCACCCGCCCTTCCCCCGCCTGCAGGAAAAAGTCAAAAGCCGCTTCCACGTTGGTGATGCCGGCCGAAGCGAGCTTGGACCTGATAAGGCCAAAAACCGCCGTCCGCCAGTTGACTGCAAGTGCTCGGTGGTGCTGCTCTGGGTTGAGCACCCACACGTAGTCCACCCCGCATAGATTGCCGTGATGGTTGCGGTGACTCACCCACTGGGGGAAAACGAAGGAGGGGAACCAAAGAGAGGAATGGAACGGAAGAGAGAATTATGAAGGGTGAAACAAGGAGCGGGGTGAGCACAGAGCATAGCTTCGTGTGAGTGTTATTCCAGTGGTCTACATGCCAGATAGCTGCGGTGGTGCGCAGAGTCAAAGGTGGAGGCAAAGCTACAAAGCGACATGATGATGAATGAAGGCGCAGGCGGAGGGAATGGAGTGAGTTATGTGGTGCTCGCGGTACCTGCTCGTCATCATCGCTGTGGTGGTGTGCGGAATCAAAGGAGGATACGAAGCCACCCACAAAGGCACAAATCTGATGCAGAGCGGACACGTGGTGCAAGCAGGTTAAGTGGGTGGGGACCGTGGGGCATTACCTGCTCGTCGTCGTCGCTGTGGTGGTGTGCCGAGTCGAAGGAGGATACGAAGCCGTGTGCCCTGAGCAGCTTGTACACGTTGCCCTGCTTCGTGCCGTTCAGATCCCTGCAATGTTGTCACACAGCCGGGCGGTCACACAGGCATCACGCAGAGCGAGAGAGCAATGGCAGACGAAGTGGCAGAGGCTGAGACAAAGCCTGAGATAGAGGCAGTTAAAAAAACGAGAAACTCACCCGCAGAGTATGATGGGCAGTGCCCCCGCGTGGTGCTCCTCTCTGTACCCATCAATGCGCTCCAAGAGCTTGTATACCTGGTGCAGACAGGCGCACACACGCACATATGCACACACGCACAGGTGCACAATGCGAGACGTTGAAGTTGATTTTAGAGTCTCTCTTGAGAATTCTCAGCGTAAGTCATCAAACAGAGCTTGCACACCTGGCACACACCTGGCACACACCTGGCACACACCTGGCACACACCTGGCACACACCTGGCACACACCTGGCACACACCTGGCACACACCTGGCACACACCTGGCACACACCTGGCACACACCTGGCACACACCTGGCACACACCTGGCACACACCTGGCACACACCTGGCACACACCTGGCACACACCTGGCACACACCTGGCACACACCTGGCACACACCTGGCACACACCTGGCACACACCTGGCACACACCTGGCACACACCTGGCAGAGGCGCACAATGCTGGAGTTGGCGTCGTGTGGGAAGAGCAAGTGCGTATTCGCCACCAGAACCTCCTCGCCTTCCCCCCTTCTCTCCCCCTCCTCCCCTTCCCCCCTACCCTCCTCCCTTCCTCCCTTCATGCTTCCTCCTCGTTTCGCCCGGAGTCGCACAATCTGTGCCACTCGGTCGCCACAGTCGTTGAAGCACAGCGGGTGGTGGTCTACCACCTCCCACTCCGATGCCCTCACTGCCATCATGAGGCCTGGAGATGGGGGGGAAACGAAAGGGGGTCAGTGAGGGATGACAGCGGGTGGTGGTCTACCACCGCCCATTCGGATGCTCTTACTGCTATTATGGGACCTGGCGATGGTAATGGGGAACAAAGTAGAGGGAGGGTTGATAAAAGCAAAAAAAAGATGGCTTGCAAACAGTAGTGGACGCACAACGAGTGGTGGTGTACCCATGCATGTATACACAGTTGCATGATGGTCGCTCACCATCTCCCCTGGCGTTTGTGCGAGGCAGCTTGAGAAGCTGGTAACCAGCACCGTGTAACTCTGTGTCGTACATGTCTACCCACTCCGGATTGGCCAGCCAACACTCCTGCAAAACAGATTGGCAGAAGAAAGAATGAGGAAGGAAATCACATAAGGATGACAATCTCGAAAATCTTAACCTTGCCAACAACATTCTACATCAAAAGATGCACCCTGGGTCTAGGTTCTGAAGAGCCACTTATGTCCCGTGTACCTACTTATCACAATGACGGGTTCAACCAATAAAATTGAATAAAAACCCTACAATCGGGGTACCTGCAAGCACAGGATGGACGACTTGGTGTCGAGCAACGTTCTAATAATCTCCTGATTGCGCTCCCGCCATACATGCTGACAGGCGCTCTCCCTCTCGCTCTGCCACAACCGACCCCGATGACAGAGATGGAGTGACTGGGATTAGCAACGCTTGGTTAGGTGAAAACATAGGAACAAAAGATGACAATACACAACGAGCGACAGAACGCATGGTACACAGTAGCGCACCGCCTCATAAGAACGAAAAAATCCGGTCTCGGACGCCTCCCTCCGTGAGCGGCTTACCTCGACACCCATTCTCTTGTAAATCGGAGCAAGCACGTTAAACGTCGTACACGACAAAACCGTTTTTTCCTCCACCGCTCGCCGCCGTTCCTCGTTTATCGCCTCCGCGCGCGCCTCCTCCACCACCGCCATCGCCGCTGCATTCTGGTAACCCCGCGCCGCGTAGCTCAGGCGGCTCTCGCCGCCAGTCACGCCGCAAAAACCGCTCATGAACGCGTCGCGATGCCGTACTAAGGGCCGACTTCCCTCGTGAGAAGAAAAAATCGGAAGCTCGCGGCCATGAGTTATTTGTGTCTCGTAGGACACGGCGTAAGCCTCGTTGAATGCTTGCCGATCCGAAAACACGCCATCGCGACTCAAGGTTCCTCTTTGTCTTTGCTGGGCGAACGTTCGAGAATTGTCCCTTGCGACGTTCGCGAAAGAGTGGAGGTAACCGAGATGACCAATTTGGCTTCGAAGCGAGGTAACGCTTTGTCTCAATCGCTCCATAGGAGAGTCGTGAAATTGGTCGTGCGAAGTTCCACAACGGTCGCATGACGACGACGACGATGACGACGCGTCTGTATCTTCGCAGCAGCTCGCGGAATCGCAGCAATTGACCGTTTGACGAACAGAGGTCGAAGCGGGAAACCACTCGTCCGAAGGTTGTGCGACGAAGCGTGAAACGCACGGCGACGCAAATCTCGAGAAAGCAGTGGCGGCAAGACCGTTGCCGCTGAGGAGGATAGCATCTGCTGCCATGATGGCGTGACGAACCCAGAACTGATTTGGTGCGCACAAGCAGGCAGCGCTTGGCGGAAATCCCGCAGAACTCACAGCATGCATGACTACTGCTGATTAGGCTAGCTACTGCCAAGGGAGAGCAGAGGGGCCTGAGTGGCAAACTGGCTTGTGCTGGGATGGTAATCAGTGACTCGCTTGTCGCGTGGTTTTGGAGGATAGGGATGGGAGGGCGCAGGCTCCAGAAGTGAAGGGCGAGTTTGGGCTCGAATGGTCGGCAAACTGAAAAGATATGAGCTGAAGCGCGTGCGATGCATTGATTTTACAGGGGAGCGAAAGGGTGTGACGAAGGAATTCGCGAAATTATACTCGCAACTTTGGTTCGCTTGGCGGCTGGAAGCAACAATAAGACCTTCACGAAGCCGACGATATTCGACTATTGGGAGGAGGAGAGTTACCCATAGTTGTGCGGCGGCGATCATCTTTCATGCCAGCTCACTAGCTACTGAAGCAGTACTGATGATCCCAAAAGATTCGAGTCGTGTCTGTGTGGCACACGGAAAACATTCTTCAAAAGCGGTCAATCCACGTGGATATATCCGAAAGGTTCTGTTCCGTCCGTCATCGTCCCCGTGAAGCTTGCGCGGCATGGTCGCGTTCCCGCGCGTGAAGAGTGGCCTCGACGTCAGCCACGGATAATCACACGCCAATTGATGCATTTGCTCGTCAGCAGTCGCCGTCGGGCAGTTGCAGGCCCTGGATTTTCATCCACCGAAGGCCACGTCTGCTTCCAGGGTGGTCCCCTGTCCCATATCCACTTTCCGACCTTGTTATGCTCAACATTCATTTATATCACACTTCATGCATATGTAAAATTTCATACAGCTGGACAACCTTTTACTTTATGAATGGAGGTTTTGCTGCTATGTAGCACCTTTACTGGTAACTTCTTCGTTCGTCGTCGTCACACCCCGTCTTCTGGTTCTCCACCCCGTGGCGCACAAAAGCGCCGTCCTATCTCTGCTGCCTTGTCTTCGCGCGTCGTCCTGATCCCAGCCCCTGGCTCCACCACTCACATCGCAAGACCCGAGTCGTCCTGCCCCGATGACGAACCGCGACGATACTTCGACAGACCTACTTCCACCTAGCTTTCGCAACCATCGCAGTTGGGTGTGTTGTCTCGCCATTCTTCTCGCAAACCATCGTAGCCCTGCCAGAACACCCCAGAACGATGCCACACATCTTCGCCATGCGTCGTATACCCACCTCGCTTCCCCACTTTCACCACCCCATCGATCATACCCTCTTCTTCATCTACCATCGCATGCCCCCAAGTGAGTCCCTCGCTTGCTACAGAAACAGTCGCCTGCACCTAAACCGTTTCCCATCGCCGTCGCCTGTTCCGCTCACTTGCTGATCGCCATAGCCATCCCAAAGCAAACTAGCACACATTTTCCTGAGTGTCGCTAGGCAAAGTCGAGGCGGCCATACACACCCAACCCGAGCCAGATTTGTGCGACGAAGTGCTACAACAGATCGCAGGGGTGACAAATCGTAGGTCCAATCAACACCATCTGCCCGGGACGAATTCCCAGCCACAAGCCGCAAACCTCAACCACCAGATGACGCACACAGTTCATGTTGGCAGTTCCTTTCTGCCCAGGACCACGCTCTTCGGTCCTATAAGTACACTGTTCCTATATCTATGGAGGGCCAGAGTGGTATATTATTAGTGACTCATCAACCTCTTCGCTCGGCGCATTTAGTCCTCCATGGCTGCTGCGAATAAGCAGCACAGCGTGTCTTAGCTTTGCGCGAAAGCTCACTCGCGCCATGTATTGTAATAGTTGCGTGGGGGCTGGACGATACATCCAGAGAAATAGCGAGAGAGGGGGGGCGAAGTGGGTTAGAAGTCACACACCATCGGCGCACATATTTCACTAAAAGCTCCGCCTTTTTACAGACCGACTACCAATAGCGTAAGCGCCGCTTAGGAACCGGGGCTCAGAGCGCTTTGTAGAGCGAGGTTGTTCGCTCCCGTGTTGTAGCATGAGCGGCGATTGCGGTAGACCGACAGCGTTGAAATCGATAACGTCGTACACCATGTCGAAGAACCATCAACGATTTTCGCCACGCCGTCACCGGGTAACACCGTGTCGCCACAGATGGCGGCTCCCCGCCTCGCCTAGCTTCCTCCTGCTCTGTCTCCTCCTCGCCCTTCCACTCGCGTCGATCTCCGCAACCGCCGCCGTAAGTACCGCCGCAAGTGCCGCACCGCCGGGGAAGATACAAGCAACTCTCCACAAAGTCACAGGATCGTCGGATCCTGCGCAGCCGCTGCCGCCGATGCCGTCAAAACCGGGCCAAAGCGGGCAAATTTCAATGCTCACCGCGATTACCAGCTGCCCCGATGGAGCGTTTTCCTGCGCGGCGCCCGTCACCGTGGTTTCGCCGAGCCCTGCCGCGAGTTGCCTCCGGATCCCACGACCTAGCGCGAGTCGGTCGTTCCGGATTGATTGGCTCGGGGATGCGTCTGCTGCTCTCGCCGCTGCTCTCGCCGCCAGCAATGCGACGGATAAGAGCACTTCTGGTGGTACCAGCACTCCTGCTACAAACACATCCGCTACAAGCTCTCCCGCTACAAGCAAGATGGAAGCGACGCAGGGTGGAGTATTGAGCGGCGAGCGCATCTACATCTGCCAGTCGTTAGTCTTCTGGTCGTCCGTCAACTGCTCGCCGTTAGAACCGTCTTTCGCCATCGTCATGCCTACCTGGGATTTTTTAATCTCCACCGTCCGATCCAGCCCACACTGTTCATCCAACGGCTCATCCTCAAGTGTTTCTCAAAATTCTAGATCGGCCGGAGAACCCGCCGCGAAACCATCCAGCAAAATGGCCCTCGACTCCCCTGGTAGCATCAGCGCTGCCGTAAACTCAGCGCCGCAACACGCGGCGGGCACTGCGGGATCCAAGTTACGGGGGGCGATGCGCACGATTAGGTTGCAGGGAGGGGCTATAGGAGCGCCGTTCGTCGCGCCGCAGAAGATGGGAGTAAGGTCGATCAGTTGCGAGGCAGCAGAGCCGTTCGATGGCGCTACGCTCGCGCTGCTCTTATCCTCCTCCGCGAATTGCGCTCCCGCTAGCACCGGATCTGCCGCTTCTCCTCCAGGAAGCTCCGCGTCCGCAATTCCCGGCGCTAATTCCGGTAACACCACGGATATTTCTGCCACGTCATCGTCGAATGCGACGGCGACCTCGTATTCGTCTTCCTACCCCGTCCCTGCGAACGCAACTGCCACGTCGGATTCCGGATCGTCGGACAGCGTCACTTTATTCGCGTTAGCAGTCGCCGCGGTATTAGCGTCTGTGTGCGTGCTGGCGTTCGTCGGAGCCGCGTTTTACTTCGCTCCCGAGTCCGCCATCCGAACCGCGTCCGCAGCAGCAGCCGCCGCGAGCGCCGCTGCGTCTCTCGCCGCGGAAATCGCCGCGTCAACTGCGAGCAACGAGCGCGGGCGCGGAAATTCCGGCTCTGATTCCTCCCCCTCCGCCCCCCTACGCTCCTCCCGCACCCCGTCATCCTCGTCATCAGCCTCCTCGTTATCGTCATTAGCCGCTTCCTCCTCCTCGTCTTCTTCTGATTCCCGGTCCTCCCGCTCCCGTTCCCCTGGCGGAAATATTGACGAGTCGGAAAGCAGGGGTAGCGGGCGGCGAGGGGAAGGGGGGAGGGGACGGCGCAGTGGAGGTTCGAGAGAAGCAGAACGAGGAGGAAATAGAGGGGAGGGGGGGAGAGAGAGGCGGAGACAAGGGCATAGGCAGGGGCAGGTAGGGAGGCGAGTGGGGGGACATGGCGAGGTGGGGGAAGGCGGGAAAGGGGAAAGAAGAGAGACACGAGAGGCGGTGGGAAGAGGGGGAAGGGAGGAGGGGAGGTGTTGTGGGTGTGGGAAGAAGGAGCGGGCAGGTGGTCGGAAAGAAACAACAGGGACAAGAGGTGCTGATGGTGCTCTATCGGATGTGCTTATACCGAGTGTGGCGCAAGGGGGGAATGGGGAGGGGGGAAACGAGGAGAGACAGCTTGAAGCGGTCAGAGTGGGAGAGGGAGAGGGAGAGGGAGAGGGAGAGGGGGAGGGGAGAAGTTCAGCTGGAAGAAATGACCATGTTGGGAGTGCGAGAGGGCAGGCGGAGAGAGGCGCAGAAAGAGGAATGGATAGAGAGGATGGAGCTGGGGAAGGAGGGGGGAGCAGAGATCAGGATTCGCTGGTGTAGTGGGGTGGGGGGTTTTGTACTGAAGCAGAAGGTCTCACTAGTCTGGGTCTGCTTGGCGAATGGTTTTCTGGGCTGGTGCAGAAACCAATTTTTTCTGTGAGACAGGAGGTTTGGTAATAAGGATGAGCTGTTTGGGAAGGCTGTGGGGCGGGTTGCGGAAGTATAGTGGAGTGGGGTTTCTGGCAGGAGTGGTGTTTGGAAAGGGTGAGGACCTGTCTCAGGCACAG